CCGGTACCACTTGCCGTGCGGTAGCAGAGAGAACAGTCTATGACTAGGGTGGCTGGAGTCTCTGACAATTTTGAGGGCCTTCCTCTGACACCGCCTGGTATAGAGGTCCTGGATAGCAGGAAGCTTGGCCCCAGTGATGTACTGGGCCGTACGCACTACCCTCTGTAGTGCCTTGCGGTCGGAGGCCAAGCAGTTGCATACCAAGCGGTGATGCAACCAGTCAGGATGCTCTCGATGGTGCAGCTGTAGAATTTTTTGAGGATCTGAGGACCCATGCCGAATCTTTTCAGTCTCCTGAGGGGGAATAGGCTTTGTCGTGCCCTCTTCACGATTGTCTTGGTGTGTTTGGACCATGATAGTTCTAAAAATTCTACAGCTGCACCATCGAGAGCATCCTGACTGGTTGCATCACCGCCTGGTATGGCAACTGCTTGGCCTCCGACCGCAAGGCACTACAGAGGGTAGTGCGTACGGCCCGGTACATCACTGGGGCCAACGTAACATAACCAGGGATGTTCTCTTGATAAGTGTGTGAATTAGACCATTTCCCTGTCCTGCTAAGCATTCAAAATGCAACGAGTACCTTTGGGTGTCAGGGAAAATGTATGGAGTAAAAAGTACATAATTTTCTTTAGGAATGTAGTGAAGTAAAAGTTGTCAAAAATATAAATAGTAAAGTAAAGTACAGATACCCCAAAAAACTACTTAAGTAGTACTTTCAAGTATTTTTACTTACAGTTGAAGTCGGAAGTTTACATACACTTTAAAACTCGTTTTTCAACCACTCCACAAATTTCTTGTTAACAAACTATAGTTTTGGCAAGTTGGTTAGGACATCTACTTTGTGCGTGACACAAGTAATCTTTCCAACAATTGTTTACAGACAGATTATTTCACTTATAATTCACTGTATCACAATTCCAGTGGTCAGAAGTTTACATACACTAAGTTGACTGTGCCTTTAAACAGCTTGGGAAATTCCAGAAAATGATGTCATGGCTTTAGGAGCTTCTGATAGGCTAATTGCCATAATTTGACTCAATTGGAGGTGTACCTGTGGATGTATTTAAAGGCCTACCTTCAAACTCAGTGCCTCTTTGCTTGACATCATGGGAAAATCAAAAGAAATCAGCCAAGACCTCAGAAAAAAATTGTAGACCTCCACAAGTCTGGTTCATCCTTGGGAGCAATTTCCAAATGGTACCACGTTCATCTGTACAAACAATAGTACGCAAGTATAAACACCATGGGACCACACAGCCGTCATACCGCTCAGGAAGGAGACGCGTTCTGTCTCCTAGAGATGAACGTACTTTGGTGCGAAAAGTGCAAATAAATCCCAGAACAACAGCAAAGGACCTTGTGAAGATGCTGGAGGAAACAGGTACAAAAGTATCTATATTCACAGTAAAACAAGTCCTAAATCGACATAACCTGAAAGGCCGCTCAGCAAGTAAGAAGCCACTGCTCCAAAACCGCCATAAAAAAGCCAGACTATCGTTTGCAACTGCACATGGGGACAAAGATCGTACTTTTTGGAGAAATGTCCTCTGGTCTGATGAAACAAAAACTGTTTGGCCATAATGACCATCGTCATGTTTGGAGGAAAAAGGGGGTGCTTGCAAGCCGAAGAACACCATCCCAACCGTAAAGCACGGGGGTGGCAGCATCATGCTGTGGGGGTGCTTTGCTGCAGGAGGGACTGGTGCACTTCACAAAACAGATGGCATCATGAGGAAGGAATATTATGTGGATATATTGAAGCAACATCTCAAGACATCAGTCAGGAAGTTAAAGCTTGGTCGCAAATGGGTCTTCCAAATGGACATTGACCCCAAGCATACTTCCAAATTTGTGGCAAAATGGCTTAAGGACAACAAAGTAAAGGTATTGGAGTGGCCATCACAAAGCCCTGACCTCAACCCTATAGAAAATGTGTGGGCAGAACTAAAAAAGCATGTGCAAGCAAGGAGGCCTATAAACCTGACTCAGTTACACCAGCTCTGTCAGGAGGAATGGGCCAAAATTCACCAAACTTATTGTGGGAAGCTTGTGGAAGGCTACCGAAACGTATGACCCACGTAAAAAAAATGTAAAGGCAATGCTACCAAATACTAATTGAGTGTATGTAAACTTCTGACCCACTGGGAATGTGATGAAAGAAATAAAAGCTGAAATAAATAATTCTCTACTATTATTCTGACATTTCACATTCTTAAAATAAAGTGGTGATCCTAACTGACCTAAGAGGGACATTTTACTAGGATTAAATGTCAGGAATTGTGAAAAACCGAGTTGAAATGTATTTGGCTAAGGTGTATGTAAACTTCCGACTTCAACTGTAAGTACTTTACACCACTGCAAACATGACTGCAGCATTTCAATAGCTAACAAGACATTCACATGAAAAATAATCAACTTTGGAACAAGCTGATGGAAAGATAAGGCCTCATGCATTTGGATCAGTTTCAAATTATTCAACAGCAGGTGTCTAACCATAGCTTATACAGGACACTGCACAACTTTAATACACTGTATAAACACACTACAATCACATGTACTTATTTACACCTTATGTAATCTCCATAGGCTGTTAGGGCAAATCATGTAATTTAAAGCAATGTTTTGAAAAATATATATCATTGTGTATCTCTTCACTGCTAAGAAATGTGGACTTCAGCTCCAAACATCCAATGGTCCTATTATGTGTACTTCACGTACAAAGGAAGAACGCACTCTCTAAACATTCTGTAATGAGATACTGTCCAAGTTACACCCAGCCACAAATCCTATCCAAGCCTCTCACTAGTTTTCTACCGAAACAAAATCATAAACAAAACAACCACTTTATAAAAGGGAGAAAAGTAAATCTCACGCTGATTCTTATAGCCATGTAATCAAAACTGGGCTGTTTGGTGCCAAGCTATGAAAAACTAAATGATAAAGCTGTCATTAGCATTACAAACACATGCAGAACTTATTAGAATTAATTGTCCACTTATAGACTGTGCTCACACACAACCACACAGTTGAGTACCAAAGATGGTAAAAGGAAAGGCAGAAACAAGAAAAACAACTGTCACTGATTTAAAGGGAAAGTTCACCTAAATCAATTCAATGCTTCCTTATCTTGAAAGTAGTATTTAGGGACCAAAGAGACTAATTGACCCTTTCTGTTTCGATTTACTATGCAGTATGGCAAACATAGTTACACTTGAAATAATGGTGTTTTTCTTTTATTGTATCTTTGTGGAATATTATACAAATGTATTTGGTAAATCGACGCTCATGATAACGATTGTGGCGGTTTCCAATCTCTTTCAACATAAGAAATGTAGGTTAACTACCCTGCTTAGCAGAGCTGATGCAGAGCCTTTATTGCAATATAAGAATTTAGGTGAACTACCCTGGTTAGCAGTTGATGCAAAGCCATTATTGCAATAGAAGGCTCTGAGTTGATGTGCCTAAGTACTCGTCATTGGAAATAAATATGCTATTTATAAAGAGATGCTACGTTCAGTTAGCGTTTTCAAATAAAGCGTTAACCTTTTTGACAGCTGAAAGGACAGAACAGCTGTGAAACCAAGACAACCAGCATCAGTCAGCGCTTGTATTCCATTCCTTTGCTAAAATAAAATGTTAATTCTTATCTGGCAAGATGGCAAGAGTTCTAAAGAGACAGTAGGAGCAAGCAGAATAAATAACAGAATTTACAGAGGCAAGATCCTTGAAAATGATATTTTTTAATTGTGTTACTTCCTTCAGCAACCTCCATTCACTGTAAAATATACAGTAGACATTTTCATTTTACTATGCTTACTGTATGAAAATGGAAAGCAAAAAATACTCATCTACAGTTATGATATATTTTCTTTACATACTGCTTGAAAAAATATATGCAAGTACGAATTTTACAGCTATAAATTGTACATTTCAAGGAGGTAGAATACCTGCATTATTAAGATTCTCCCATTTCGAAACAAAGAAACGCATTTCACTGCCAGGAATGTACAGAGCTCTAACAGAATTTTTAAAATCATTCCTTGCAGCCATGAACAAACACCTCGGTACACATTTATTTAAAATCAACTTTGAAATTCAACAACAGTTTAAAAGTAAAAAAAACAAGCATACAAATATAGGGACTCTTATAAGGTCCAACAGAAAATGGACGAGTTAGTCGAGTCACAGGAGGTGATATTCATTGGTAGAAAACAAGATTTGATAATGACTGCTGCATTGTACACCCAATGACATCCAGCATGAGATAATAAAGACGGTAATTTGGGGGACAGTTGTGCTTTTCAGTTTTTTAGGAACCTCTACCTGCAAAACTGAAATGTTTTTCACTTTCTACAATCTGAAAGAATCGTAATACACAGAAAAATGTTTCTGCGTTGTTTTTACATTCGACACAAACACACCACACAACTGGGAAATATTTCAGTAATAGCGATGAACATCCGTTACCATTGTGCCTTGATGATAACAACTCTAACATAATTGGCTCTACAGTAGGTGTGGTTTAAAATAGGCTGCCACAAATCAACTTCCATAATCCACAGCGTGTCGAATAACACTGAAAATGTGCTCATTAAAATCGGACAAGTTTTCCCTTCAAAGAGCATTATTGCAGTGGGATCTTGTGTCTGTGGAGGAGGTTGCTAAGCTGCCTTGTGTAGGGTAAACTGCAGGGACTGAGGCTTGTGTTGTGGGTGGTGTCTGTCCAACAACACACCACTAGATTTTCTCTACTAATGACCACTGTTCATCATGCTCAACATATAACCTAGTTTGGTCACAATAACCTAGTTTGGTTATTGGTATGACATTAGTTGTCATATCATAGACTTGTGAGGGTTTATGAAATCAGCTACATCCTTTTTGGTGATAATATTCTGTATTTATCCTCTATTCCTATTCAATGGAGTCATGTAGGCTTGTGACAGAAGAACATTAAGCATTCATTAGTTCTAATTGGGGGGGGGGGGGGGGGGGGGGGGGTACCAAATCCCACCAGTCCATTTAATTGATTAATTCAATAAAAATCGATTTAAATTAGTGAAGAGGAGACAGCACTCATCTCTTCCCTATACGTCATTATTTCATTCCATGGGCAGAGGAGAACTGCATACACATGGTCTCTACATACACTGTCACTACTCATTCTCATTTATTCACACACGCTCACGTACAGCACGCACATTCTCATACGGTCTATGGTACGTACAGCACGCACACGTGGCCTACACTCTCATGCACGAAACAGAAACAGAAATGCAAGAGCACTTTACCCTGAGCCTGCTACTGTGCGGCAAATACTTTGCTGTTAAGGAACACGGCTCGCAAAATACTTCTCCATAAACCCCTCGCATATTTGGATGTTGTTAGTGAAGTAGTAACACTCGGGAGACAAAAATAGAATTGTGATAAACAAAAACATGTTCTTTAACCCACTTGTAAATATAAACATATTTCTTTATCCAGGCAATACAATTTTCATGTTTCATGTATAAAATCCTTTCGTCAGAAAATATCAGATTTTTTCAGTACAAGTCATAAAACGGAAATATGTGATGCAGGAAAGCAGAGAGCCTCCAGTCTACTGTATATGGCCATATCTCAGCTTCAAAAAGACAGAGCACTCACATAGTTACAGCCTGGCAAAGCCTGACTATATCTGGGTAAACAATCTCTCTTTGTTAGTATTATCCTAACAGTGACTTCCGTTAAGGTGAATCAAGGCCGTCTGACGCTGACAGAAGAAGCCCAAAACGCAAAGTTCCATGAGCCCTTGTGAGTTTGTGGCTGTCTATGTGCCTGCCGCCAAAGACCACAGCCGTCCAGAAGCCAAGAGTGCAGAATAAATGTCATATGTCATATAGCGCCTCCTGGTTTATTCAATTCCCTTTTCAGTATGTGGGAGAAAGCGGGGGAGAAGGGGGGGATAGAGCAAAAAAGGGGGATGGGAGACTCCATCGCGCCCAGTTCAGTGGTCACATTGGCTGTCCGGTCTTGGTCAACGCAGAACCGCCGCTTTAGTATTCAACATATTCAGATTGAAGGGACTGCAAGAGGTGGAGAGATACACAAAATATGACGTTGAGTATAATGACAGTGAATCACAGGGCATCATAACACAACCTATGGCTCCATGGCAAATGGAAAAGCATATTTCTGCATGGAATTGTTTTCAAAGTGTTGACGGCAGACAAAGAACATGCAGGGAGAAGGTTGTTATATAACAAGCCTGCATGAAATATTATATTCTAACAGGGTACAATAGAACTGTTGGTTGCAAAGGTACAGAAAAGCCATTAAAATATACAATCATTAAAATGCCAAATGCATTTGCCTGAACTAATGAATACATTTATAGTGGACAAGACAGACAGGGTGTCTCTGTCTCTGTGTGTGTGGGGGTGGGGGCAGTGGTACGCAGCTAGAGAAGGAATTAGCAGGACTGACAAACAGATGGGGGTGGGAGGCATGTTGCAAGAAGGGAGCGAACGAGAGAGAGAGAGAGAGAGAGCGAGAGACAGAGAGAGAGAAGGAAAAAGCGTATGTGATTCTGATAAAGCCACAACTCCACTGACTGGCAAAACAAGGAAATGAGAGGACAGCAGGGACATTCATACCAGATAGTCCTCCAATATTCCCCATTGTCAACCACCCCCTCTGCCATAACCACTCACTATCCGTCACATCACCTGGTACCTCCTATTCACACGGTTTGTGGGCTGGTGGCTGCCAGAATGGTGTGTCACTATCACCTAGGAAGGGTTAGGGGAGTAGATTGGAAGATGATGAGATTTAATCTACACTTTATTTAGTAGGCAAGGGGATGGAGAACGAACGTGAATTAACTTGATATCCGTGCAAGGGTAGCAGCTTTTTAGTCTGTCCCTGCTCCAATGCCAAATTAATGTTAAATGAATGATAGTGGTGCAACACTCTAGGTTGCCTGAGAAGTAGTTGTGAGAATGCTGGCACAAAGCAGCATTCCTACATCACCAAAATGCTACAAGTGGTGTAGAATGAGAAATAACGCCAGCTTTCCCCATGTAATCCAAAAGAGAGAGACACTGCACCAATCTTTGAAAGTACTGCTCTGTATCATAAATTGTCTGAACAGTGTCCTCCTATTCTGAGCGGAATCAAGTATGGGAAGTTCTGGGAACTAGCCTTAGATGTCTGGCCCTCGTGGTCGTGGCCTATGAAAGGCCCCCCTCGTGGTCGGGGCCTATGAAAGGCCCCCCTCGTGGTCGGGGCCTATGAAAGGCCCCCCTCGTGGTCGGGGCCTATGAAAGGCCCCCCTCGTGGTCGGGGCCTATGAAAGGCCCCCCTCGTGGTGGGGGCCTATGAAAGGCCCCCCTCGTGGTCAGGGCCTATGAAAGGCCTCCATATGTTCATTATAAAGGAAGAGGAGGATTACTTGACTGGCCTCTCAGGGAATGAGTGAGCGCTACAGTATGGCTGAGCGTGTCAAATCATTGTAATAGCAGAGAGCAGATCGTTTGGGTCCAGCGCCAGACTGCCAGCCTAAAAACATGTTTAAAAAAAGATTTTAGTCATTTAGCACACTCTTATCCAGAGTGACTAACAGGTGCAATTAGGGTTAAGCACCTTGCTCAAGGGCACATTGACAGATTTTTCACCTAGTCGGCTCTGGGATTCGAACCAGCGACCTTTCGGTTATTGGCACAACGCCCTAACAACTGCTTTTAAGAAGGGAAGTTAGGATTTCCCTCCGGGTTGGGCTAAGGCAGTCAGAGGGAGAAGCTTTCTTCTGAGGATGGATGGATGGATGGATAGATGCGCTTAGGATAATGCCCTGTACAAGTGGACAACGACATAGTCTAGATTTGATAATAAAGGGCCTCTTTGGAAAAAAAAGTTTTAAATGAAAAATATGTATACAAAGGCCTTCCGGTGGCCAGCGTTGAATGAAAAAAAGCACAAAAGTCAGAATGGACAAAGATGTATACGTTTCCAGGACCGAATCAATTGGAAGTGGAAATGACCCAAACTATAATCTCTTTTAGGCATATGATGGCCTACGATGTTGGGGGGGGAAATTATGTGTGAGATCGGCCTCCCCTTGCATCTATCGAACACGCATGTGAATATCTTTTAGTCTTCATGTTTCAAGTGTTGTTAGATGGCTACATTATTAGATGTAACGCCAAGGAAGTGGGTTCGATCCCCGGGACCACCCATACACAAAAAAAAATTATGCGCGCATGACTGTAAGTCGCTTTGGATAAAAGCGTCTGCTAAATGGCATATTATTATATTATTATGTTAAAGCCAGAAACCAAAACGAACCACCCTGAAATCCAGCCAATCACCCAATGAAGAGGAAATCACATGACTGAGGCACCTCGCACATCAGCCAAATGAGGCCAGTGTCCAAAAAACCTTTGTTTACCCAGAATCCACCTGGTTAGTAGTTCAACCACATTTTCAGTTTAGTGTTCATTCTGTTGATCAGCTTTATTATTTTTAATTGTTATGTGATGCTACAATCCACTCAACAGAGGTGAATACAGTAGATTAACAGGGTACGGAAGAGCAGAGCAGATCCGCAAAATGACTCACCCAACACACAATTGAAGAGGCACTTCATCGTTCATAACACTAATTAGACTTCTGCCCAAATGTGCCAGTAAATTATTTTAACTGGAGACGCGTAGCTGGTGTGAAATGGCCTAATAGCCATGGTTAGTGTGTATGAAGTGGCCATTTAGAGTGGAACTAGGACATCGCAGGTCCTGTTTCAGCACCATGCAAACAACAGACGCGGAATAGAGAGGAGTTCAGTTGAGCCGCCAGAGAGTTAGACACACAGTGGAGAACCTGCAGCAGCAAACTTGTGTTTGACAGAAGTGCAGAGAGGAAATACGACAGTTCAAAATAAGGGTAAAAGAGTAGAAATATCCAATTCGTTTTTTTGGGTGGGGGACGCACACTTACGGGGATGGAGCGGCTGAGGTAGCGGCCGGAGGGTCCACTGAGCCTGGAGTAGACCCCTTGCTGGGGTCTGAAGGGGCCGTATTCATCAGGCCCGGGGCCCAGCCTGCCTGCAGCGTGTTGGGGGGCCCCTGCGGGGCCACCGTGGATGAAGACCCCGGTAGGGGAGGAGTTATACTGATTGTTGTTGACCTCGTGGTGGTAATTAGCTCCGCGCATACCGTTAGCCACGTAGCCGTGAACGGGGACGGCCCGGCCCGACGGAGGGATGGGGGTGGTGACGGTGGAGGGAGGAGAGGAGGAAGAGGGTGATGAAGAGGGGGTGTACGGCATCTTCCAATTGTCCTCGCTGCCGTCGGCTGCGTACAGGTTGCCTAAGGAGCTGGCTAGCCTGGCGTTAATGAAGGAGCTGAGGGAAAGGTAGAAGGGAACGGGGAAGGGGACATGTAAATACACAGGACACATCCCAAACACCAAACAAACACAATGACAAGAGGATATCCACTGCCTTCTTTCACAGGCTCAGGAGAGGATGGCTGCCTACTGTGTACTGGTACTGTGGATCTAATAGTGGATTGATCTACACACTAGGGCTGTCCAAGACTAAAATCTTGGTCGACCAAGAGTCGTCTGTTCTTTCGAACAATTGACTGGTCTAAATTTTAAGACTTGTATTTTTCCATAGATAGACACACCCCATGTGTTCTAATAAAATCAACTATATGTAGGCTACTCAGCTTGTCTGATGCTTTAAGCACACTGTGATTAAATAATTAAGACACACAAATGACACAAGAGGGAGCCAGAGATCAAGATAACCTAACCAGAACGGAAAAAAAAAACTGTTCCCGAACCACCTCATCCCGCTGCTGCTGGCCTTTGCAGATTCTCCCATTACACTCCCGAAGTTGCAGGTAATGGGCTACACCAGGGGCCGGCAACCTTTTCCATTTGGAGTGCCAATTTATCTTACCATTTATACTGCGTGCCAGTTACGATTTTCATATGCACATTTTCGTGGAACAGTTTCATTTCTTTTAGAATAAAGTCTTCGTATCTCAAAATCATTGTCATATTATATCTAAATGAAAATTATACAAATCTAAAAGTAACTTCTATTGCCATTGCCAACTACGTAAAAATAACTTGCATAAAACCAACAAATAAAAACATTGCAGGCTGCAGGTAGAACATATCCTGATAAAAATAAATAAATCACATTGGCTACGCATGGCCTGTCTGCAAGGAACTTGAATCATTGTATTAACTATCTTGGTCCAGCCCGAAGCTTGCACTAACAAATTTGCAACATTGTATAAAATATTATTTGAGAAGCTCCACAAAAAAATACTTTGAGAAGCTCCACAGCTCATTAGTGGTGGTGAGTTAAGACAATCAGAAATACTATCAGATCCCCAAATGGGCACATTGATAAGCCTACATTTGCACGAAGGCCAGGTAGCCTAGGCCTACTTCTATGCGGAATCCGGTGCATGTCCTTGCTCAACATTGACAGGAGTGCTCCAAACAAAACAAAATGAATAAATTGCCAACTCGTAAATGGAATGAAATAAATCAAAACTTGTTTCTCAAAGGTGTAGCCTAGGTTGTGCGGTCTGCAAACAACGTGTCCACTCCGACAATGAGAACTGTAAAATACTGTAATAATAGTATTTTTAATTTGTTAACAAAAATTACAGTAACCAAACAAACATTGTAGATGAGAAATGATGGGAATGAAGGTAAATGTACTACTGGTGAGCCATCCCTGCGGCCTCCACAATGGATTAGTCCACTGAGACAGCGTGAATCAAGACTGCTCGACTAAAAAATTAGCAGTCAACCAACACTCTATCGACCAACAATCGACCAGTCGACTAAATGGGGTTAGCCCTATTACACAAAACTGATTTACACTGTCGGCGAGCAGTCTGCAATAGTGGATTTATTCAGACAGTAATAGTAGACTGATTCACCGGGAGGAATCTGGAGTAGTCATTGCCATGGCTCCCTACCTACACATTCAATGTTAAATCATTCAGTAGAATAGAAAAATAAAGACATTAACAAATCCTGAACAGACCACAAAGCAGAGTAGGTCTTGTACCGCTCCAGAGGAGAGGTTTTTGTGGCATGTTTCTCTGTTGTGTTATCTGCCTGTTTCTGTCTCTAGCAGTGCAGAATGCAGGGGATTTAGATTTGGTCTGTTGGGAAAGCTCACAGCCTGCAGCGCGTCAATCGGTCTGGTCAGTGAGACACACTGCACACGTGTTCCCGGTCCTGCAACTGCGTATCCTTCCACCTGCCACTTGCTCTCAGGACATGGGGTAGTCACAGACAGGCAGAAACACAACCAGGGGAATGAGACACCCCAGAAGGAGAGGGAAAGAGAGGGAAGGAGAGAAAGGTTAGAGGAGGAAAAGACTAAATCTACAGGAGGCAAGAGAAAGGGTAAGTGGATAAATGGAGGGATGGGAGGCTACGCAGTATGAAACAGGAAGAAAAGGGAGGAAGAAATGGAAGGAGAGCGGGGAGAAAGAAAGAGTGAGTAGATAAAAAAAAAAAAGAAGAGGAGTAAAGGGTAAGAAGTGTACGGGGAGGGGTGTGCAGGGGGTTGGGCTCACCTCTTGAGGTTGGACGCCGAGGAGGAGGAGCTGTGGCTGATTCTCTTGGCCGTGGCGGAAGCAGAGGATGATGGGACTTTGGATGTCTTGAGGGGGGAGATGGTACCCTGAGTGCCCACTCCAAGGTTCATCCTGCTAGAAATAAAGAAAAAAAGAAAGAAAGAAAGAAAGAAAGAAAGAAAGAAAGAAAGAAAAAAAGAAAGAAAGAAAGAAAGAAAGAAAGAAAGAAAAAAAGAAAGAAAGAAAAAAAGTGAAAAAAAGAAGAAAAAAGAAAAAAGAAAGAAAGAAAGAAAGAAAGAAAGAAAAAGAAAGAAAGTCTGTCTGTACTGGGCTGAAGGACTTCATCTTCATTCAGGAAGGTACAGCAATTAGAGGAGATTGTGCTAGTCTGAGTAGCCTCTTTCAGTGACACACACACACGCTGTCAAGTAGACAGACACACACATGCAGAGATACACGCAAGCAAACAAACACACACACACAACAAACACGCCACCTTTGAGTAGGTGAAAGAACGAGGACTAAAGGAGTGGGAGGAGAGAGAGCTGTGTAAGAGCCCTCTTCTCTCGCTCCTCTGAGGAAAATTAATTAAGGGCTGTACTTTAGCACAAAAGAGGGAGTTCTATTTCCATCCCCTCTTCACACTCCAAGTCGCCTCTCCGCCTCTACCTCTGGCCATCCAGCACTGTGCTGGAGGTAGACTAGTTCCAGCTTGAGTTGAGCTATACTTTGCACCGAATTGAATGAAATATAGGCAGGCATGGTAGCATGTGAGGGACATTGTGTGTGCAGAGATATGTGTTGAGACTCGAGAGAGGTGTTGATGCCACTTCTATTGAGGAGACTGTGTGTGTTTTGTGATAGCTAGGATACACCCCTGCCACATAGACAAATAGCATAGTCAACACTATTGTAAAGGTACCTAAAAGGTTGGGATGGTGACCTGGTGTGCATTTTCATGTCTTCGAGTCTGGGAAAAAAAAGAGGAAGAATGATAAATGAGGGTTTATTTCCAGAGGCAGCATGTTTGCACACTTACAGTGCATTCGGAAAGTATTCAGACCCCTTGACCTTTTTCCACATTTTGTTACGTTACAGCCTTATTCTAAAATGGATTAAATTATTTGTTTTACTTATCAATCGACACACAATACCCCATAATGACAAAGAGAAAACAGGTTTTTAGAAATGTTTGCAAATGTATAAAAAAAATTAAAACAGAAATAACTTATTTACATAAGTATTAAGACCTTTGCTATGAGACTCAAAATGTTGCTCTGGTGCATCCTGTTTCCATTGAACATCCTTGAGATGTTTCTACGACTTGATTGGAGTTCACCTGTGGTAAATTCAATTGATTGGACATGATTTGGAAAGGCACACACCTGTCTATATAAGGTCCCACAGTTCACAGTGCATGTCAGAGCAAAAACCAAGCCATGAGGTCGAAGGAATTGTCCGTAGAGCTCCGAGACAGGATTGTGTCGAGGCAGAGATCTGGGGAAGGGTACCAAAAAATGTCTGCAGCATTGAAGGTCCCCAAGAACACAGCGGCCTCCATCATACTAAAATGGAAGAAGTTTGGAACCACCAAGACTCTTCCTAGAGCTGGCCGCCCGGCCAAACTGAGCAATCGGGGGAGAAGGGCCTTGGGTCAGGGAGGTGACCAAGAACCCGATGGTCACTCTGACAGAGCTCCAGAGTTCTTCTGTGGAGATGGGAGAACCTTCCAGACGTACAACCATCTCTGCAGCACTCACCCAATCAGGCCTTTATGGTAGAGTGGCCAGACGGAAGCCACTCCTCAGTAAAAGGCACAGCAGGCCGTTTGGAGTTTGCCAAAAGGCACCAAAGGACTCTCAGACCATGAGAAACAAGATTCTCTGGTCTGATGAAACCAAGATGGAACTCTTTGGCCTGAATGCCAAGCGTCACATATGGAGGAAACCTGGCACCATTCCTACGGTGAAGCATGGTGGTGGCAGCATCATGCTGAGGGGATGTTTTTCAGCGGCAGAAAGTACAGAGAGATCCTTGATGAAAATCTGCTTCAGAGTGCTCAGGACCTCAGACTGGGGCGAAGGTTCACCTTCCACCAGGACAACAACCCTAAGCACACAGCCAAGACATCGCAGGAGTGGCTTTGGGACAAGTCTCTGAATGTCCTTGAGCGGACCAGCCAGAGCCCGGTCTTGAACTCGATCGAACATCTCTGGAGAGACCTGAAAATAGCTTTGCAGCGACGCTCCCCATCCAACCTGACAGAGCTTGAGAGGGTCTGCAGACAGGAATGGGAGAAACTCCCCAAATACAGGTGTGCCAAGCTTGTAGCGTCATACCCAAGAAGACTCGAGGCTGTAATGGCTGCCAAAGATGCTTCAACAAAGTACTGAGTAAAGGGTCTGAATACTTATGTAAATGTGACATTTCAGTTCTTGATTTTTAATACATTTGCAAACATTTCTAAAAACCTGTTTTTGTTTTGTCATTATGGGGTTTAATGGAAAAAGTCAAGGGGTCGGAATACTTTCCGAATGCACTGTATATTTCCTTAGAGCGCTGGGAAAGTAGGTATTACTAGACTAGCTTTTGAAGCACTTTACTGATTACTAAGTCAGTAAAGCAAGTATTTAACAGAAAACCCCAGCATGACACTGAGCCAATATACTGAATATCCTGCCTGACAGTGCTTGTGTTATTTCAGCTAGGTAACCATGGAAACCAGAGCCCCGAATCAGATCACAGAGCCACAGACTGTCTCACTAGCTAGAAGACAGCGCTAGACAAAGACAGATAAATCCAAATCATTCCATTTCGTTGAATGATGTATCCTATGTGTATCCCGTACATATGACTAATACAACTTGAAGCCTCCTCGACAATGAACCAGCAGGGCGGTGGTTTCCATGCCAACCGGAACTTGTCGTGCCAGCAAAATTACACTGAACAAAATATAAACACAACATGTAAAGTGTTGGTCCCATGTTTCATGAGCTGAAATAAAAATAAATTGCAGAAATGTTCCATACACACAAAAAAATTCTCTCAAATCTTGTGCACAAATTCGTTTACATCCCTGTTAGTGAGCATTTCTCCTTTGCCAAGAAAATCCATCTACCTGATAGGTGTGGCATATCAAGAAGCTGATTAAACAGCATGATCATTAGACAGGTGCACCTTGTGCTGGGGACAATAAAAGGCCACTTCAAAATGAGCAGTTTTATCACACAACACAATGCCTCAAGTTGAGGGAGCGTGCAATTGGCATGCTGACTGCAGGAATGTCCACCAGAGCTGTTGCCAGATAATTGAATGCTAATTTCTCGACCATAAGTTGCCTCCAACGTCGTTTTAGAGAATTTGGCAGTACGTCCAACCGGTGCTGAGGAGTATTTCTGTCTGTAATAGAGCCCTTTTGTGGGGAAAAACTAATTCTGATTGGCTGGGCCTGGCTCCCAAGTGGGTGGGTCTATGCCCTCCAAGGCCCACCCATGACTGCACCCCTGGCCAGTCATGTGAAATCCATAGATTAGGGCCAAATTAATATATTTCAAATGACTGATTTCCTTATATGAACTGTAACTCCGTAAAATCTTTGAAATTGTTGCGTTTATATTTTTGTTCAGTACACTTCTGGCTTGATCTCTATTTACTTCAGCTCAGCGTTTTGTTTTGCCTCGACGTACACTGATCTGATATCTCCTGTATAAATGTTTCACCTGTAATAGAACGACATTAAAGGTTGAGTAACAAATGTTTCTAACCGAAATGTCTAACTGAAATACTTAACTATGCATTACTTTCCATAGCGCAGAGGACAGTCCTTGAGATCTCAAAAAGGTGGAAACTAATAAGGCGGGAGGATCTTAAAAGGGGAAGTTTGGGGTATCCCAGGCAGCTCTTACCTTAGGGCTCCTGTTGTGGCCGACCTGGGCTGGCGCCGGCCCTTTAAGGCACGCAGTTTATCTCCTTGGGTCATGCATAGCCCGTTCTCCCCAATTTCGTCGTTCTGTGGAGAGAACACATGATCCCATACGATAATGTGGCTAATTATCTACAGTAGATTGGATTAACAGAGCAAAAAATGGTACTGTTTGGTGTATAAGAACAGTTGTCTATAAAAATAAATCCTCTAGTCCAGGGTTTCCCAAACTCGGTCCTCGGGACCCCAAGGGATGCACATCTTGGTTTTTGCCCTAGCACTACACAGCTGATTCAAATAATCAACTAATCATCAAGCTTTGATGACTGTGTTGTGTTAGGGCAAAAACAAAAATATGGGGTCCCGAGGACCGGGTTTGGGAAACACTGCTGTAGACTGTCTAGTGCTGGTTTGAATAATAAATGAAACTCATTCCATTACAGGTATGTACTAAATAATACACCGCAGACTTTCTCCAATCAACAGACAGAACACTAAAATTGGTTTTCCATAAAAGGTAGGGGAATATCTGCAACCTCAGTTGGAAACAATGCAGTTGTACATCACATCAACAGGGAAAATGGGGCATTGTCAGGGTCGTGTTCATTAGGCACCAAACGGAAGAGAACGGACTGAAACAGGGAGGGACTACCTTGTCCAATAAGAAACGCTCATTTTTGTTTCAGCCTGTTTTATTCCGTTTGGTGCCTAATGAACAGGACCCAGGGCAGGGTTGTGGGTGGCACTGACCTCTTGGAGGCGGTCGGTACTGTGGGACCTGAGGATGCCAGCAGGGCTGCTGGTGGTGATGGAGGTGTGGGTGGGTCTGAGGGTGAGGTCATCCATGCTGGTGATGAGGTGAGACACGCCCCTCGGCTGCTTCTGCTGCGAACGCTGCATGTCCCCTTGCATCCACATGGCTGCCTGCCTCCTGAGACAAAAGAGAGAGGGAGGGAGAGAGAAAGAGGGAAGGAGAGAGATGGAAAGATAGAGAGGTTGCATTAGTACACCCTCGCCTACCGTGTGACCTCAAGTCTATAACACCATGTCACTTGTGCCCTGATCAGAGAGACCAATACAGACCAGCTTCTCCATACCATTCCATTGCACTGGGATGGAAACTATGCCAAGAGATAAGACCACAACTGCTGTTTAAGGATTGAAAAGAGCGGAGCAGATTTGACCAAGAACCCCATTTCATCTTTACCCCTTTGTTCACCCCAGAACATGGACAGATTGGAGAAATTAGGACAAACAACATTTACATTTTAGTCATTTAGCAGTTGCTCTTATCCAGAGTGACTTACAGTTAGTGCATTCACCTAAGATAGCTAGGTTCCAACCCATGGTTTAAACACAAAAACCCTCAAGCAGACACACACAGACACACATTTCCCACAGAACGGCTGTTGGGTAAGCCTGAAAAGCTGTCAAACGCGTCCTACTGGTGTGTGTTGTTAAGGGGAGAACACACTCCTCCATGGGGGAAAGTCTAACAGGAAATGGACAGACAATGCGCACACACACACACACACACCGAAAGCTGAACTGGTATAAAAATAAACATTACAGATTCTCCCCTGCCAAAATCTACAACAATTCAGAAGAATTCAGCATTTCATCAGAGGGGTATTCAAAAGGTAGCTAGGTGGGACAACCACATATCACAGGCATGTGTTTAAAGCTGGGGATGGAACCAGTTCAGGGAACAACCCGAAAATAAGGAACAGGTTAATAACATTATTTTACGTTCCAGGCATTTGTTTCTCACAAAAAATACGACAAAGCGCCCATGCAAAGACCTCACTCTGTCACTCAGAAATGTATTTCAGTGTCTGCCTGCAAGCTGAAAAGTAGTAAATCTGCAAGCTGTATAATTCTGTGGACCTAATTCAGATAATGCATGTCATAACAAGATGTCCAGCGCTTCATACCTCCTCCTCAACCCGCTCTCAATCTCTCCTCAACCGCAAAATTTCAGTCGCATCTTGCGCCATAGGCTACACTTGTCTGTCCATCACCCATGTAAACAACTAGCTTGACTGCCCTATCCACACTGATTGGTGAAGTCATTTAATAAGATAAATATATTTAAAAAACTGTTGATTTCACAGGTTAAAAAAGGAAAAGAAAGGAACGATATTAACCAGTACTTTTTGAGGGTTTGAACCGGTTCGGAACTTTATATTGCTGGATGGAACGTAACAAAAAAAAGATGTGGTTCAGAACAAGAGTGTGTTCTCCCCTTGACAACACACACACACAGAGCTAGAGTTTCTGCTTTAGTCAGCAACAAGAAAGAAGAGGTCAGGTCACACATTTTACTGAACTGGTATAAAGAAAAACACAATTACAGATTCTCCCCTGCTAAAATCTACAACAATTTGGAACAATTCAGCATTTCATCTGAACGGTATTCAAAGAAGCAAGCTTGATCTACTCAGGGTTTTCTAAAGCTAACCAGCATCAGTTAGCTTCACAATCCAGCTCAGGATTCATCTGTACTACGACCGTGGATATTGCTTGTCCGCCCGCCGTGAACTCTAGCAGGCTTGTAACTGCGTGTGCATGTCGCACACGGCTAGTCGAACGCCGAACTCTTCATTGAGACCATGCTGAAACACCAATCCACGCACAAGTCAGTGCCACGTTTTAATTTGTTTGGAAATCAAAATTTAAGAAAAGTTCTAGCAGATTCAGCAGGCTATGGTGTGGAATGTTGTCGTTAGTGTGCTTATCAATGCACAAGCACCTTTTCCCCCCACTTCTAGCAATATTCTTCTTGTTATTAAGTCATACAAAAGTGTTACATTAAATTTAAGATGCACTCTGTCATTGCTAAATGTGTAACGTGATATAGGTTAACATTACTAAATTGTATTAATCAAATATTTTAAAAATCAGTCGTCTTCATCAAATTAAAAAGGGGATGATCCTTGCAAGAGGGAGGGAATCTGATTTCAATCTGTCAGTGAACAGCATGCAACCAAAAACAGGCCTTTCGCAATATTTCAAATACAATCGCAGGAAAACACAGGTTGGAAAGCAAATGGCTCCTGATGAAAAGAGAATATCAATCTGTCTTTATAAAAAAGGCCACGTGTGCAACTTCTGCAAGCGCCTCTACACTACTGCTCTATGCCACTACGCAAAAGCGATGATAATGCATGCAATGCTTTATTATAATGTTTTTATTTAAAAAATGTATGTAATCCGGTACCTCAGAGCCCCCCAGGTCACCCCCTTATCTCGCTCACCTTTTGTTCCGGCACCTCCAAATTTACAAATTAAGCACTGCTCAAACCTGCTTCATAGGATTCCCCTCTGGTCATAACCTGAGGCACAAACATTTGGTGCTGCAAACATTTCCAGGCACCCCCTACAGTTGCAACTGAATGCCCTGTAGCAACTGAAAGAACAAGTCGAACTGGTAGTCAAAGGTGAGAAAACGACATCAAGACAGTCTTGGCACCCTAATGGTGGAACCAGCTTCCCTCTAACGTCAGGACAGCAGAGTCCCTGCCCATCTTCCGAAAAACGTCTGAAACTCTACCTCTTCAAAGAGTAATTTGCTCTGGACAAGAGCGTCTTCAAAAATACTCAAATGTCCAAAAAAAATGTATACTGAACAAAAATATAAATTATCCCATGTTTCATAAGATGAAATAAAATATCCCAGAAATGTTACATACGCACAAAAAGCTTATTTCTCTCAAATTTTGTGCACACATTTGTTTACATCCCTGTTAGTGAGCATTTCTCCTTGACCAAGATAATCCATCCACCTGACAGGTGTGGTATATCAAGAAGCTGATTGAACATAATGATCGTTAGCCTCCCGAGTTACCAAGCGGTCTAAGGCACTGCATCGCAGTGCTAGAGGTGTCACTACAGATCCGGGTTCGATCCCGGGCTGTGTCGCAGCCGGCCGCGACCGGGAGACCCATGAGGCAACGCATAATTGGCCCAGCATCATCCGGGTTAGGGGAGGGTTTGGCCAGCTGGGATGTCCTTGTCCCATCGCGTTCTAGCGACTCCTGTGGCTGGCCGGGCGAATGCACGCTTACACGGTCGCCAGTTGTACAGCGTTTCCTCCGACACATTGGTGCGGCTGGCTTCCGGGTTAAGCGAGCAGTGTGCCAATAATTCTCTGAGACCAGTCCACCTGGACAGCTGATGAAACTGTGGGTTTGCACAACATCTACACAAACTGTCAGAAACCGTCTCAGAGGAGCTCATCTGCGTGCTCGTCGTCCTCACCTGGATCTTGACCTGACTGCAGTTCGGCGTCATAACCGACTTCAGTGGGAAAATGCTCACCTTCGATGGCCACTGGCATGCTGGATTTTTTATTTATTTATTTAAAAGGCATCAGTGACCAACAGATTAATATCTGTATTCCCAGTCATGTGAAATCCATCGATTAAGGCCTAATGATTTTATTTCAATTGACTGATTTCCTTATATGAAATGTAACTCATTAAACTCTTTGACATTGTTGCGTTTATATTTTTGTTCAGTGTATATGAATGGGACATGTAGCTGAAGGAAACTGATCTAGGACCAGCTATTAGGAGTACTTACTCCTCCAAGAAGTGCTGCTGAGGGCCGATAACGGAGCCCGGCCGGCAGACCCTGATCCAGGCGATGGTCTCTGCTGCCGTGAAGTGGTAGTGCTTCATCAGGTAACAGCCTATCAGGGTACCAGTACGCCCAAGGCCAGCTGATGACGAGATAGAGAAAACAATGAGGTAATGTTTCAGAAATAAGGAAATGAATAGAACAGATTAAAAGTAACATACAGTGCTTTCAGAAAGTATTCATATCCCTTCACTTATTCCACATTTTGTTGTGTTACAGCCTGAATTTTAAAAGAATCTCACCCATCTACATACAATACTCCATACAATACTCCATAATGACAGCGAAAACATGTTTTTAAAAATGTTAGCAAATGTATTGAAAATTAAATACAGAAATATGGCATTTAAATAAGTATTCACACCCGAGTCAATACTTTGTAGAAGCACCTTCGGCAGCGAGTCTTTCTGGGTAAGTCTCGAATAACTTTCCACACCTGGATTGTACAACATTTGCCCATTAAGCTCTGTCAAATTGGTTGTTGATCATTGCTAGACAACCATTTTCAGGTCTTGAGATATATACAGTGGGGAGAACAAGTATTTGATACACTGCCGATTTTGCAGGTTTTCCTACTTACAAAGCATGTAGAGGTCTGTAATTTTTATCATAGGTACACTTCAACTGTGAGAGACGGAATCTAAAACAAAAATCCAGAAAATCACATTGTATGATTTAAGTAATTCATTTGCATTTTATTGCATGACATAAGTATTTGATCACCTACCAACCAGTAAGAATTCTGGCTCTCACAGACCTGTTAGTTTTTCTTTAAGAAGCGCTCCTGTTCTCCACTCATTACCTGTATTAACTGCACCTGTTTGAACTCGTTACCTGTATAAAATACACATGTCCACACACTCAAACAGACTCCAACCTCTCCACAATGGCCAAGACCAGAGAGCTGTGTAAGGACATCAGGGATAAAATTGTAGACCTGCACAAGGCTGGGATGGGCTACAGGACAATAGGCAAGCAGCTTGGTGAGAAGGCAACAACTGTTGGCGCAATTATTAGAAAATGGAAGAAGTTCTATAAATCAGTACTTTTTAACCACTTAATTCCTTGATATTTGCTATTTACAGTGGGGAGAACAAGTATTTGATACACTGCCGATTTTGCAGGTTTTCCTACAGCATACAATAACATGATTCTGTGCTTCCAACTTTGTGGCAACAGTTTGGTGAATGCCCTTTCCTGCATGACAACGCCCCCGTGTACAAAGCGAGTTTCATACAGAAATGGTTTGTCGAGATCGGTGTGGAATAACATGACTGGCCAGCACAGAGCCCTGACCTCAACCCCATCGAACACCTTAGGGATGAATTGGAACAGAACACTTTGTATTAATAACTTCACCATGTTCAAAAGGGTTATTCAATGTCTGCTTTTTAAAAATTTTACCCATCTACCAATAGGTGGCCTTCTTTGCGAGGCATTGGAAAATCTCCCTGGTCTTTTGTGGTTGAATCTGTGTTTGAAATTCACTGCTCGACTGAGTGACCTTACCGATAATTGTATGTGTGAGGTACAGAGATGAAGAAGTCATTCAAAAATCATGTTAAACACTATTATTGCACACAGCGGGAGTCCATGCAACTTATTATGTGACTTGTTAAGCCAAGTATCAGACCTACAGAAACAGGCCTTCGGGGCCAAGAATCCAAAATGTATCCTACAGTTGCATTACTGATTAACTTGGCTCCGCCAACATGGCAGCCAAACTACTTTGAAATGAAGAGTGAACTCTAAAATCCCTCTTTACATATTTAAAATACTCAGGGTGCGCTTGATTTAGCTTGCCAGGCACACCAACGCAATACACCTATATAGTCCCATAAAAGCAGACTCCATATGCCAGGCAAGCCAAATCAAGCACATCTCAGGTATTTCAGATATTTTACATATCTCAACAGATACTGCAGTGTGTGTGTGTGTGTGTGTGTGTGTGTGCGCGCGTCTCACCCTTGCAGTGGACGGCCACGGCTCCATCAGTGCTCTCGCAGATGTGCAGGAAGCGGCGGGTGATGACGTCGTTGGGTGTGCTGCCATCCACGAAGAACAGGTCGTAGTGGTCGAAGCCGGCATCCGTGAAGCGCTTGGCGTCGTAGATCTTCTTATTGAGCCGCACCACCGTGGTCACGTTGTGTTTCCGGAAGTAGGGGAAGTACGCCTCTGGGGCGTGGAGAGGGTAGCCTAGGTTGGGAGGGGAAGGAGATTCAGGTCAGTTAATTTGTGTAAAACGTAGGTAAGGAAAACTGATTCTGTTGAAGCATAGAGCAATCTTCCTTAGTATGTTGTCAAACGTATTACTACACCAATGGTGCCATCTGCTGTTACAGAGGAGAAAGGATTAACTAGAACAGATGCATAGGGAGTCTACCTGAATCTAAACCTGAATCTAAACCCTGTCAAAGGTTCATCGGTGGAGACAACTTTACTAAATTAATCTGGAACAGCTGTTGTTTTTCTTAAAGGAAAAGAGCACATAAAAAGGTCAAGGACTGAATCCAAAACTCATCTCACCATTTTCAATTTTACTTTTGGGATGGGGTCCACTGAAGGCCAGAAACTTCCCCGGCACGATCCAGTTGAAGTCACCGTTTTCCACTCGCTATAAACACAGAGCGAAGGGAGAAGACTGATTTTCTCGACTGATTGTAAATCTTGTGAATCTGTATAATTGTGTACATGCAGGGCTCCCTTGTAATGGAGGCCTTGGTCTCAATGGGATTTCCCTGTTTAAATAAAGGTTTTAAAAAATGGGGGGGAAAGGACATCAAACAGGGGCCCAGAATTATATGGACATTTTGCTCTGACTGAAAAATGATCCTAAGAATTTAGCCTTTATTTAATCAGATTGGCCACCAGTTAGTAGCCATCTTCAGTAACAACCTAAATTGAGGAGCGGTCATTATCAACAACCGCTCAATTTACGAAGGACTAATTCCTCTTCTTTGCTGCTTTTGTTTTAGTGACTACGTGCCAAACAGTTTTTTCGGTGACAATTTTCTGTCCGTTCTTTCCGAGTCGGGTCAAATGAAACTGATAACGCTCACAGATAACTATTCATGAATCTAAAAAGTAATGTCAGGTCATCAGTGGAGCACAGAGTTGCGTAAGATTTTAGAGTGGGATTGTGAATATTGTAGGGGTGCTGTGGTTTGCATTTACAGATGCTCCGCTGTTCAAACTGATGAGTGAGCGCTTATTATTGAAGCGGGTCTAAGGTCACCATGACAACATTACCTCGTAGTGCTCGTATTCATCCACGTCAAATGTCTCAAAGTCAAAGAATCCATGCTGCAGGGCCTGGAGAGGAGAGAAGAGACAGATATATATATATATATATGCGAGTGTGTGTGTGTCAAATTATTCATGACCAAGCAAAACTAGTGACTCAGACAGCCCCAGAACTAGAGTGACCTCAAACCCGCGGTCTGCTGGGAAGCCTGACGCACTAAAGACTTTGCAGCATCATGATGACGGATTATAATCTGTGATGGCTGAGATCGGCAAAGTGACCCACGCAGTCATTACCAGCTGTATCAAAGCTAGCTGTGTTGATAATTATTGCTTAAAAGGGTAGGGATAATAAAGCAATAATAAAAGCAAGATGGTATGTGGTACTGTAATTATCGGCACGACGACGTGACACGATGTGGTCGCTAGGTACGAGGTTAAATTACTAAGGATGATTATTTGTGCACTTTAACCTCACTCAAATACACTGAGTATATCAGTCAGCATCCAGCCACCAGGGCCATGGTGAGCCTGAGGAGAGAACACATGATATCACCATGCTCCTTCCCAGTATTCCATCCTACTCCCACCACTGTGTCCCTCCTGTCTAAGGCCTGTGACATGTGTGGCAGTGGTGTCAAATAGGGTGTGTGAAGTCAGTACTACATTGTATCAGCCATATGCTGTAGAACTGGAATCGGTAAGCATTAGGGGGTCGTGATTCACAGCACTGTACAATGAAGTTCATTATTTAGTGAATATTATAGTTCGGCTGAGCCAAAGAGCTATTTAGCTCGTCCTGGAGGTCCGGAAGTTTTGACTGGTTCTTTATCCACCGGAAAACAATTATCAACTGATTTAATGGATTGGCCACAGACTTCACAGTTCTGGTTTCCCATGTCTAGATCAGTTAGGCAATCATGCCGACTTTGGAGTCTAAGAGATATTGTTTTTCTAGTTGATACATTTCACTTCAACCAAAAAGTCAGAAAGACGGGAAGACCAGGCCTTTGTTCTTAAATCAAAACCGGTTGTGACCAAATTACCCCAGCCACGAGCTGTTCACTCCCTTACCGTCGAGCAGACGGTATCAGAGCATGAGGTCTGATACCAACAGGCTCAGAGACTGTTTCTATCTACAAGCCATCACATTGCTGAACACTTGAACTGGACAGGATAATGCACTTTACTGTATGATCAAATCAGGGTTTTAGTAGTCATTTTGAGTGAGGTGACAATGTAGAATGTGCCCTTTCTACTTTTATAGTCGGAGAAGGTCTCTTTGCTGATGCCCTGTTTGACTTTGAATGCGAGTTTACGTGACCTCAGCTCAGCCTATCAGGAAACCGGGCCGGTCCATCTTGGTAGAGGGGCCAGCCGTTGCCCACTGATCAGCCAAAGGCTCATTATAGATAAGTGTAATAGAGAAATTATGCAAAGAAAATATATAATAATAATAATAATAATATAATAATAATATTAGCAGGCTCATGGGCCGCCAGCCATGTCACCTTAATTTGATTTCCCTTTTCAAATATTTTTGTGTGTCAATTTCGACCAGCCCACCCAACTAAAAATATTGTGCAGCCCATCTGATATTTGCCAGACTTGCCAGATGGCCAATCCGCCCCTGCTCCTCACATAACACAGACAGGAGCTACTCTGTTATGCAGTTCCTTTCCGGTCAGGCCATTACAGGCACTCATCACAAAGCTTCATTTCACCCTGTCCCAGTTTAATAAGACTTGAGTAGTTTATTTAGGCTTTAGTTTAAACATTGTTAGTGAACTTTGTACGCACCAGGGCTCCAGACTGCGACCATTTAGTCGCATTTTGCGTCGCTTTGACTTGGCTGTCAATAACAAGATGTAGTGTACAGCGTATTCGGAAAGTATTCAGACCCCTTGACTTTCTCCACATTTTCTTACGTTACAGCCTTATTCTAAAATGGATTAAATTGATTTTTTTCCCCCCCTCATCAATCTACACACAATACCCCATAATAACAAAGCAACAAAAAAAAAATTATATATCACATTTACATAAGTATTCAGACCCTTTACTCAGTACTTTGTTGAAACACCTTTGTCAGCGATTACAGCCTCGAGTCTTCTTGGGTATGACGCTACAAGCTTCGCACACCTGTATTTGGGGGAGTTTCTCCCATTCTACTCTGCAGATCCTCTCAAGCTCTGTCCGGTTGGATGGGGAGCGTTACTGCACAGCTATTTTCAGGTCTCTCCGGGGGTTGTTAGATCGGGTTCAAGTCAGGGCTCTGGCTGGGCCACTCAAGGACATTCAGAGACTTGTCCTGAAGCCACTCCTGTGTTGTCTTGGCTGTGTGCTTAGGGTCGTTGTTCTGTTGGAAGGTGAACCTTCACCCCAGTCTGAGGTCCTGAGCGCTCTGGAGCAGGTTTTCATCAAAGATCTCTGTACTTTGCTCCGTTCATCTTTCCCTCGATCCTGACTAGTCTCCCAGTCCCTGCTGCTGAAAAACATCCCCACAGCATGATGCTGCCACCACCATGCTTCACTGTAGGGATGGTGCCAGGTTTCCTCCAGATGTGACACTTGGCATTCAGGTCAAAGAGTTCAATCTTGGTTTCATCAGACCAGAGAGTCTTGTTTCTCATGGCCTGAGAGTCCTTTAGGTGCCTTTTGGCAAACTCCAAGAGGGCTGTCATGTGCCTTTTACTAAGGAGTGGCTTCCGTCTGGCCACTCTACCGTAAAGGCCTGATTGGTGGAGTGCTGCAGAGATGGTTGTCCTTCTGGAATGTTCCCCCATCTCCACAGAGGAACTCTGGAGCTCTGTCAGAGTGACCATCGGGTCCTTCTCCCCTGATTGCTCAGTTTGGCTGGGTGGCAAGCTACTGGAAGAGTCTTGGTGGTTCCAAACTTCTTCCATTTAAGAATAATGGCCACTGGGGACCTTCAATTTTATAAAAACAGTGAATTAAATTTAAAATCACTTTATAAAACAGAAATCAATGGAAAGGCAGTGTAGGAGACTATCCAGTTCAGACAGAGAAACTGAGTGGACAAAGATGCACACAAACATTGGACACGTGAGCGAGCTGTGGGCATGTGTACACACACAAAGCCTCTTTCCATCTCCTATTCTCCCTGTCAGGTCTGTGGTGTTGACAGCTGTCTGAGCTGCTCTCTCCCCCAGGTCTGTATTACGTACCTGTTCTCAGTTCTCCTGGGCAGCAGGTCCCTTAGAGAATGAACCCCTCTGCCAGCCAGGGTAAACAATGGTGAAAATGTCTTACTCCTTCTCTGTACCATGTTAAGGTTTACAAAGGAAGCAAATCACTTTAAACAGTTTATACTGTGGTGCCTGACCCACCTGTCTCTGTGTGCTGTATGTACGTTTGTGTGTGTGTGTGTACACTTGTGTGTGTGCGTACGTGCGTACCACGGTTTTCGTTAGGAAAATTTGGCGCCGGACAACGTGACCTGCAAGATTTTAGATTTACCGGACATTTGATAAATTTACCGAACATCCATATGCATTAGGTGCGTAACACATTAGGGCGTCCACCCACTTGCGCATGATACACATCCTTAGTCTACTCTAGTCTATCAATCCATTCCAAATCTTTATATTATACATGACAGGGGCAGCATGGTGTTGATCTTGCCTAAGGTGGCAGCAGAACTGCTAGGACTGGGCCTGATGAACACAATAATGTGCTTCTAATTTCCTTGTGTTTGCGGCAGACCTTGGCCTGATCACAGTGAGCCGCTGCAGTTGGGAAGTCAACACTGTCCAACTCCTTGGAGCAGCTTTATGCACATCAGCTTTGTTACTTTGTCCTCAAGAAGGCGCCATCTTGAGGCAGACTTTACTCGGTTTTGGAGAAAGAATCCCCTCTTGGCGGGCACACTGGAAACGGGGATAATCAACACAATTCTGCCCAATTTTGCCCAGTCAGGGTACACTTAGCTGAAGTCCCTATGAGGACCTCGCGTCTTTTGAGGGAGTAAAAATTGAAAACACCCGACACTAATGTCCCAGCAGCTTGAGGATTTATTAGCCTATGAAGTATATTTGCCTTTGAAGTTGGAGCACATCGACTGGTATTTCCAGCTAACGGAAACCCTGGTGTGTACGACACATAAGTGTGTCAAGCGATTAATTCTTTAGCACAGTGACATGCTAATGGAGGCACTGGGAGAAGACAGAGCAGAGAAAACAGCCAAACAGTGAATCATGGAACAGATCACTGTGATTAGAACCGAAACAGCCTGCAATTAACACAGCAGGCAGCCGTCTGAGCCAACACCATACATTAGAGACTCACAGCATTACAGGGCCATAAAGAGGTGGGGAAATGGATGCTTAAACCACCTGCAATACAGCAACGAAGGAAAGTAGGCAAGTTGTTCTGAGGGCTATACTAGCCTATACCAGGATGTGAATACATTTCATGACAATTAAGGAAACAAATTTAAATTCCCCCAAATCCTAATTTCAAATAAATGGGCACTGGAGTTTCAAATCGCTGAAAAGTTTCAATACTGCCATGGATTAAGTTGTTGTTATTCCCTGCCTCTCACAATGGGAAGAGACATTTCCTGGGTTTTTGGGGAATGACGTAGTGAAGGGGGGTGGGGGTGGGTGCTAGGGCCTTTTTGGGAAGATAACGGAAAAAGCTGGAATGTGCAGAGGGATCTGAAACATTCCTGTCCGATGGTTGTATGACAAGTCTTTCTGGAATGACATGGCCAAACACACACAGATTCGGTTGTAGTAAGTTGCCACCAAGTGTTGATGCTATGTACGTAATAAGGAAGTTCACATTATCCCAATTTAACTAGAGGCCCTCCATTCCATGTCAAAACATGCTAGAAAACAGCACTGTAAAGATAGCTAGAAAACAGCACTGTAAAGATTTCTCCATGACTTCCAGCAACTAAATATAACCAGGTTTGCACACACTCTGCACAGAAATATACTGAACTTAATAGACAAAAGAAAAAGCCTAAGGTGGCATAAGGATGTTCTGGGTTTTGTTTGTTTAGTTCTCATTCCATTTTGACCACTAGGAGATTTGCCATTAAATACAGGGAATGTTCTGGGAGATGCTGCATCTATAGGGAATGTTCTGGGAGATGCTGCATCTATAGGGAATGTTCTGGGAGATGCTGTATCTATAGGGAATGTTCTGGGAGATGCTGCATCTATAGGGAATGTTCTGGGAGATGCTGTATCTATAGGGAATGTTCTGGGAGATGCTGTATCTATAGGGAATGTTCTGGGAGATGCTGTATCTATAGGGAATGTTCTGGGAGATGCTGTATCTATAGGGAATGTTCTGGGAGATGCTGTATCTATAGGGAATGTTCTGGGAGATGCTGTATCTATAGGGAATGTTCTGGGAGATGCTGTATCTATAGGGAATGTTCTGGGAGATGCTGTATCTATAGGGAATGTTCTGGGAGATGCTGTATCTATAGGGAATGTTCTGGGAGATGCTGTATCTATAGGGAATGTTCTGGGAGATGCTGTATCTATAGGGAATGTTCTGGGAGATGCTGTATCTATAGGGAATGTTCTGGGAGATGCTGTATCTATAGGGAATGTTCTGGGAGATGCATCTACCCACATACTGACCTCCAAGGCTGATTGGAGGAGGATTAGTAAGCCATGATAAGAACAGACTGAGAGGCACACACTGCTGGCACAATAAATCCCCAGCTTAGCCACTGTGTAACCTAAGGGGAGAGAGCGAGCGAGCGAGCAAGCGAGCCTTTGTCCCTGTAGCTGCAGGTAAGAGTGCCCCACCTGCTGTGCCACGTGAGGCCATGCTACCTTCCTACCGCTCACCTGCAGGGTAACATTACCGTCCCCCCGACAAAGTAGAACACCCTCGTACCCCATAGACTACACACAACATTTGATCACCCCGCTGGATTACATAACTCTGCCCTCAGTCTGGGATTACGGTCTTAATAATGCTAGGTCAGGATGTGCGGGCAAAGCTGTAAACAAAGACAATGCTTTAGACTGCTATGGCAGGTTTGGTTGAGCATGGAGTCTCAATGCTATATTGGTTGGATGAAAGCAGGTTATTTAAGCAATAAGGCCCGAGGGGGTGTGGTATATGGCCAACATACCACGGCTAAGGACTGTTCTTAGGCGCGACGCAACGCGGAGTGCCTGGATACAACCCTTAGCCATGGTATATTGGCCATATACCACAAACCCCCGAGGTGCCTTATTGCTATTATAAACTGGTTACCAATGCAATATGAGCAGTAAAAACAAATGTTTTGTCATACCCGTGGTATACGGTCTAATATACCACGGCTGTCAGCCAATCAGCATTCAGGGCTTGAACCACCCAGTTTATAATTGGTTTTATGAGACAGATGAAAGACTTGGGTCATTTCATTTGTAACCCCGTCACACTGCAAGACTCATCCTAACTCGTTAAGTAGAAATAAGTCTAGATTTCCTCAGTTTAGGCTGAAGGTGTCACTAACTTTAGGTTAAGCTGCAGATATACCATGTAGATGTGTAGGGTGTCAAATAATTTGGTAACTCATTCAGAATTACAGTAATTACACAGTAACTACACATGTCAATGTTGACCTAAGTACCGTATTTACGTTTAGGTCACCATGGTAGTTACTGAGTAACTAAAGGCCAGCATCACTTCCTGTAAAGTGTTGGCTTAGCCTTGGATATAAGAAAGTGCTTAGAATGGTGAAAGAGGGAGGACAGGAGGGAGCAGATATGTTACACAACGGATTGCTTTCTATTTAACGTTACCATTTACTGTAAATCCACTAAGTCCATAAATACATAAAACTCACTTTCCGGATTCCTTGTAAGCAGTCGAGAACCGTCAGGTTGTATGTGCAATTTCCAAACGAGGCGTCCCTGAAACACAAAGAAATGAAGGCGTGAGTGAACAATTCGTTGAAAGATGAGTGTGTGATAGTGTCGCAATGAACACATCAGAGATTGGAAAAACAATATGCTGGAGCCCACACATGGCTACTGTATAGGAGGACCTATGGATAAGAGGGTATACAAGGTGCTCCTTGAATAGGGTAGGCTATATAGTTAGTCTCCATGTTTTTCTAAGTACTTCAGAGAGATTGGTGGAGGACAGCCAATGTAGCATCCTTGTATCAACCCTCCACACACACAAACACCCATACAAGATTCAAAATATAGAAAACATCCCCATTGCACACACACACACACACACATAAATAAGCAACCCCTTTCCAAATCTATAAAATAAATGATATCATCTTTGTGGGACATGGGTACCAAGAGGAATGCTCCAATTGAACCAATCATTGAGCCAGGACAACAGTGATGTCACCATCCACTTCTCAGTTTACATCCTAGATATAGAACCCCTGAGATACAGTCTGAGGGTGACACTGACGGTCACCTTGGAGACATTTGGAGTGTCTCATATTATGGGATAGATGGAAATTAAATAATAGGCCAGCGACAAAGGATAATAAAAAAACATTCCGTTTTGAAACAGGGCTTGAAACAGGGCTCTGTATATTCATGGTGCAAAGCGTAAGACCATGTTCTTATGGGGATGTTGCTTGCAGAGAGTTGGCCCTGAGAGAGGACACCAGACAATGTGGAAGAGATCTTTCACAAAATCAAAGCATTTGCATTGCGGCCCTATTTGGCATAGTCAATAACATAGTTTCTGTCTCATACACACACAATCTCAGAATGAACATTATGCGGCGTGAGTTTACTTGATTCCTCATTTCGTATGCATATTGTAGATGGCAGAAATAATCTGGGTCAAATTCAGCTGTTGTGTTCCCTTACTGCTCTCTAGGTTTGAGTGTCGCTGCAGGCTGTGAGTGTTCTGCTACTGACAGGAGCTTCAACGTGAATGGGACAGAGGTCCAACCAAGAACCTTCAAGAGGCCACCAACACAAAGCAGTGTGTTGGAAGCATGAGGAGCTCAGTTACTGTGACACGACTCACAAACCACATATTCACGCGCACACACATAAACCATGTGTGTGATTATATGCCATAGTGTGTGAGTCTCTGTACCGTAATGTGTGTCTATGTACCACTGTGCATGTGTGTGTGGGTCCATCCATTTCCCCGTCATGACATTGTAACAATCCCATCTCAAACTCCAGCCTGCACACAGTTAAAATAGGTCAACCACTACTGAGTAGGGATGTGACAATATCGCGATACTGGGATCATCCCTCAGGGTAGCATCTGTGTCCCTCCCTCCCTCCGTCTATCACCCCTCCCTTCCTACCTCTATCCCAGCATGCCAACATTCTCTAACCACACTGACTGACCCTCTGGAGGGAACCACTGGGGAGAGATGGAGGAAAAGTCAAGGTCAAAGGCCCAGTTAGAAATAGACTTTCTAAAAGTAGCTCAAGATATCCATCAAATCCAGTTAAAAGAAAACTAAACAGTGCTGGCTATGCAGAGTGATGGGAGGAGGGTTGGTCCAGCCTCTCTGTACAAGTACATAAAACTAGGCCTATAGGCTGTAGGTTAGTTGGGAATACTCACACAGCTCTTAAAGCTATTCAAATTGCTGTTTGACTTTAGTTGTTTGTGTTTGTAATTCCTCAAGCTACCACTGGGGGGAAATAAAATGAACATTACAGACTGCACGTTTTCAAGCGCTGGACCAGAGAGCCTAATGATGGAATGATGAGAACGCCATCACCCTTCTTCGCCATGCTCCCCTAGTTCATTCTAAACCAATTTCAAACATATTACATAAGTGCCATCCCGTTAGCTAGGGGCCCAATAGACCTGGTCATGTAAACTGTCATTCTCGCTCTAAACACGCAGGCAGGTTGAGACAAGCCCGAAGAGCCAATATCTGTCACTATCATAACTCAAGCCAACAATACCCAAATCAATCCTAGAGCCTGGCTGCCAACCCATGTCACAGGGCAATGAATCACAGTTAGTGTGTGCAAGACAAGTAAAGACAGCAAACATACAGGTCAATGTAGGGGCAGAGAGGGTGCAACAGCACGACATGCCTTCACATTATTCACTCAGTCCCTTTCCCGCTACCACATTAATGTTCCCCCCACCCCAATTCCTGACCTCCATGTGGAATTGGTTTGGAATGCCGATGGGACTGTGGTCATGAGGGTGTTACTCACTCCACAGTTCATTAGGAAGGAGCTGATGAGATAAGGTTATTAGCTACAGAGCATGTACACCCCACCCCCCCAACACACACACACACACACACACACACACGACTATAGCCTCGTTCCTGGTATTTGTGATTTATTCAAGGAAAAGGTCAAACTAACAAGGAGGTGGCCAATTGCAAAAACAATCCTAACCCAAGATGATAGTGGCTTGGATAACAGTAGCCCCATCTGACCCATCCTTATAATCCCAAATTAAAGCTGCTAATCTAATCCAGCTACCTATTCTAAACCGTCCACTCCATCCAGATGCATGAAAACTGTTTGTTCGTTTGTTTGTGTTATATGACAGACAAACAAACCAGGATAACATCAAGATTAAACAATGTTTGCACGTAACAGTGGTAAATGGTAACAAAACATTCCTGTTTATTGTATTTGTCACTTTCACTCCTCTGAAATGTAGTTCAATCCTATTAAAAAGAGTGAGTCCGCTGATCCACAACAGGCATAGATATCTTACGCTACGCGAAAGCGGATTAGTCCATGTAATGCTTGGGAGAGAGACAGGATGTGTGTTTTTATGGAGTGGTTGGAATATACAGAGTAAAACAAGTGTGTTTTGTTTCAGAGTAAGGCAGGATTAATAATTGAAGAAGACATTTTTGGGGATCTAAACTTGTAGGACATAGAAAATGTTTTGTCATTGCCACAAGCCTGGGAAAACCACAGACCTTACTATATGAAGTATAATTACTATCCGAGAGGGCATCGATTCAACTGCTTTTTCAGGTATAATAACTGACCTGGTTCTGATGGACACGAGACACTCCGGATGTTATTTGAGCCTCACCAGTCATGCGTCATACATACAGAACCATTATGTACACACACAGTGGGGAGAACAAGTATTTGATACACTGCCGATTTTGCAGGTTTTCCTACTTACAAAGCATGTAGAGGTCTGTAATTTTTATCATAAATACACTTCAACTGTGAGAGACGGAATCTAAAACAAAAATCCAGAAAATCACATTGTATGATTTTTAAGTAATTCATTTGCATTTTATTGCATGACATAAGTATTTGATACATCAGAAAAGCAGAACTTAATATTTGGTACAGAAACCTTTGTTTGCAATTACAGAGACCATACGTTTCCTGTAGGTCTTGACCAGGTTTGCACACACTGCAGCAGGGATTTTGGCCCACTCCTCCATACAGACCTTCTCCAGATCCTTCAGGTTTCGGGGCTGTCGCTGGGCAATACGGACTTTCAGCTTCCTCCAAAGATTTTCTATTGGGTTCAGGTCTGGAGACTGGCTAGGCCACTCCAGGACCTTGAGATGCTTCTTACGGAGCCACTCCTTAGTTGCCCTGGCTGTGTGTTTTGGGTCGTTGTCATGCTGGAAGACCCAGCCACGACCCATCTTCAATGCTCTTACTGAGGGAAGGAGGTTGTTGGCCAAGATCTCGCGATACATGGACCCTTTGCAGAAAAGCATCCCCAAATAATGATGTTTCCACCTCCATGCTTCACAGTTGGGATGGTGTTCTTGGGGTTGTACTCATCCTTCTTCTTCCTCCAAACACGGCGAGTGAAGTTTAGACCAAAAAGCTATATTTTTGTCTCATCAGACCACTTCTCCCATTCGTCCTCTGGATCATCCAGATGGACATTGGCAAACTTCAGACGAGCCTGGACATGCGCTGGCTTGAGCAGGGGGACCTTGCGTGCGCTGCAGGATTTTAATCCATGACGGTGTAGTGTGTTACTAATGGTTTTCTTTGAGACTGTGGTCCCAGCTCTCTTCAGGTCATTGACCAGGTCCTGCCGTGTAGTTCTGGGATGATCCCTCACCTTCCTCATGATCATTGATGCCCCCGAGGTGAGATCTTGCATGGAGCCCCAGACCGAGGGTGATTGACCGTCATCTTGAACTTCTTCCATTTTCTAATAATTGCGCCAACAGTTGTTGCTTCCTCACCAAGCTGCTTGCCTATTGTCCTGTAGCCCATCCCAGCCTTGTGCATGTCTACAATTTTATCCCTGATGTCCTTACACAGCTCTCTGGTCTTGGCCATTGTGGTGAGGTTGGAGTCTGTTTGATTGAGTGTGGACAGTTGTCTTTTATACAGGTAACGAGTTCAAACAGGTGCAGTTAATACAGGTAATGAGTGGAGAACAGGAGGGCTTCTTAAAAGAAAAACTAACAGGTCTGTGAGAGCTGGAATTCTTACTGGTAGGTAGGTGATCAAATACTTATGTCATGCAATAAAATGCAAATTAATAACTTAAAAATCATACAATGTGATTTTCTGGATATTTTAGATTCCGTCTCTCACAGTTTAAGTGTACCTATGATAAAAATGACAGACCTCTACATGCTTTGTAAGTAGGAAAACCTGCAAAATCCGCAGTGTATCAAATACTTGTTCTCCCCACTGTATACACACAGGCCCAATCTATTGTTAGACACACACACCCTGTTAATAAGAGGATAATGACTATAAGGGACAATGATGACAGTGATGAGGATGACACAGAGGGAGGAGTGGGACAGGTGTTGTGGAGCTGTGACCTAGGTCTTTGTTGTCAGGTGGCATGAAGGGGTGATTACAGAGCATTAGATGTCCCAGGGCCAGGCAGCGCGTCAGTGTCAGGTTAGACAAACATACAGGGGAACTGGGGAAGGCCTCTGGTGCCCGTCTCCTCTGGAGGTGGAAACCAGACAGGACAGAGGAGCACCAATAAACCAATCATTAAGGTCTAGCGAGCTGCTTGAAGCTCCAGAATAAGTTTACAGAGACACAACGTAAACAAAAACCTCTGTAAGCATTTGTACGGAATGATACAACTGTAATGATACAAATGTAAGGCAATTAGCCAAGATGTGCTTCCTAGACAAATATCAAATTATTGTTTCTGTGGTTAGAAATCATGCTGCTGTGTGGTAGAGAAGACATGGCTGGTCTGGTCTTACCTGAAGGGAAGATATGAAGCATTGGAGCCTGAGATCAGAGCCCTGTATGCCTCCTCTGGGGTCTTCTTTAAGTAAATGACCTGGTAGGTAGGTAGGTAGATAGAGTGAGAGTGAGAGTGAGAGAGAGAGTGTAAGAGCGAGAGAGAGAGAGAGAGAGTAAGAGAGAGTGTAAGAGAGAGAAAGAGCGAGAGTGTAAGAGAGAGAGAGAAAGAGAGAGAGTAAGAGAGAGAGAGAGAGAGAAAGAGAGAGAGAGTAAGAGAGAGAGAGAGTGAGAGCGAGAGAGAGAAAGAGAGAGAGAGAGAAGGAGAGAGAGGAGAGAAGAGAGAGGGAGAGAGAGAGCGAGAGAGAGAGAGAGAGAGAGAGAGAGAGAGAGAGAAAGAGAGCGAGAGGGAGAGAGAGAGAGAGAGAGAGAGAGAGCGAGAGGAGAGGGAGAGAGCGAGAGAGTAGAGTAAGAGACAAACTACACGAAGAGTTATCTATCCAAAACTGACATGTATGGATAAACAACCTCTCCAATCTTTTTGGCCCTATAATAAAGAACAAACAGCAAAAACATATACACCATCAACTACAAATCCACTGCATTCTCAAATTACATTGAATGAACTACATGACAAAATTCAAAACCCTCCAACCCCAAAAAGCCTGTGGTGTTGATGGTATCCTCAATGAAATGATAAAATATACAGACCACAAATTCCAATTAGAGAGTGAAAGTGAGGAGAGATTTTCACTGTAATAGTGAAGGTGTACATTTGGCAGTAGAAAACCTAAACAGTATATTTGACCTCTCAGCTTCCCTATCAAATCTAAAAATGTCAAACAGAACACAGAAGAAAATTAACAATGACAAATGGTTTGATGAAGAATGCAAAAACCTAAGAAAGAAATAGAGAATCTTATCCAACTAAAAACCATAGAGACCCAGAAAACCTGAGCCTACGCCTTCCACTACGGTGAATCACTAAAACAATACAGAAATACACTACGGAAAAAGAAGGAACAGCACGTCAGAAATCAGCTCAATGTAATTGATGAATCCATAGACTAACCATTTCTGGAAAAATTGGAAAACACTAAACAAACAACACGAAGAGTTATCTATCCAAAACGGAGATGTATGGGTAAACCACTTCTCTGGCATCTTCCCCAATATTTGTAAACAAGGACTGTTCACCGCAATCCACAAAAGTGGAGACAGATTTGACCCCAATACAGCAGCACCTAGATCTTCTGCACAGATTCTGTCAGACCTGGGCCCTGACAGTATTCCATCTGGACACTGTTGCCCTAGAGCACACAAAAAACGACACATACCTCGGCCTAAACATCAGTGCCACAGGTAACTTCCACAAAGCTGTGAACGATCTGAGAGACAAGGCAAGAAGGGCCTTTATGCCATCAAAAGGAACATAACATTTTACATCCCAATTAGGATCTGGCTAAAAATACTTGAATCAGTTATAGAACCCTTTATGGTTGTGAGGTCTGGGGTCCGCTCACCAACCAAGAATTCACAAAATGGGACAAACACCAAATTTAGACTGTATGCAGAATTTTGCAAAAATATCCTCTGCGTACAACGTAAAACACCAAATAATGCATGCAGAGCAGAATTAGGCCGATACCCGCTAATTATCAAAATCCAGAAAATAGACGTTAAATTCTACAACCACCTAAAAGGAAGCGATTCCCAAACCTTCCATAACAAAGCCTTCACCTACAGAGAGATGAACCTGGAGAAGAGTCCCCTTAGCAAGCTGGTCCTGGGGCTCTGTTCACAAACACAAACAGACCCCACAGAGCCCCAGGACAGCAACACAATTAGACCCAACCAAATCATGAGAAAACAAAAATATAATTACTTGACACATTGGAAAGAATTAACAAAACAACTGAGCAAACTAGAATGCTATTTGGCCCTAAACAGAGAGTACAGTGGCAGAATACCTGACCACTGTGACTGACCCAAACTTAAGGAAAGCTTTGACTATGTACAGACTCAGTGAGCATAGCCTTGCTATTGAGGAAGGCCGGCGTAGGCAGACCTGGCTCTCAAGAGAAGACAGGCTATGTGCACACTGCCCACAAAATGAGGTGGAAACTGAGCTGCACTTCCTAACCTCCTGCCAAATGTATGACCATATTAGAGACACATATTTCCCTCAGATTACAGCGATCCACAAAGAATTCGAAAACAAACCCAATTTTGATAAACTCCCTTATCTACTGGGTGAAAAACCACAGTGTGCCATCACAGCAGCAAGATTTGTGACCTGTTGCCACATGAAAAGGGCAACCAGTGAATAACAAACACCATTGTAAATACAACCCATATTTATTTAACTATTTGTACATAATGACATTTGAAAGGTCTTTATTGTTTTGTAACTTTTGTGAGTGTAACATTTAATGTACATTTTCACTTGCTTTGGCAATGTAAACATAATGTTTCCCACGCCAATAAAGCCCTTAAATTGAAATTAAATTGAATTAGTGTGTGAGTAAGAGAGTAAGAGAGTAAAAGAGAGAGAAAGCGACAGAGAAAGGAGAGCGAGCGAGAGCGAGAAAGAGAGAAGGACAGAGGAAGTGTGTGAGAGAACACAGTTAGTAAACCATGGCTTGGAATCACTGAAGCCACAGCTTTCATTCCCTCATTTTGTTAATCCTTCAGCTTCCCGATTTACTCTGGTTTTGAAAAGATTTGTTCTTAGAGCACTAATATAACAGGGAAAGGGAATATAACAGGGAGAGGGAGACAAGGACTGGGCCAAGGAGACAATGTGTCACATGAGATTTCCCAGGCATCAGCCCTGAGGCCAGACGGCATTGTCACAGCGCCACAGGCTCTCCAAATGGAGGACATAGGCCTACATAAACACATACTAGCCAACTCATCCATCCATGAACGTGCTGCTCTCCCAACCCTGGGTCAGAAAAGCAGGGCTTATCTGAATCAACTCTCAAACTAAACACTGCTAAAATCAACACCTCGGAATCCCACATCCATACAAGGAGTCGTAACGACAGAGAGTGGAGGGCAGAGACAACACAATGCCACTGATGTCTCAAATTCTGAGAGAGCGTGCAATTGGCATGCTGACTGCAGGAATGTCTACCAGAGCTGTTGCCAGAGAATTTAATGTTAATTTCTCAACCATAAGCCGCCTCCAATGTTGTTTTTAGAGATTTTGGCAGTATGTCCAACCGGCCTCACAACCAGACCACGTGTATGGCATCGTGTGGGCGAGCAGTTTGCTGATGTCAACGTTGTGAAAAGAGTGCCCCATGGTGGTGGTGGAGTTATGGGCAGGCATAAGCCACGGACAACGAACACAATTGCATTTTATCGATTGCAATTTGAATGTACAGATATACTGTGACAAGATCCTGAGGCCCATTGTCGTACCATTCATCCGCCGCCATCATGATCATGCATGGCCCTATGTCGCAAGGATCTGTACACAATTCCTGGAAGTGCAAAATGTCCCAGTTCTTCCATGGCCTGCATACTCACCCGACATGTCACCCATTGTGCATGTTTGGGATGCTCTGGGTTGAAGTGTACGACAGCGTGTTCCAGTTCCCGCCAATATCCAGCAACTTTGCACTGAAGAGGAGTGGGACAACATTCCACAGTCCACACTCAACAGCCCGATCAACTCTATGCGAAGGCGATGTGTCGCGCTGCACGAGGCAAATGGTGGTCACACCAGAAACTGACTGGTTTCCTGCCCACCTATCCGCCCCACTTTCGTTTTTGCCTTAAGTAACCATCTGTCTTATGTAACCATACCAAACGTGACATATCATACTAATTTGAGTAACCTGGATTTACATTTACTATGTTACGTCTAGTCTATGAGACCAGGCTGAAATAACAGGTCCAAACTGCCCTGGTGTGAAACACTTAGCAAATCTGGACATTTTGCAAAGGTTGACTGGATGATTTGTCTCAACTAGGAGGCTTGGATGGGAGAGTGGGCTTGTGAATGCAGCTTGTGTGTCAGTAGGTCTGGTGACATGGAGGCCAAATAGTGCATGAAGCCTGTGTCTCCTCAGCAAGTAGAACAGAGCTTTGTTTTTCCTGCTCCCGCTTCATGAAATATTCACCAGTCAGACAATTGGATATCGCTGAAATGCACAAGCTTAAATTCTACTGCTGGTGTGTGTGTATGTTGTCCCACGTGATCCATGACACATCATTTGGAGTCCCACAGGGCCAGCTGTTCGTCCCACACACATAATCCTCTTGGGATCAAAGCGGGTCATTTGTATTAAAACATCTGTAATGAGAGCAGGGCCAGAAGGGCTCAACGGAGCCTGACCGGATCAATGTAGACCCACGGAGAGAAAACAACAAGGAGTGTTAGAAAGCCCTGCCACGTTCCCTGCTCTCATTACTAAAGACAACACAATCCACATGATGGAGGCTAAATAGCTAGACACACACACAGCAGAACAGAGGTTACGACATTGCAGACGAACCTCACATCCAAGTTCCAGTTCATCAGGCTTGATATTGATTTCTGAATGCTATGTCCTCTGTGTGCATTTGTGAGCCAATCACTCGTGCAGTGGGAAGAAACGATATGGCCTGGTTTTGAAAGAGGTGCTGATAATTCAGTGTCATTGAATGAGGAGTTCATCTTGGGCATCGATCAGGGTTCAGGCTAAATTTAGCAGAGCGCGTCGCCTTGTGCATCTACCCTTGAGAGATTGTCTAGGAAGGAATAAATGACAGCAGCTTTAATAGGGTCACTGAGTGACAGATTAGACACACCATCAGTGCAATTCAACTCCTGCAACCCACAAGGTCATCAGTCTCCTATTGGCAAATCCAGGAAATGTAGAATGTACAGATATTGTAGCATGGACAGATATTGACAAGCATCTGACCATGTGTCAATATGGCTAGTGTCTAGACATGCTGACAGGACTAAACTAGCATGGGAGACCCAGAGCTATGAGACTGGGGCCCTGCCTGGGATGCTAACAAGACAAAAACTGTGTTCGAATACTCATACTAACCTCACTAACCTTACTATTTGTGACGTAAATTGAGTATGTAGTATGCTCATTGGTCATAGTATGGATATAGTTAGTATGCCAAAAGTTCCCGGATGTCGTACTAAATTCGCCAAAATACTTGGTATACAAGCAGTGGGCACTATTTATGCACTTTTAGGGCCCATAATGCAATTCTTCAGAAAATGGGCGTGACTTCACAACGTTTGAAGAAAATATGCAGCCGAAGTCTGACATTACATTTTACATTTTTAAATTTTAGTCATTTAGCAGACGCTCTTATCCAGAGCGACTTACAGTTAGTGCATACATAATTTTTTTCATACCCCCTGTGGGAATCGAACCCACAACCCTGGCGTTGCAAACGCCATGCTCTATCAACTGAGCTACATCCCTGACGAGAGGCGAGAGGGGATACAAATTCATTGCTTTAACTAATTATGACAAATGTTAAGAAAATGTGGAGCAATATAATAAAGTAATGACTTTTCAAATAAGTTACGTTACACATTATGTTGGCTGACAATTTGTTAGCTACTCTATCCTTACGAACCGCATAGCATTACAGCAGTATGTACCGGTATGTTAGCTAGTTACCTAACATTAGGAAGTCCGGGCTGTGTTTGACCGTGTGATCCACCTGAGTGTAGCGGTGAAGAGGATCAAGTTCTTCTTCAAGCGTTACCTGGAGTATGAGAAGAAGAATGGCACACCAGAGAGCATCCAGGCTGTCAAGGAGAAGGCCCTGGAGTACGTAGAGTCTAAAGGGCCAGAGGCCGCCAGCTAGACACACATATACACAGAGACACACACACGTACGTCATTTTGGGGGATTTTCCAACAGCTGTTGTGCAACTGTGGGAAAAGAAGCAAACTGGCAAAGAGCTCAAGGGAAGCCTGACCTGAGTGTCATAACAGCCTCCACACACACACACACACACACACACTGAGATACACACCCTGCTATTGGATAGTGTTGTTGGATGTTCAGAGAATACATTTATTAATTGCTTGAAAGCTTTCAAATGGTGACATGAGTCACACATGATATAAATAGGTGATATGGACTTGGCTCCTGAGTGGCGCAGTGGTCTAAGGCACTGCATTGCAGTGCTAACTGTGCCACTAGAGATCCTGGTTCGAATCCAGCTCTGTCGCAGCCGGCCGCGACCAGGAGACTCATGGGCGGCGCACAATTGGCCCAGCGTCGTCCAGGGTAGGGGAGGGAATGGCCGGCAGGGATGTAGCTCAGTTGATAGAGCATGGCGTTTGCAACGCCAGGGTTGCGGGTTCGATTCCCACGGGGGGCCAGTATAAAAAAGATGTATTCACTAACTGTAAGTCGCTCTGGATAAGAGCGTCTGCTAAATGACTAAAATGTAAATGTAATTAGTTGGCTACTAATACATCGAACTTGCCAGGCAGTATATTAACTATATGCTATCTAACTACCCAACGTTTATTGACTTGATTATTCACGTCATTCTTAGCTAAGTGGTATAGTCGTTGTGCGTTCTCAAATGGACATAGTTCATTCTGGCTATCTACTCCGATTTCAGAGCGTGCCAGAGTGCAGAATAACTGAGGAATTTACAAACGTTGAACACCCATTGAATATGGCCGGTGTCAGTAAACGGCGCCAAAAATAATCGTTATTAAATTGTTGCCAGCAGCACAGTTACAGTCACCAACGCTCTGGATAACATGAAAACAGCCTAACCAGCTCTGCTAGGGCGAGTAAAATGGTCAGAGTGAGGTGTTCTCTCATTTGTGTCTGGAAGTAGCTAGCCAACGTTAGCCAGTTAGCTTCGGTGCTTGACTACCGTTGTAAGGTCAGAACGCTTGGATCAACCCTACTCCTAGGTCAGTGTCCAGTGTGCGCTCTGAACGCTCCGAGAGCAAAACGCTCTGAATTTACGAACGCCCAGAGGTCTCTCTGTCACTCCAGATTTAATTTAGTAACACACCCGAAATCGTAAAATGTCTAGCTAGTCATTTGTAATGCTAACATGCTAGCAAGAGGTTGCATAGCAACAGCATCAACTTCCGGTAGACAGGCGAAGCGCTAGTATGCTCAGCTGAAACGATACCGTTCGTTTACAGTATACTAAAATGAACTAATAGTATATACTCATTAAGTATGTAGTATACAGTATGTTAGTATGGGAATTCGAACACATCTAAAGAGTTCTGAGGACCATGGTCCCTATTCAATCCAAGCCAGGCCAGTATAAGAATATACTTTGGGATTTATATAGACTAGCTAGTTAAGAAAACCATGTTTACAGTGAGAAACCCAACATCTGCGTTTTATCAATCATGTGCACAGCCATTAAGGGCCAAAACCAGAAGGAAGATTGATATAGCCTATATCGTGCTTCTAGTCCATGCAGGGCATCACAATGGAAAGATATTCAGAAAAGGGCCTTAAATTACATACAAAGTATGTCATGACGGTTGCTGTTCCTCTGTCTGTTCCCTTGGGGTAAGGGCACAGTCCACGGAGTAAAACACTACTGACCCACATTGCCTGAAAAGATCATCATCATGCCATCTCCGGCCTCTGTCATAAGGCATATCCTCATCATAGCACAGCAACAACAAAAGATCCGGATAAATCCTCTCGTTTACTGCCATGTGACAGAGCGGCCAGCTGGCAGGGGATGCCGTCACACATTACAGTCAAGGCTGGTATCTGACTGGGAGTGAAAGGACAGCCTTCAACCATGGCTGGCAGCAAGGGACCAAATGAATAGGGACTAGTGCAACATGAGCTGCTGGGCATTTAAAGGGGCTGGAAGATTGGGCCACTGTGGCAGGACAATAGGGCTGTCTATACCAGTCCTCTCCCATCCATTTCTCCAAGGGAGTCAGCGAGAGACCTGGCTGGCAGGGTTAAAACGTCAGGGGTTGTGCCACCTTAAAAGGAAATCAGCATTGACTGAAAGAAGCACTGAAAAGGCCTGGGTCGACAACAATACTGCAGAAACACACTAGGGGAAAAGTGCATCAGGGCCATCTGGGTACATTGATACTAATGCAAAATGAGTAGAGCTGCATTTTTTTGAGGGGTGCAGCATGACGCAACGGCCCAAAATACACTTTTTCCCCTTGCCTAACTTCCTTCCCTGCAGAGAATGCGAGAGAGAAAGAAAGGGAGGAGGAGGAGGAGGGGATACTCACAGCATAGGCAGCGATTAAAACAGCAGCATTAGCCCTTTTCCGCTGGTCAAAGCTGGTGTAGTGTACGATTCGCTTTCTGGTCAGTGTGAACGACTGCAGACAAAAGGAGAAAAATACATGTAAGGAAAAACAGCAACAATCACATTAATTTAGAACCTCTTCACATTAAAGCTACTTTAGATTAGAATAATTGATAAAGATATCTACAAACACTGGATGAGTCACAGCAAACTCAACTAAACCATGTCTAAACAACAATGGTTAGGTGACCAAAGGTTGTACAGCACTGTGCATGATCATGCATTTCTATCTGGCATTGAAACACACTAGTCCTATAAATACTAGTGTTAATGCCACACACAGAAATCAATAACGATAAACTCGGCAGCCTCCTATTTTCTACTCAAAAAAGATGCAAGAACGTGTCAGTTTCGGGGCTAATTAATAGACCTGAAGGAACATCTGGTTCTGGCTTGTATATTATATTATATTAGGCTATATTATTTGGACAGATGCAGATAGACGCTGTGGTAGATGCTCAGGACACCATTGATCCGTTAGGGAGAGGAGCCGCTGGCAGAACAGGTGGGCTGCAGGTGTGTGTGCCCAGTCAGTGTTCTCGTTCAGAATCACTGCCCGAGGCGGCCAAAGCACTCTTGAAGCAGCACAGGCAACCTAGAAGATAGACGCTGCTACATAGGGCTAATCAGTAATATCAGGAACAGCATGCTTGAGTCTATCCTAATTGAAGTGAGGTATGGAAATGAAACCACAAAGGCTTGTAAGGATGACCCGCCCCCGAGAGGAAAACCTAGGCAGCAACATACAGTGGAAGGGTGTGGTCATGAATCAATGGCCTTTCCTCAATTGGATTTGCTCAACTCCTGCGTCCTCTCCCCTCCGTCCTCTCTTGCCTCCTTTTGAAAAAATGTCAAAGGTAAATCGAGAAGAGGTGGCGAGGAGAGGGAACGTGGACGAAAATGTGCTTGTATGAAATGAGACTCCTTTGCCACTAGCGGGTCATCAGGCAAATTATGTTTACAGGGGTGGATCCCAAAATACATGTGTAAAGTGATACAAACTAAGTTAGTTGTGCTAGACATTTTATAGTTAAAACGATAAGTAGCATGTTGTTTTTAAAACGTGTGCATGCTTTTCAAAACAAAAGCTGATTCAAAGGGGGTGTGGCAGATTTCAAAACTCTATCCTCAATGAAAGGTGGCTATCGAGGAGGGGAGACACTCTTCGACCACTTACCGGCTTCTGGGTCACGGAGGAGAGAGGACGGAGGTGAGAGGGTGGAGGACGGACTTTTGTCCAAATTAGAAAAAGGCCAATAACATCACCCAGGCATGAGGGAAGCGACCTACTTGTTACATTCATGGCAACAATACGCTAGTCTTTATAGAAAAAAATGCTTTATCACAGAAAAATGTAGCCTACGTACTACACTGTCAGTGTTTCCAGTACAGTGATGGCTATATGAGCATGAGGACATAGCCCACAATGCACTGTGGGGGAAATAGACTCAATCTGCTTTAATACTTTCACCTTATATGTAAAATACTTCAAAAGACTAGCTAACAAGGCTGTTAGAGGATGTAGGCCTACGACTAAAATAATAGGCCTAAACCTCCAAGATATTGAAGAAATATATTTCCAATAGACAGATGGATTTGAATTATGGCTTTGTAATGTTTATGAAATGATCTGGGAAATGAATTAAATCTACTCTACTTCACAAATATCATGAGCAGTGAACACAACATATGTTTAGACTTGCTTGATCCTCTCTGGGTAAAGGTCAGAGTTAAGCAGGTTAAGCCAGACCAAACTGAGGCCAGGCCAGACAGAAGCATGAGTGGTGAGAGGATTTGGAAATAGGGTAGGTGAGTGGGGGCAACAACACATATCAAATGGACTCTGTAAGCACCAGATCTCAAGTCCCACAGGTGTGGGATGTTCACATCCTCCAAAACGGTGTCATTTCTCAAATCAGGGTTGTCCACTTTTCTTGGGGGTATTTTCTCTCCGCGATGATACTCTACTTGTCATGCAGCAGATCCAAACCAATGAGGTTCGAAGGAATGTTGTCCCTAGGGCAACACACTGTTCACAACACAAACACTGGAGGACAAAGCGTGGTGGCGTGGACAGGAGGGAGGGGGAGACAGCCATAAAAACATCAAGCTTGCTTGAGACTTTACCTTCAACATCGACCAACACCTACATACGACAGACCTACAGATTGTCTGCGTCGACGGAAAAATGACAGGACAAAAAGACGCAGAACCTCTATTAATGAAACTCTCTCTTTCCGAGAGTAACATTCACATGGGGGTAGAAAGGCATGAGTTAGACAAAATGTGTGTGTGTCCGAGAAGTTGGAAGCTCCCCTTGACCAGGGTCTTATGAGAAGGTTTTGGCCTGGTGGGCCTTTTAAAAAGGCCAATTGAGAGCAAAAAAAATGTGTTGACCTAGCAAGAACTTCACATCTCCTTTACCCCACATACCTCTGAAGATAATTGAGATTGCTGAACAATAAACATATTGGGAGAATTTAAGCACCCAGAATGACGACAAGAACTCAAATACTCAGGTTAGCCTAACAGCAACTGAATTAATGTAGAAATTGGCATAAAAGTGTCATAGATCATCGTAAACAGCAGAAGTGTTACGACTCCTGGATAAAAGCCCTGATTGAACTCAAATGAATTCTAATGCACATCCATAAACAAGAACAAAGATAGCTTTATAAACATGCCATGAACTTGACAGGCATAACCACTGAAATCCTTTTAAACTAGCTAGGTTTCCATCCAATTGGCGACACATTTTTATGCGAATATTCTCAAATCTGCATAAAAACAATATGCACATTTTCCCACCAGAGATGTTTCCATCAAATTGACTTGTTGGGGATAAAAGGCTGTGCATGATGACGTAGTGCACTTAAAAATACCTTTTGCGGTTAAATAAAGTTAAAAGGGTTTCCATCGCATTTTTAAGTCTACTGATGGTTCTCTCACAAAAATGTTTGTGTTATATAGCGAGTGTCCCCTCTCTGTTATTGGCACATGCGCTCTAGCCAACAGCTGGCAGATACAGTGCAGGTATAGCCTACATGATGAGATTGTTATACAAAAGGGCAAGATAATTTGTTTGTCAAACGGCAAGCATCGATGATCATGTCACCTGAATAAGACCCTTGATGTTTATTGGAAAGGAGCATCAAGCTCATCACCTTTCACCACCCTGTAAAGTTCATCATAATTTATTTAATCTGTATCCTAATAAACTGCATGCTTTCCCGACGAGTCGTAGTGGGAGGACCACACAACATCATCGCGTGACTCCAAGTTTACTTTGATATGATGGTCATTATATCAATAGATGCGCATAAAAGCGTTTCCACCTACATTTTACACATAAATAAATGTACAGACACAGAAAGATCGCACCTTGTCTAGCATATTTTGTTTAGTCAACATTTGGAAAGTTTACTGACAAATGTTTTGTTTCCATCAGGCCTGTCATGACAATTTTTGTCAGATATTTACTTTACTCGCCTAAAAAAAGGTTGGATGGAAACCTGGTTATAGATCAACATTTTTACTTTCTAATTTTAATTTAGTATGTGTGCCAATAGGCATATACTTTTTTCTGGATGTCAACTACAAACATCCTGTTATCAATAGTGGTAGCCTAATAATCACTGAAGATTTTGTTTGCACCAAACATGACAAACAGTAGTATCTAATCATTCTTTGGGGAGGCTCCAGAATAGACCAAAATACACCGTTTATTAGGTACACAAGTTTATAAGGTACACCACCCCGTTCACGAAAATGGTTTGTGAGCAATGTTCCTTCAAACATTTTTCGGCACTGAGCAAATTTCAGGTCTGCTGAGCGCAAAATTGAACATTGTGAAAATTCGGTGCAACTTCCAACGTGCGTTTACTGTGAACACTGAGGCTGTACCCGCTTTAAGTTACAGTTTTAACAGTGACCAAGTAGGCTACTGTGGCTATTTGATCCTAATGTTGGCCTACCAGTGTCCTACCATCAAAAACTATGGAGAAAACTAATCCCATACCATTTTAACATGGAAATAGCTGTTCTATCATTCAGCCTACAGTAGCAGCCAATGTGTGGTGTTCAATGTAGGCCTACATTCCATGAGACTTTTGAAACACGCAGGGCTTGACATTAACCTGTTTATCCACTTGTCCTTCAGACAAGGAGGTGACTGAAAATGTTTGTGTTGTTTGATGCAAGAAAACACTTTACAAAATCATTATTCCCATACCATTATCACAGAGAATCAGACAAATTATGCTACCCTATGCCTATTGGCTACTCAGCTTATTCAAGCCTATCTCAAAATCTTTAAGACAAAAACAAACTTTACCCGATTCGCTTTCAAATTTGTCTAGAAACGTACACGTGTTGTGCTCTTGTCGGAAGCAATCACTCCCCTATTGCGGACTACAAATTATCTATAACTGGGCCAATAACTCACTACCTAGCAAAGGATATGAACAAAATGTGCACACGTGGCTACATGCAGCTCTTACTTTGATCTCAAAACAAGCACATCTACTCACGACCACAGCTGTAAATACAGTCCAGTTGAAAGTAAATGGCCCAGATCCATATATGGCAATGGTCTATTTGCATATAGGCCTACTGCAGCTCTGATTGTTTATGCTGCACCAGTCTGTGTACAGGCTGAGTCTTGCCCAATAGAACCCTACTCAGATGCGTTCTGCCTACAACAAAATCTTGTGCATAGTTTGTTTTGTTTCGGTATATTGCATTGAAAGTGGCTAATATTGCGTTGATTCGAACACAATTGCCACAGTAAAGGGAAACGTTGATAGTGTTAACTAACAGGGAAAACTCTAGAAAGTTGAGTGAAGTTCAATCTCGTGCTTCTCTCTGTGGGTTGATATTTCTTCTGCACTCTGCCCCGGGGACCCAGGCGCACAGCTTAGATGGAATATTGCTCGTGAGTCACGTGGCTTGCTATATAAAGCAGGCAGACAGGCATCAAGGCATTCAGTTACTGTTTGATTGAATGTTAGAAATGGGCAAAATGAGTTACCTAAGCCACTTAGTGTGGGGTATGATCGTCGGTGTCAGGTGTGCCTGTTCCAGTATCTCAGAAACGGCCGGCCTCCTGGGCTTTTCACACACTACAGGGTCTAGGGTTTACCCAGAATGGTGCGACAAATAAAAAACATCCAGTCAGCGGCAGTCCTGTGAGCGAAAACAGCTTGTTGATGAGAGGGCGAAGGTGAATGGCAAGAATCATGCAAGCTAACAGGCGGGCCACAAACAGCCAAATAACGGCGCAGGTCAACAGTGGTGTGCAGAACAGCATATCGGAACGCAACAGTACTTGTCACAGATGGGCTATTGCAGCAGATGACCACACCAGGTTCCACTCCTATCAGCTAAAAACATCCAATGGGCACACGATCACCAATACTGGACAATTAAGGAGTAGAAAATGATCGCCTGGTCCGACGAATTCCGGTTCCTGTTCCGTCATGCTGAAGACAGAGTCAGGATTTGGCGTAAGCTGCATGAGTCTATGGGCCCATCCTATCTGGTACAGCCTAGTGGCAGTGGTGTAATGGTGTGGGGAATGTTTTCCTGCCACACGTTAGGTCCCTTTATACCAATTGAACAACGTTTCCATGCCCTGAAGAATTCAGGCTGTTCTGGAGGCAAAGGGGAGTCCGACATGGTACTAGATGGGTGTACCTAATAAACTGGCCACTGAGTGTATATTGTAGCCTACACTACGAGCTGGAGCAGATTGTGGTGTTGTGTCAACCCACACAGATTATCCTGGCATCTCCAATGACTCTCTGTGTCCGAGGGAAAGTGCCAACGCAGCTTTGGGACAGGTGAGTCAGTGGCTAAAAACAGAAAGCCAATTACTTTGCCAAAGCCTTGATTTTACATGGTCAGAGGACTTTTATTTTGTCCATTCATTCCATACCTACCCTTCTAGTTTCACAATGGTTTTACAATGAGATGCACTGCCAAAGATGCTCACATACTATAGCTAAAGGCCTCTGTATTTAGTATTGTCCTTGCAAGTAGCTAAACTCTAGCCGAGGGGGCAGTGTGTGGGTTTTGTAATTATCTAAAAACTAACCCCATAATCTACACTACTGTATGTGTTGGCATGTTTTCAAATGCCACAGTCCTTGCGGTTGTTGTCAATGAGGGTGTGCGAGGTAGAACTACACTAATTGGTTTTGTTGTCACAGATGCATAACATACATTCTTACTGAGGAAAGGCATGAACAGAGAGGCACATGACTTACCTTCAGCTTTTTGTTGAGTTTACAGCTGTATCTGTACAGCATGGCTAGGTTGAGGGGTCCAAAATCCGCATAGAAGCTGAAATATAATTAACATTTAACTGGACTGGTTAAAACATATTTCCATTCTACATAGAAATGCCTAATATAGAGATGACTTAGCTATCCTAATTCACGAATGAACCCCATCTGTCATATTTCTTATCAATGAAATGTGTGTATTGAACCACCATTTTGTTTGTTTTACTTTCCTTTTCACAAGTTCAACAGGGAGGGTTAATCAAACGCTTGCATTATGTAAACCATTGGTCAACCCCAAGCCGAGTGGAACACAATGGCTTTATTAATCTGAATTGGAAAACGTTCAATTAAAAGCTGTTACATAATTGCATGAAAGCTCTTCAGCAGCCCCAGCAACACTTGTTGGCGCTGTCCAGTGGAGCGTAGCTAAAGAAATGCACTGAAGCGAATGGAAGTGCGAAGAGATACTGAGGGGGAAAACAAAACTTACTTTTCATAGATAAATTCGTCATCCGTGCAGAAGTAGTGCGTGTTTGCAGTGCTTTTTGGTTTGCTTCTTAGGGTAGCAAAATATAATCGATCTAAAAAATAAATAAATAAAAAGGATACATACATGTATGAACAGCAAACCTTCAGGGGCCATAAAAACAGTCATCACACCACAGATAGAACAATTAGGTTTAGTTATTTAAAATAATCTGTCATCACACTTTACAAAGGAAGACTGCGTTGGCAACATTGTTTACTCGTGCGATTGTATCACTCGCTTTCCGCGAGCTGTGATTACAAAGTATCTGATTTGCCGTGCAAAACTACATTCATTCAAAATGTCAGTTTATCTCAAAATAGCAGATTAATTCGCTATCTTAGTTTACTTTGAAAATAAGAAAATATAAGTTATCAAGTTAGCCAGTAGCCATAGTTAGTTGTTCTCGAACCAATTCGTATCAATAACAGACAGTTTAGACTGGCTCGCGAGGTGCAAAATAAGAAGGCTAACTAGCCAGGTTGGCGATAACTAATTAGCAGAAAGTTCACACACAGCTAACAAATGTTAACTTACCTTTTATTAATTCACAGGCTCCTATCAATTCTATGTCGTCTGCCATTTTAAACAAAGTTGAAAGGATAGGAGAATGTTTAAGGCTGTCGAGAGTCATCGACACACAGACAAGTTGCCAAGACCGACTAAACTGGTAAAAAGCTAACTAGATAATGATATTAGACAACATTTAAAAACGTAGAGTAGCTAATGAAGTTAGTTGGATAGAAGCTATCCTAGTAGCTAGCGGTTTGCTAGCAGCCACGCACTTTGCTCTGCTCTTTCTAGGCTAAAATAATAAATTAGACGTAATTTGCAAATTCCAATTCAAAATCCATGACAAAGAAAAGTAAAGCTCTGCAGCAGAAAATATTTGCGTGTCTCTTCGTTTCATTCAGCGCTGAGGAAAATATCCATGCATTACAAATAGCAGACGTCCCCTTGACTTATTTCCGACCCAGACACCGCACAAATCTTTTCCCTGAATCCCTGCCATGATTGCGGATAGTCATTCGACTACAAGCACACATCTTAAAGGGACATCACATGGTAACCAGAAACCCTATCACCACACAAAGGCAAGTTGCCAGGGCATGGTCTCCCTCAACCAATCAGCGATCAAAAACATTGTCTAAAATCGACAATGGAGGGAAGGACCCAGTAAAGACAGTAGAATAAAAACGTATATGGGTGAACACTGAGGCCTATGTCAGTAACACACTTTGATTATGCCTGTTCAGCATGGCCCAGTGGATTATTTACAAAAGTTCTAGGATGCAGGAAAAAACATCATGACATGCTATAAACCCACCAGAACTATAGATGTAAATAAATATATAGCTTGAGATGAGCAACTGAAACTTCAGTTAATATTTTAGCAACCTTAGCCAAACGCCTACTTAGCGACCGCATAAAGAATTTCAGACCTCTTGGAGTAATGGCTAAGATCTTGGTTGCTGGACCTTGGATCATGGAGTCGGGGCGATTCCCTGAATTTCGCTTCACTGGTGTCAGAAGTGGGATGGTGCTTATTTTATCTGATAAACTCAATACAATATACAACCAAACTTGATCTCAGCTTAATCTCATCCTCAACGTGTAATTTATCTTTATTTCCAAACATAAGTACTGCCCCTAAAGTACACTGTGACACCTGAATCAGGTATCATCATATAATTAGCGTAGGAATTAGAATACTAATAATAGTATAGTAATAATAATGACTATTATTACTTAATTTTTTTGTGCAAGACATTTTATAGATAAAACTATAGGTAGCATATTGTTTTAAAACCTGTGCATGTTTTTCTCCACTGACAAAACAAAAGCTGATTCAAAGGGGGGTGTGGCAGATTTCAAAACTCTTCTGCGTTTTCAAATCTGAGAGTAAATAGAGCCGAACATATTAATAAAAGTCCCCTTGTCCTTGAGAGATTTACGCGGTTATCAAAATGTCACACCAGGTTAAGCCTGCATTTTACTGTGATGTCTTACATGGTCCTGAACCTCCCTATTTGTAAAATGTATACCGATGTTGCCCTAAAAATAAATACTTTACCCAAGAGTAAAATTATATTTCCCATTGACGGATGGTGTTTTTTCAGATCCCCTAACAATACTGTTTGCAGGTCCATCTGAACCCTGATATTATGACATAACAACCATTCATGGACCCGACTCCAAAAGCGAGCCACCGATGGACAGTACCAGAAAATATGTTCTATTGATTGTGTTTCCTTTTGCAGAGTCTGCACAAGGCTGACTGTTCAATGCCCCATAAACTGAGCATTCTTTTTGTAGCAAGTATTTTATATAATAGCTTAAATTGAAATTAATGGATTGATGTGTCAATTGTTGTTTTACAGTGACTTCGGAAAGTATTCAGACCCCTTGACTTTTTCCATATTTTGTTATGTTACAGCCATAATCTAAAATGTATTAAATAAATACAAATCCTAAGCAATCTACACACAATATCTCCCGAGTGGCGCAGTGGTCTAAGGCACTGCAGTGCTAGCTGTGCCACTAGAGATCCTGGTTCGAATCCAGGCTCTGTTGTAGCCGGCCGCGACCGGGCCGGCAGGGATGTAGAGCAGGGTTCGATTCCCACGGGGGCCAGTATGAAATAAATAATAAAATAAAAAGTAAATAATAATAACGACCCTAGGCACACAGCCAAGACAACGCAGGAGTAGCTTCAGGACAAGTCTCTGAATGTCCTTGAGTGGCCCAGCCAGAGCCCGGACTTGAACCCGATCGAACATCTCTGGAGAGACCTGAAAATAGCTGTGCAGCAACGCTTTGCTTTGTCATAATGGGGTATTGTATGTAGATTGATGAGGGGGAAAAAAAACAATTTAATCAATTTTAGAATAAGGCTGTAACCTAACAAAATGTGGAAAAAGTCAAGGGGTCTGAATACTTGCGAAGGCACTATGTCACTTAATAGTAATTTAATAGGATCTATATGGGTATCATTCCCTGTGCCAGTATTTATGTGGGTCACCCTCAATGAGAGGGAGTAAAGCAACCCCTTGTTATTGCCATCATGCACAGTTTGGGGCTAAGTTAGAGGCTACACTGAACTTATGCCTCTGGAGCTGCTCTTGAGTCAAAGTCCCCTAAATTGACAAATATTATCCAGAACTTGACCAGGACAAACTCTAGCCTTTCAAGGTAGGCTTTCTTAAAGGGATGGTTCACTAAAACTATACATGTATCTAATTTTTACTTATTACCTAGGCTTGTATCAACCCTATGAGCATACTCAGGTTTATTTGGTAAGCACAAAATCATATACATTTGTATTTTAGTGAACCGTCCTTTAAAGATGGAATCCACAGTAGGGGAAACAGCGTCAGTGGCCGCCCCACTGCTGTTTTTGTTTTGTTGACGAAGCAGAGCTGAGGCGTGTCACGCATATATATTTTTTGCTGTTCTATAGCGTGGCCAGAAAAAAATTGTTCATTGTTTACATTAACTCCTTTGTTTTAATATCACAAATGGACGTGGCAGTTTCACCATCTGTGATAGCATGCCATTTATGATAGTAGCTGTTTCATTCAATCACAGGATTGCAATAAAGACTGTGCCTGTTTTCACCTCACAGAAAATGTCCCATAATACGGTTATTACCAATCAATAAGTGGATCTTAGAAGAGATACCACAAAACAAACTATAATACACATTGATCCTAATAAAGGTTGATGCCTCTGGCAGCAGTTAGGGAGAGAATGTGGTTTTCCACGGATCCAGCTCACCTGCTATGAGAGAGATCCAGACCCGCTGCGAGGCTGATGCTGCGGCTGCAGGCTGGCTCCAGTCACTGTGCTCCTGGGCCCTCCAGGACGCAACGTCTGACATGACTTCATTGGTGTGCAACAAAACGGGAGGTTTGGGGGCCACCCTGGACCTTGGCGACAACTCTGTGGATCACTGTGCCCCTTCCAACCCCAGAATATAAAGGAGTCGATGTTTACCAAACGATAGAAAAAGGGGCTTTGTGAGTGCTGTACCCCTGAGCGTCCCAGAGGAACACAAAGCTAAGGACGGTGGGATCAGGTAACCATCTCAGGTTACTGCAATGTGATCGGCCCTCACATGGGGCTCCTGTTACACAGCAGCCAAGGTGTGAATTTCAAGCTTCCTTGAGTTCCCTCTCCGATTTATCAACCACTAATGTGTAATTTCCTCTCTGTAGACAGATATCGATCTGCCCTATAAATGCTGCTCATTTGTCATCTAATTGCTGTGCTGTGTATTACAGTATTTTACACACACCACATGCATTGACGAGTTGTTCGTATTTGGGGTCATGTCAATCGGGCACACGTTGAGACGACCTGATACTCTCCACATCTGACATCATGGAAAAGAAGGACAAGCAAACCTGTAGTTGTAAAGCAGTGGACGGCTCATAATAATGGCTGGGACAGTTAAAGTGTCACCAACCGCCTGTGCTGTAAAGAGATGTACAGTGCAGGTAAGCCAACAAGGAAAGCAATTTCAGACAAGGGAATGTTTGGACGTGCATAGTTTCCTCTAATCTGTTTATTCTAAAGAACCACCAGACAATAGGCGTATTACACCAAGGAAGTTGTCTTGACAGGGAGTTTGTGTGTTTTGCTAACTTTAAAACAGTGACGTGATGCAATTTCCCCAACCTCTCAGTGTTGGGCAGTTGAAATAGCACTGGTGTTGAAACATAGGCTTTTATGGCTCTGCCAATTCTCCCAGTAAATATTTTCACTTCAGAAGCGTGTTGACAATAATACCTTACGCAACCATTGTTAGGGCAGTTCAGAAAGGTTAAGCAAGGGTTGACGAGGAACAACATACAAGCGTGTATATTAGACAAATACAGGTTACAGTATATTGTTTACATTGTACATTTTCAGGCCTGTTCTTTCATGTCATCCTACACTATGAACCTGATAAGATTTACTATATTGTTTGTTTATCTTGCTTTATCTGCAGTGAAAATGCCACAACGGCCCTAAAGTCATGTGGTGTTGACATACTGTATCTATCAGCACCACCACAAGTTTGAGAACGCACAGAGATTACATTGTAGGCCTACTGTACTGTAGCAAACAAATCTTTCTCATTCACATACTTTCAAGTCCTACATCAGCTCTCTAAACAGTCTAAGGTTTGGTACCTTTTATTGTCTTAGAACAGACTGAAACAGGATGGGTGGAGAAAGAGGAAGAACGATGAAAAGATGGAAGGAAACAGGGCGAAATGATAACTGATAAGCCTAAGATTACACAATATCCCCTGCCGTGAGTACATAGCCAGGACCTGGTGTCCAGTCCCTGAAATAGACACAGCAGCCTATAGTTTATATAGTGCCACTATTCTGGGTGTAGTAGCAGGGTTTTATTTATGAGAATTTGTAGTTTTCTGTTCTATGGATGTACTGTAAATCGGTATACAATTCATTGACCGAGCTCCCAATAAAAACTATATTATTTTCAATTTAAAACAATAGGGTAAAATTAGGGAGTTTTTGACTTTATCAGCAACACATGTAGATTACTGTTATGAATAACTGGATATTGAATAAAGCTCAGTGGTCACAACAACCTCCCCAATGAGATCTGTCTCCATTGTCCCTGCATCTGGTGGTGAGTCAAGAGGACTGGAATAGGCCACAAAAATAGCTAACCAACAAGCCTTGCAGTAAAACCCTTAAGCCCTCACATTCACCACTTACTTTCATAACCACTCAACGAGCAAAGCTAAAACACACCGTAGTTGACCTTCACATTATATTTTCATTACTTGGAGAGCTTATTGAAAAAGTTGTCAAGTAGACGCAGACGGGAGGAAAAAAGTCAGCATTGCTGAGAGAAGTTACATAAGGTTTTCCACAGGTCTACACTTCACTCCTGAAGACTTCAAGTTCAGGTTTTATTGTCACATGCACAAATACAGTGAAATGCTTAAGGTGTCTGCCTGCATGCTTTCCAGTCAGACAAACCGGCAGCTATTTCTTCTAGTGATCTGGAATAAGATCACTATGCACTTCAACATTTGTAGTGGCAAAAAGCAAAGGTTCTTGCTGGTGAATCATTAGGTGGCAAGTATAACATGACCATGCTATCATGCTGGGTCAGCTAGATAGTTATTAGCATCAGACAGGCAACTCCATGCTATGTCTATGTACTCTTTAGCACATCTAAGACTTCTGGAACGTGTCATTGATTGGAATTAAATTGTCTCCTGTACTAAAATATTTGTTTGAATCACAACCATGATATGTAAAAGATATGGATTTACTTTTTTAATGCTATGAGTGATGACAGACATCCAGCTACACATTTCTGGGGAAGAGAAGATACATTAATTAATCCATGATCTGTCAGAAATCCTTTACTCAAGATCATCTCTTGTTCAGAGAAGGAAAAATAAGGTATTTTATTCATATTTTCTCAAAAAAATGTGGAACACAATCTCCAAATGGTCTTTTAAACCTTAACTGACTAATACAGTAGCCAACAACTCTGCAGTCTAATCTGCATTACCTGAGAGTGACAAACAATGCAACAACAAAAAATAAAAGTGAAATAATTGACTTATAGGAAAACTCCACCCAAAAACAATATATTGGTATTTGTTTCATTAGTCCATTGGTGCCATAGTCCCTACATTTTGCTTGTCAGCAATCAAGTTCAAGAGATATATATATCTTCCAAAATAGAGAAATCCTCCCCGTACGATGCATAACGGCACTACAATGATCAACTAGGGACAGAGAACATGAACAATGTTTTTTTGCCATAAAAGCCTGTATGCACTGAGGCGCTTCAACAGACTACTGAAACGTACACCCCTTCTACGCAGAAATCTAATGTTTTTATTATAACAGTGTAAGGCATTAATACCCTGAGTTATACAAGCTACGAGGGTAATGACAGTTAATGCAATAGGGGGGAAAGGACAACGATGACGAAACTGTCATGTGGCTGTGCGTTTGTAAACCAATAATTCATTTGCTTGAATATCGCGCCACAAGGGCCATAATAAATCATAATATAAATAGAAGCAGCATCCGACCGTTCAGTGACATCACAGTAGTGTCTCCAGTGCCTCTACCTCTATCCACGGCTGCAGGTGGAGACTTCAACATAAAAGGGGCGGTTAGACACATGGGCGTGGCTAGAAATGAGGGTTGGTGACGCCCACTCCTTGGCACTCGATGATGTAGGTGTCATTGCTGGCATTCTCGTCATCTGCCTTGGTCACTGTAAACTTAGCCTGGGAATAAGGAAAGAATTTGATCTAAAAAAGTTGACTTTATAAAACCATGGATTGAGTATACTAATTTTCCCATTGAGTCTTTGGAAATCAATTAAACTGTGTTTTTGGACCCACCTGGGTGAGCTGCTCTGCCACATGGATGGCAGTCTTCGTGTGTAGGGTGACTGGGCCAGTGCGGATTCTGGAGGTGCCGTTGGCCAAGGCCATGAAGAGGATGAGCTGCCAGAGAGTGAAAGAGAGAGATAGAGGGAGATGAAGAGTTCAGCAGCTGACTACAAATAGAGCAAGTCCAAGTGGCTGCTGTGAGATGGAGAGTGAGGCAAGGACAGGTGTGGTGTCAAGCACCTATTCTTAACTTGAATTTGGAAGTACACGTTACTTACAATGATCCTAGATTACTTACAGGAGGACACCTAAGCTTGCTTTGTGAAATACCCCTGAGTGTGTGTGTGTGTGTGTCATTACTAACCTGGTCCTGCAGAAACTCGTCCACACAGCCGTTGTGCCTTATATTCCTGAGCAGCATCTCTGCAGCCTCGAAGCCCACTTTGTCTGGGTACACACCTGAGGCATTGGGGGACCAGTATTAGACAGCCAATCCTCTCAGCATTTGTCGTCAACTTTTTAATTATTTTATATCTGGGCCCGTATTTGTAGTGTCTAAGAGCAGAAGCGCTGATCTAGGATCAGGTCTCCCTAGAATAAGAGTCTTACACTATTCTGATCGAAAAGGCTAAACTGATCCCAGATCAGCAGATCTCTTACTCTAAGAAGCTTTGAGAATACTGGCCCAGAGGTTATCGGTGTGCGAGGGGGTGCCAGAGAGTCACAGGGGAGGTGCAAACCAGGTCATTGGATAGAGTTCGGTTTGATATTTAAATAATTCAGATGCATACACTCACCATCCAAGCGTATATACAGTTTCACATCATAACATAGACATGCTCGGCATTCTTTGTAGAATGTTGCCCACTAGTGGTACATATTGGTCTGTACACAAGAACAGTGGATTTCTCACCTTTCTTGCCAAGAGCTGACCCCGCAAATATACAGCCTGTGGAAGACTCTGCGATGATTCTGGGGAGAATCGAGACACCATATCAAAAATGTGGTAGAGGTGGATAGCATTTAAGATGACAGACTCAACAGAACTGCCATGGGTACAGTAGCCTTCTCTATTGTCCATCCACCACACTAGGGACACAAATCATTACGCAAGCCATCAGTCTACCTATGAATGATGTTCGATTACACCCAATATCCTCTACTAGTGCAACTGTCTTGACAAGAATCTTCACAGAAAACATTACCATTGATTGTGATTGATACAGGTTTACTGAGGTCATACAGCTATCGATATCTTTTGACAGTGTTTACAGTTTTATCTGGTGTCCCTCTAATTCTCCCATCTCTCTCTCCCCTCCCAGAGGACCTGAACCCTTGGACTATCTGGCCTGATGACTCCTGGCTGTCCCCAGTCCACCTGGTTGTGCTTCTGATCCAGTTTCTAAGGCGATGGAAAACCTGACCTGTTCACCAGAGGTGCTACCTTGTCCCGGACCTACTGTTTCGCCCATCCCTCTCCCTACCCCACCTGCTGTCTCGACCTCAATGCTCGGCTATGAAAAGCAAACTGACATTTATGCCCGAGGTGCTTACCTGTTGCACCCTCTACAACCAGTGATTCTTATTTGACCCTGCTGGTCATCTATGAACGTTTGAACTTCTTGAAGAACGATCTGGCCTTAATGGCCATGTACTCTTATAATCTCCACCTGGCACAGCGAGAAGAGGACTGGCCACCCATCAGAGCCTGGTTCCTCTAGGTTTCTTCCTAGCCTAAGTTTTTCCTAGCCACTGTGCTTCTACATTTGCATTGCTTGCTGTTTGGAGTTTTAGGCTGGGTTTCTGTATAAGCACTTTGTGACATCTGCTGGTTTAAAAAGGGCTTTATAAATACATTTGATTGATTGAGTGGTAATGCAATGGTTAATGTCATGTAAATAAGCTCACATGATGCCGTTGCCACTTCCACAGGCCATGTCCTTCTCCTGCAAGTGTTTGGATGTTGATGTAAAGGTCCTTTATCTCTCGCCTGATAACTCTTGTTGCTGTCGTTGCCATGTCCTTGGCGAGCTGGAAGAAAATTAGTATTTGAGCTCACTCAAATCTGATCTCAGAATCTACTTCATTTTTTCATGTGCATTTAAGTCCAGAGGGGTAGCAGATGGACAGGTGAAGAAAACTGCTCCATCACATGGATTTCACCTATTCAGAAACATCTACAGTGGGGGAAAAAAGTATTTAGTCAGCCACCAATTGTGCAAGTTCTCCCACTTAAAAAGATGAGAGAGGCCTGTAATTTCCATCATAGGTACACGTCAACTATGACAGACAAATTGAGAAAAAAAAATCCAGAAAATCACATTGTAGGATTTTTAATGAATTTATTTGCAAATTATGGTGGAAAATAAGTATTTGGTCACCTACAAACAAGCAAGATTTCTGGCTCTCACAGACCTGTAACTTCTTCTTTAAGAGGCTCCTCTGTCCTCCACTCGTTACCTGTATTAATGGCACCTGTTTGAACTTGTTATCAGTATAAAAGACACCTGTCCACAACCTCAAACAGTCACACTCCAAACTCCACTATGGCCAAGACCAAAGAGCTGTCAAAGGACACCAGAAACAAAATTGTAGACCTGCACCAGGCTGGGAAGACTGAATCTGCAATAGGTAAGCAGCTTGGTTTGAAGAAATCAACTGTGGGAGCAATTATTAGGAAATGGAAGACATACAAGACCACTGATAATCTCCCTCGATCTGGGGCTCCACGCAAGATCTCACCCCGTGGGGTCAAAATGATCACAAGAACGGTGAGCAAAAATCCCAAAACCACACAGGGGGACCTAGTGAATGACCTGCAGAGAGCTGGGACCAAAGTAACAAAGCCTACCATCAGTAACACACTACGCCGCCAGGGACTCAAATCCTGCAGTGCCAGACGTGTCCCCCTGCTTAAGCCAGTACATGTCCAGGCCCGTCTGAAGTTTGCTAGAGTGCATTTGGATGATCCAGAAGAGGATTGGGAGAATGTGATATGGTCAGATGAAACCAAAATATAACTTTTTGGTAAAAACTCAACTCGTCGTGTTTGAAGGACAAAGAATGCTGAGTTGCATCCAAAGAACACCATACCTACTGTGAAGCACGGGGGTGGAAACATCATGCTTTGCGGCTGTTTTTCTGCAAAGGGACCAGGACGACTGATCCGTGTAAAGGAAAGAATGAATGGGGCCATGTATCGTGAGATTTTGAGTGAAAACCTCCTTCCATCAGCAAGGGCATTGAAGATTAAACGTGGCTGGGTCTTTCAGCATGACAATGATCCCAAACACACCGCCCGGCAACGAAGGAGTGGCTTCGTAAGAAGCATTTCAAGGTCCTGGAGTGGCCTAGCCAGTCTCCAGATCTCAACCCCATAGAAAATCTTTGGGAGGGAGTTGAAAGTCTGTGTTGCCCAGCGACAGCCCCAAAACATCACTGCTCTAGAGGAGATCTGCATGGAGGAATGGGCCAAAATACCAGCAACAGTGTGTGAAAACCTTGTGAAGACTTACAGAAAACGTTTGACCTGTGTCATTGCCAACAAAGGGTATATAACAAAGTATTGAGAAACTTTTGTTATTGACCAAATACTTATTTTCCACCATAATTTGCAAATAAATTCATTAAAAATCCTACAATGTGATTTTCTGGATTTTTTTTCTCAATTTGTCTGTCATAGTTGACGTGTACCTATGATGAAAATTACAGGCCTCTCTCATCTTTTTAAGTGGGAGAACTTGCACAATTGGTGGCTGACTAAATACTTTTTTTCCCCACTGTAAGTCGGTTGTTTGTAAGTACACAAGTGGAATAAGGACCAATCCCTATTTCTCTGGTGTAATTATGAAAACCACAACTAATTCCAAATTAAAAATGTTATTTTATTTGTCACATGCACTGAATACAACAGGTGTAGACTTTACTGTGAAATGTTTACTTACGAGCCCTTTCCCAACAAAGTAAGAAAAGATTATACAAGGAGTACTCGTACGGAGTCAATGTGCTGGGGTACAAGGTAGTTGAGGTAATATGTACATGTAGGTAGGGCTAAAAGTAATTACTACAGTACTACATTAAAAGACATGCTCCGGTACCTTGGTGACTACCACCCGCTTTTGGCTGGATGTGTCAATGTGTAGTTCATACATGCATAACATCTTACCTCAATTAGCCACAAAATAACTAGTTTGAAAGCAACGTTTTTCTTGAAGCCGCGCCATTACCCTACATTTCCTCCCATGTGGGCCTGCCCCCTAGCAATTTGAGTTCTAGCCAATGAGCTTCAGCCCCTCGCATTTGAGTGACAGCTAGCAAAAAGGCCTGCCCAGTGTTATCCAATGAGGTTGCAGGGCGGGCCCAACGGCTCAGTGGACACAGCAGTGAGAGAGCAATGACGTGGTGCACATACAGCTGCGGAAAAAATTAAGAGACCACTGAAAAATTATCAGTTTCTCTGGTTTTACTATTTATAGGTATGTGTTTGGGTAAAAATGACTTTTTTGTTTTATTCTATAATCTACTGACAACATTTCTCCCAAATTCCAAATAAAAATATTGTCATTTAGAGCATTTATTTGCAGAAAATGACAACTGGTCAAAATAACAAAAAAGATGCAGTGTTGTCAGACCTCGAATAATGCAAAGAAAATAAGTTCACGTTCATTTTTAAACACAATAGTAATATTTTAACATTGGCATGCTCTCCACCAGTCTTTCACATTGATGTTGGGTAAATTTGCGCCACTCCTGGCGCAAAAATTCAAGCAGCTCGGCTTTGTTTGATGGCTTGTGAACATCCATCTTCCTCTTGATCACATTCCAGAAGTTTTCAATGGGGTTCAGGTCTGGAGATTGGGCTGGCCATGACAGGGTCTTGATCTGGTGGTCCTCCATCCACACCTTGATTGACCTGGCTGTGTGGCATGGCGCATTGTCCTGCTGGAAAAACCAATCCTCAGAGTTGGGGAACAATGTCAGAGCAAAAGGAAGCAAGTTTTCTTCCAGGACAACCTTGTACGTGGCTTGATTCATGCGTCCTTCACAAAGACAAATCTGCCCGATTCCAGCCTCGCTGAAGCACCCCCAGATCATCACCGATCCTCCACCAAATTTTACAGTGGGTGCGAGACACTGTGGCTTGTAGGCCTCTCCAGGTCTTCGTCTAACCATTAGACGCCCAGGTGTTGGGCAAAGCTGAAAATTGGACTCATCAGAGAAGATTACCTTACTCCAGTCCTATACGGTCCAATCCTTATGGCCTTTTGCAAACCTCAGCCTGGCTCTTCTTTGCTTCTCATTGATGAAGGGCTTTTTTCTAGCTTTGCACGACTTCAGCCCTGCCCCTAGGAGCCTGTTTCGAACCGTCCTCGCCGTGCACTTCACCCCAGCTGCCGTTTGCCATTCTTTTTGTAGGTCACTTGATGTCATCCTATGGTTGTTGAGTGACATTCGAATGAGTTGGCGGTCATCCCGGTCAGTAGAGTCGTTTTCGCCCTCTGCCGGTCTGTAGCTTTGTTGTCCCCAATGTCTGCTGCTTGACCTTGTTCTTATGAACCGCCATCTTTGAAATTTTAAGGATGGAAGCAACCTGACGCTCACTGTATCCCTCTGCCAGTAAAGCCAGAATTGACCCCTTATTTTCCTCACTCAAAACGTTCCTTTTCAACTCTTTTGGCATGGTCAATAGTTATTTTTTTATTAATATTACTTTTGAGATTCTATTAGCACTGTTTTTGCCATCCAGCTGGTCCTATTGCAAGAGGATAGTGATGACCACAGCAGTGGTTTTTATACTTTTCCTCGTTAAATAAGATTTGGTTCATGTGATCACCTAATCAGTACCTAATTCAGTAGAATGAGGTGTGCCTGTGTTGGAATTCAACAGACACTGGAATAGAATGGCTGTCATACATGTAGAGATGCTGATTTAAGAATGTGCAGTGGTCTCTTAATTTTTTCTGTATATCACAAAATACGCAATTTTCGGGGACCACTTTTGGATCGTGATTGCTACTTTTAGAACTACTGGCTAAAAAGTATACAAAAGTACCGGAGAACATCTTTCACACACAGGTACAGTGCCTATAGAAAGCCTACGGCCGTTGAACCACATTTTGTTGCGTTACAAAGTAGGATAAAAATTAATTTAATTGCAATTTTTTGTTAACGATCTACACATTGTAATCTGTAATGTCAAAGTGGAAGACACTTGTAAAACATTTTGTAACGATTAATGAAAAATAGAATACTAATATACCTTGATTAGATAGGTATTCACCCCCTTGAGTCCATACATGTTGGAAACACCTTTGGCAGCGATTACAGCTTTTTTTTCTTCCTGACGATAGCTCACCGCTCTTCGTACTTGGCGACTTCAACCTCCTGACGTCTGCCTTAGATTCATTTCTTTCCAACTCTCTTTCCCCTCCTTGCCTGTTTTGACCTCACCCTTTTCCAATCCCCTCCAACTCACAAGGCTGGCAATACACTTGAACTCATCTTTACTAGAGGCTGTTTACCTACTAATCTCACGGCTACCCCCCTACAGGTCTCTGATTACTACTTCGCTTCCGTTTCTGTCTCCCTTTCCTTTCAACGCTACACCCCAACCCAACTCCGTACTCCGTTCTGCCACCTCTGGTCTCGTCAGCTTCCGCTCAGTGCAGTCCAAGCTCTTCACCTGGCACCCAAATGCTGGAAGCAGCTCCCCCATGAAGCTAAGACAGCAGAGTCCCTGCCCATCTTCCAAAAGCACCTGAAACCCTACCGATCATGCACCATCGCAATCGTCACTCTCCCACTACACTCTCCTCTTCTATCCTATCATCTCTCCCTTCTGTTAAATCCTTCTTCCTCCCGATTCTGCCTCTTCGACCCTACACTCCTCTCTTATCCTATGACTCGCACGGTCCCCTTTCCTCCCAGCCGGCTTGGCCCTCCCACTACGTGGTTGAGTGACTCATTGCGACCTTACAGAACAGGGTTGTGGGCAGCTGAGCGAAAATGGAGGAAAACTAAACTTCCGGAGGACCCATCATCCTGTCACTCCCTCCTCTCAACCTTTTCTTCCTCTGTATCCACTGCTAAAGCCACTTTCTATCACAAAATGTCAAGCTTCTGCCTCTAACCCTAGGAAACTATTTTCCACCTTCTCCTCCCTCTTTAATCCTTCACCCCCCCCCCCCCCCCCCCGACAACTTTGTCAACCACAATGAAAAGAAGGTTGACGACATCCGCTACTCATTCACTCAGCCTATTGAGTCCACTGGTCCCACTAATACAGAACTACCCTACGCTTTGACCTCTTTCTCCCCTTTCTCTCCAGATGGAATCCTGTGACTAGTGAGGTCTGGCTGCCCGACAACCTGCCCGCTTGATCCCCTCCCCTCCTCCAGACCATCTCTGGAGACCTCCTCCCATTCCTCACTTCCCTCATCAAGTCACCCCTCTGACTTCAAAAATGGCCGGAGTCGCTCTCCTCCTCAAGAAACTAACACTCGACTCATCTGACGTCAAAAACTACAGACCTGTATACCTTCTTTTTAAAAATCTTTCCAAAGCACTTGAGCGTGCTGTCTATGATCAACTCTCTGATAACCAGTCAGGCTTCAAGACTGGTCACTCAACCGAGACTATTCTTCTCTGTGTCACGGAGGCTCTCCGCAATGCCAAAGCTGACTCTCTCTCCTCTGTTCTCAACCTCCTAGATCTATCCGCTGCCTTCGACACCGTGAACCATCAGATCCTCCTCTTCACCCTCTCAGGGCTGGGCGTCTCAGGCTCTGCACACTCTTGGATTGCATCCTACCTGTCAGGCCGCTCTTACCAGGTGACGTGGAGAGGATCTGTGTCTGCACCACATACTCTCACTACTGGTGTCCCCAGGGCTCAGTTCTAGGCCCTTGCCACTTCTCTCTATACACCAAGTCACTCGGCTCTGTCATATTCTCACATGGTCTCTCCTATCATTGCTTTGCGGATGACACAACTACTTTTCTCCTATCCCCTTTCTGACACCCAGGTGGCGACACGCATCTCTGCGTGCCTGGCAGAAATCTCTGCTTGGATGTCGACCCACCACCTCAAGCTCAACAAGACAGAGCTGCTCTTACTCCCGGGGAAGGCCTGCCCACTCAAAGATCTCTCCACCACGGTTGACAACTCCACAGTGTCGCCCTCCCAGAGTGCAAAGAACCTTTACGTGACCCTGGACAACACTGTCGTTCTCTGCAAACATCAAAGCAGTGACACGCTCCTGCAAGTTAATTCTCTACAACACCTGTAGAGTATGACCCTACCTCACACAGGAAGCAGCGCAGGTCCTAATCCAGGCACTTGTCATCTCCCGTCTGGACAACTGCAACTCGCTGTTGGCTGGGCTCCCCTCTTATGCCGTCAAACCGCTGCAACTTATCCAGAATGTTGCAGCCCACCAGGTTTTCAACCTTCCCAAGTTTTCGCATGTCACCCCGCTCCGCCGCACACTCCACTGGCATCCAGTCGAAGCTTGCATTCACTACAAGACCATGGTGCTTGCATACGGAGCAGCAAGAGGAACTGCGCCTCCCTACCTCCAGGCTATGCTCAAACACTACACCCCAACCCAACTCCGTAATGCCACCTCTGGTCTCTTGGCAGCTCCCGCTCAGTCCAGTCCAAGCTCTTCTCCTGGCACCCCCCCAAATTTTTTTAAATAATACAATAAAACAACTTTCCTGAATCAGCGCTTGCACTTCACAATTTTCAAGTCTTGCCATAGATTTTCAAGCAGATTTAAGTGAAAACTAACTTGGCCACTCAGGAACATTCACTGTCTTCTTGGTAAGCAACTCCAGTGTAGATTTGGATTTATGTTTTAGGTTATTGTCCTGCTGAAAGGTGAATTCCTTTCCCAGTGTCTGGTGTAAAGCAGACTGAAGCAGGTTTTCTAGGATTTTGCCTGTGCTTAGCTCAGGGTTTCACAAACTCGGTCCTCAGGACCCCAAAGGGTGCACATTTTGGTTTTTGCCCTAGCACCACAGCTGATTCAAACAATCAACTAATCATCAAGCATTTAAAATATAAATCAGCTGTGCAGTGTTGGGAGAAAAAAAAAAACAAAAAAAAACATGTACCCCTTGGGGTGCTGAGGACCGAGTATGGGAAACGCTGGCTTATCTCCATCCCGTTTCTAAACATCCTGAAAAACTCCCCAGTCTTTGCCTATGTCAAGCATACCTATACCATGATGCAGCCACCACCATGCCTGAAAATAAGGAGGCAGTTACTGAGTGATGTGGGATTTGACCCAAAACATAAGGCATTGCATTTAGGCCAAAAAGTACATTCCTTTGCCGTGTTTTTTCTTCTTCTCAGTATTATTCTGTATATTTGTATTCTTCTTTTCACTCTGTCATTCAGGTCATTATCCATCCTCAGTTTTCTCCCATCATAGCCATTTAACTCTGTAGCGGTTTTAAAATCCCCAATGGCCTCATGGTGACATCCCTAAGTAGTTTCCTTCCTGTCCTGTAGCTCAGTTAAGGACGACTGCATCTTTGATGAGTCTGGGTGGTTTAATATATCATCCACAGCATCATTTCGTATTTATTAGGGATGAGAGAGAGTGAGTCCACAGAGTGAGTCCATATAACTTATGTGATTTGTTAAGCCAAATTTGACTTCTGAACTAATTCAGGCTTGCCTAAACAAAGGGTGAATACTTAAGCAACGACTATATTTTAGTTATTTAATTTGTCAAAACGTGTAGAATTATCTTTTCACTTTTACATTGAGTATTTTGTGTAGATCAATTACAAAAAAGTACAATTAAATCTACTTAAATCCCACTTTGTAATGCAACAAGATGTGAAAAAGGTTCAAGCTGGTGTGGACTTTCTATAGGCACTGTATAACAGTAACTTAAAGTAAAATGGATAGGCAACTATAACCCAAAGTCATTGCTTGTTATGGTACCTTATAGGGTAAAACCCCAGCAACAAAGGACCTGCCATATATCTTGGAGATGGTTCCTCGTTCGGTCATGTTGACAGGGCTCAGCTCGCTCACTGGGCTTACCTTCGCCACCACCTCACCTCCACCTTTGGGGTAGTAGCCCCTATTCAAGACAAGAACATGTATTGTCATATTTTGGGGTACAGACAGTATTTTCACACCAACATTAATCTAACAGGGGGACGATACTAACCTCATTCTCAAGTCACAGTTGAAATGTACACCAAACTTCTCCACAATGGGCTTGAATACCTAGAGGAAAATGTCAAACTTACTTTAGAGTACATCTAATGGCATTTAGCAACACAAAGAAACATTAACTTAAAAATAATAGGATGGCAAATAAGAGGATGTTTAGTGACAGTCATAAACCAAGCAGTCCATCTTCAGGCATATCTATAGACAGGGCATTTAAGAATTTGAGAGAACTAAAATACCTGATTTCCCAGGAACACAACACCCACATTACAACCACTGGTACCTCTCCCAACACAGGTTAGGGTTAGCCATACCTTGATGGTGTAGTCAATCTGCGGGGCCATGTCTGCGTTGGTGCCCCCTTTCAGACAGAGCTCAGAGGGGCCGTCAGCGTACAGGGCACAGGGTAGAGAGACCTGCAGTAGCAGCCCCACACTTCTGGAACAGAGCGACATAGAAGTACACGATAAATAGGGAAGGGAAAAGGGATAACTAGTCAGTTGTACAACTCAATGCATTCAACCGAAATGGGTCTTCTGCATTAAACCCAACCCCTCTGAATCAAAGAGGTGCGGGGGGCTGCCTAAAATAGACATCATCGGTGCCCGGGGAGCAGTTGTTGTTGGGGGTTAACTGCCTTGCTCAAGGGCAGAACGGCAGATTTTTCCACCTTGCCGGCTCGGGGGATTCAAACCGGCGACCTTTTGGTTACTGGCCCAACGCCCTTAAACGCTAGGCTACCTGCCGCCCCAGGAGACATACTCCCAAATGTAAATATCCCCCATCGTTATACACAAAATGGATTTCCATGTAAAAATTGACACTGAAGTATATTGTATCTTCTGAGGCAAAATGTCTTTCCTTCTATTTTGTGAAATTGTCAAACTCTACAAATACTTTTAGATATTGTTTTGGGTAATGTTTATATGGGTATCAAGTATCATGTCAGGTTTTTAACAAGTGTGTTTGGATAGCCATCCACAGCTCTGTCTTTCTTGTCTGAGATTAGGAACCAGAAACTGTCTGTCCCATACTCCCACTGAATGTGCCGTCAGGGATAACGGTGGTGCAGCCTAACAAGACTTACCCTGCCGTTTGTGGGTCTGCGGTGTGATTCCCAGCTTTTATTTTCCCAGGGGTGAGTGTGACTTCTGTGGATCCCACTGAGCCTCCCTCAAGATTTCCACAACAAATGTCCCTCACCAACTCCAACCCTGACAGATGCTGTGGTCTAGTAGTGAAAAGGGGAAGGGGGGGTAGGGGTTAACAATGAAAGGAAAAATACTTCACTATTTCACTTGAATAATGACAAAATGTTGGCTATGATATTATCTGCGCTGAATAACACAAGGCTATGAGGGAAAAGTTTTGTAGTTCAGTTGTTGATAGCGATAAGTCAACAGCCATGTGCTTGCCCATTACCAACAAAGGATCACATGAAAAATGTAGCTATGAGGGTAGGCATCTGCCATTAAATATTAAACAAAACAGACAAGTTACAGACCATGGGCTGTAAAACAGTTATCGATTGTCAGAGATTAAAGTTGACGCTCGTTCTGCTTGGAAAAGAAAGGTCCTTTAAACCAACTTTGCTTTGTTTTCTGATTCACTAAACTTCTGTCTGGGGACGCCGGGGATTGCCCCAGGGCTATAGACTGCAACTGGAATGAAGCTTTATTTTATTAGTAGGATGACATGTGGCTTTTGTTGTGATCTAGCTAGCTACATACTCAATAATATCAAGACATAGAGTTATGAAATTAATACCTTAATCCTGGTGTACTTCTACCTGCGCGAATTTTGTTTATTCTGATGGATGCGCCGTTGATGCAACTCAGTGCGGCAGATACTCTCAAAATTTGCCCGCCCTGAAAGAGGACAAAACATAATATACACAGTAAAGACATATTCTAAGTTCAATGTCAAGTCATGTTGATAAAATATGTAGTAGAAAGTGTATTTTAATCGTGTGAAATACTCACACCCTCCATTATACTTCCGTCCATTTCCACCATTGCTGCGGCCATTTTTGAAACAAGAAGAAAAATATTTATGCTTTTCAATTACTTCCCCACTATAAGAAATTGATGATGTTTGTCTTTAAAGATGTGAAAACACGCAAATGTGGATGGTCTGCTCTGAAGTAGCTTTTTACAGCGCTTGTTGTAGCAGACACTCCGCCGGCGTCTGGGGCAGCAACTCCAATTGAGAACTTCCCCCAACCGTCACTGCGCAGTGCGGTAGTTATCAATGAAAGCAATTTCTTATTACTTCGAGAGAAAAAAAATTTAAATCCCACAACGACACGAAAAAACGGGTTGTATTTTAACTGCGATGTTAACGTGTTATTCACATTTTTCCATGAAATGTCGCTCAGCATTAAAGCTGCTACTCTTGATTATGTTGATTGTTTGCACATGCGCAATTGTGATCAGCAAGCAACCAAATGACTCACCCCCTCCCCGTTCAAAGTTGGAAGAGTAGTGGGAAAGGCCTAGAAAAAAAAACTACTAACAAAATCATATAATAATTATGAGAAATCATAACAATAAACTAATGCATAGGCATTAAATCGGTGGTTCACCGAAATTACAAAATGACATTGGTTTCCTTACCCTAGTTATTTAACATTTTCGTGCTACATGACCAAATCATCCTAAATTCTTTGAAGTTACTTATATATGATTTGGACATATAATATGCCATTTAGCAGACGCTTTTATCCAAAGCGACTTACAGTCATGCGTGCATACATTTTTTGTGTATGGGTGGTCCCGGGGATCGAACCCACTACCTTGGCGTTACAAGCGCCGTGCTCTACCAGCTGAGCTACAGAGGACCACGCGTGAACATGCTAATATAAGTACCATTGACTTGCATTGGATTTGTGCCACAAATGCCAAAAACGTACAAACCCCACCTCTTTAAGGAATAGGATAAAGTAATCCTTCTACCCCCCCCCCCCCTTACCCCACCCCCCCAAAAAAAAATAAAAAAAATAAATTGTAAAGTGGTTGTCCCACTGGCTATCATAAGGTGAATGCACCAAATTTGTAAGTCGCTCTGGATAAGAGTGTCTGCTAAATTACGAAAATGTAAATGTGAATGTAAATTTGAAACAGTGTTCAGGTAAACAAAACCAAAGCATGAATTGCTGTCATACCTTGTCCATATAAACTGCTTTAAAGGTAAGGAAACCCATGTCATTTTGAAATTTGGGTGAACTATCCCTTAAATATGTATTACAGTGAGATAATGTGTGTGTGTGTGTGTGTGTGTGTGTGTGTGTGTGTGTGTGTGTGTGTGTGTGTGTGTTTGTGTGAAAGAGAGCGAGAGCGCATTAAAGTTAGACTCAGCTTGACATTTCAACGAGCAACACAGCAGATATTGAGATGAGCGAGATGCAAGACTTCGCTCTCACACAGTCACACACACAATATCTGCGCAAGTGCACGGGTTCGCTTCACGCTGTTACAGCGTGATAGCCACCGGACTAAAACAGCGGAGAAGTTGAGCCTCGAGCTTCAACGCTCTTATTTGTTGAAGGAAATTGACCCACTTTTTACTTTCTGCATCTACGTCACATTGCTGAGTCTACCCACTTTTGATGCTAGCATGCTAGTTAGCTATGGTGTCATAGTTAGCTAGCTGAATAAAGTGGGTTGAGTCTATTCCTTTAAACATTGAACCGCTGTGGTTCACAACAATTCTGATTTCCAAGGTGGAAGTTGGTAGAGTTTTTCCTCGGGTGGTTCAGTGAAACAATTATAGTTTCTGAGGTAGAAGTTTCTCTCCCAGATGTTTAGTTCATTTCATTCCAATCTCCTCTGCATTATTGTAGCCATTTGCTACAGCCTGTCAACTATGCCTCTGCCTATCCCTGTTCTCTCCTCTTTGCACAGGCTACACAAACGCCCCACACCGCGTGGCTGCTGCCTCTCTAACCTGGTGGTCCCTGCACGCACCCCACACCTGGAGTTCCAGGTTTCAGGCAGCCTCTGGAACTGCCGTTCTGCTGCCAACAAAGCTGACTTCATCCCAGCCTATGCCAACCTCCAGTCCCTCGACTTCCTGGCGCTGACGGAAACATGGATCACCACTGAAAACACTGCTACTCCTACTGCTCTCCTCCTCGTCTGACCATGTGTTCTCGCATACCCCGAGAGCATCTGGTCAGAGGGGTGGTGGTACAGGAATCCTCATCTCTCCCAAGTGGACATTCTCAATTTTTCCCCTAACCCATCTCTCTATCTCCTCATTTGAATTCCATGCTGTCACAGTCACTAGCCCATTTAAGCTTAATATCCTTGTCATCTATCGCCCTCCAGGTTCCCTTGGAGAGTTCATCAATGAGCTTGACGCCTTGATAAGTTCCTTTCCTGAGGATGGCTCACCCCTCACAGTTTTGGGGGATTTCAACCTCCCTATGTCCACATTTGACTCATTTCTCTCTGCCTCCTTCTTTCCACTCCTCTCCTCTTTTGACCTCACCCTCTCACCGTCCCCCCCTACTCACAAGGCAGGCAATACGCTTGACCTCATCTTCACTAGATGCTGCTCCTCTACTAATCTCACTGCAACTCCCCTCCATGTCTCCGACCACTACTTTGTTTCCTTTTCTCTCTCGCTCTCCTCCCACACTACTCACTCTGCCCCTACACAGATGGTAATGCGCCGCCGCAACCTTCGCTCTCTCTCTCCCACTACTCTCTCCTCTTCCATCCTATCATCTCTTCCCTCTGCTCAATCCTTCTCCCTCCAATCTCCTGATTCTGCCTCCTCAACCCTCCTCTCCTCCCTTTCTGCATCCTTTGACTCTCTGTGTCCCCTATCCTCCCGGCCGGCTCGGTCCTCCCCTCCAGCTCCGTGGCTTGATGACTCACTGCGAGCTCACAGAACAGAGCTCCGGGCAGCGGAGCGGAAATGGAAGAAAACTAAACTCCCTGCCGACCTGGCATCTTTTCACTCCCTCCTCTCTACATTTTCTTCATCTGTTTCTGTTGCTAAGGCCACCTTCTACCACTCTAAATTCCAAGCATCTGCCTCTAACCCTAGGAAGCTCTTTGCCACATTTTCCTCCCTCCTGAATCCTCCCCCCCCCCCCCCCCTCCTCTCTCTCTGTGGATGACTTCGTCAACCACTTTGAAAAGAAGGTTGACGACATCCGATCCTCGTTTGTTAAGTCTAATGACACTGCTGGTCCTGCTCACACTGCCCTACCCTATGCTTTGACTTCTTTCTCCCCTCTCTCTCCAGATAAAATCCTGCGACTTGTGACTGCAGGCCGCCCAACAACCTGCCCGCTTGACCCCATCCCCTCCTCCCTTCTCCAGACCATCTCCGGTGACCTTCTCCCCTACCTCACCTCGCTGATCAACTCATCCTTGACCGCTGGCCATGTCCCTTCCGTCTTCAAGAGAGCGAGAGTTGCTCCCCTTCTCAAAAAACCAACACTCGACCCCACTGATGTCAACAACTACAGACCAGTATCCCTTCTTTATTTTCTTTCCAAAACTATTGAGCGTGCCGTCTTTAGCCAACTCTCTTGCTATCTCTCTCAGAATGACCTTCTTGATCCAAACCAATCAGGTTTCAGGACTGGTCATTCAACTGAGACTGCTCTTCTCTGTGTCACGGAGACTCTCCGCACTGCTAAAGCTAACTCTCTCTCCTCTGCTCTTGTCCTTCTAGACCTGTCTGCTGCCTTTGATACTGTGAACCATCAGATCCTCCTCTCCACCCTCTCCGAGCTGGGCATCTCCGGCGCGGCTCACTCCTGGATTGCGTCCTACCTGACCGGTCGCTCCTACCAAGTGGCGTGGCGAGAAGCTGTCTCCGCACCACGTGCTCTCACCACTGGTGTCCCCCAAGGCTCAGTTCTAGGCCCTCTCCTTTTCTCCCTATACACCAAGTCACTTGGCTCTGTCATATCCTCACATGGTCTCTCCTATCATTGCTACGCTGACGATACACAACTAATCTTCTCCTTTCCCCCTTCTGATAACCAGGTGGCGAATCGCATCTCTGCATGTCTGGCAGACATATCAGTATGGATGACGGATCACCACCTCAAGCTGAACCCTGGCAAGACGGAGCTGCTCTTCCTCCCGGGGAAGGACTGCCCGTTCCATGATCTCGCCATCACGGTTGACAACTCCGCTGTGTCCTCCTCCCAGAGTGCGAAGAGCCTAGGCGTGACCCTGGACAACACCCTGCCGTTCTCCGCCAACATCAAGGCGGTGACCCGCTCCTGCAGGTTCATGCTCTACAACATTCGGAGAGTACGACCCTGCCTTACACAGGAAGCGGCACAGGTCCTAATCCAGGCACTTGTCATCTCCCGTCTGGACTACTGCAACTCGCTGCTGGCTGGCCTCCCTGCCTGTGCCATTAAACCCCTACAACTCATCCAGAATGCCGCAGCCCGTCTGGTGTTCAACCTTCCCAAGTTCTCTCACGTCACCCCCCCTCCTCCGCACACTCCACTGGCTTCCAGTTGAAGCTCGCATCCGCTACAAGACCATGGTGCTTGCCTATGGAGCAGTGAGGGGAACGGCACCTCTGTACCTTCAGGCTCTGATCAGTCCCTACACCCAAACGAGGGCATTGCGCTCATCCACCTCTGGCCTGCTGGCTCCCCTTCCTCTGCGGAAGCATAGTTCCCGCTCAGCCCAGTCAAAACTGTTCGCTGCTCTGGCACCCCAATGGTGGAACAAGCTCCCTCACGACGCCAGGACAGCGGAGTCACTCACCACCTTCCGGAGACATTTGAAACCCCACCTCTTTAAGGAATACCTGGGATAGGATAAAGGAATCCTTCTACCCCCCCCCCCCCCCCCCCCCCCCCCCCCAATTGTAAAGTGGTTATCCCACTGGCTATAGGGTGAACGCACCAATTTGTGAGTCGCTCTGGCTAAGAGCGTCTGCTAAATGACGTTAATGTGCCCTTGAGCAAGGCACTTAACCCTAATTGCTCCTGTAAGTCGCTCTGGATAAGAGCGTCTGCTAAATGACTAAAATGTAAATGTAATGTAAATGTTATTGGCATTGTGGCTAGTAGCAAGTGGCATATACGTATTGGAATCAGACGAGCCAGGTTTTTGCCCCTTTGACCCATTGTATGATTGTTTCCCAGTTTTAATATGTATAACACATTCATAACTCATACATAACACATTCATAACTCATACATAACACATTAATAACCCATACATAACACATCCATAACCCATACATGACACATTCATAACTAATATATAACCCATACAAAACCCATACATAACCCATTCATAACCTATAAATATCACATTCATAACCCATACATAACCCATACATGACGCATTCATAAACCATACATAACACATTGGTTATGTTTCCACTTGACACTGAATAAATGTCATTCAACATTCAATATTTATGTATTTCTATTGGTTGATTGAATTTAAATATCAATAAGGTGTTATGCCATTGGTTACGTTTGCAGATAGGGGAAGATCGCGAACGTAAATTCTTCAGAGTCTGATATTGACATGCAAGCGGTAGGTCACGCTCTGAAATACTATATTCTATTTTCATATTTACAATGTGTACGAGTTCACTATGTACATGTCCTGATGTATATACACTGAACAAAAACATAAACACAAGATGTAGATAGTGTTAGTCCCATGTTTCATCAGCTGATTAAACAGCATGACCATTACACAGGTGCACATTGTGCTGGGGACAATAAAAGGCCACACCATGCTCAGTTTTGTCACACAACACAATGCCACAGATGTCTCAAGTTTTGAGCGAGCGTGAAATTGGCATGCTGACTGCAGAAATGTCCACCAGAGTTGTTGCCAGAAAATGTAATGTTCATTTCTCTACCATAAGCCATCTCCAACGTCATTTTAGAAAATGTGGCATTAAGTCCAACCGGCCTCACAACCGCAGACCACGTGTATGGCATTGTGTGGGCGAGTGGATTGCTGATGTGAACAGAGTGCCCCATTGTGGCGGTAGGGTCATGGTATGGGCAGGCATAAGCTACGGACAACAAACACAATTTGATTTTATCGATGGCAATTTGAATGCACAGAGATACCGTGACGAGATCCGGAGGCCCATTGTCGTGCCATTCATCCGCCGCCATCCCCTCATGTTTCAGCATTGCATGGCCCCTTGTCACAAGGATCTGTCTCAATTGTCTTAAGGCTTAAAAATCCTCCTTTAACCTGTCTCCTCCCCTTCATCTACACTAATTGAAGTGGATTTCACAAGTGACATCAATAAGGGATCGTAGCTTTCACCTGGATTCACCTGGTCAGTCTATGTCTTGGAAAGAGGTGTTCTTAATGTTTTGTATACTCAGTGTATATACAGTGCATTCGGAAAGTATTAAGACCCCTTCCCTTTTTCCACATTTTGTTATGTTACAGCCTGGATTTTTTTAATCCTCATCAATCTACACACAATACCTCATAATTACAAAGCGAAAACAGGTTTTTATAAATTTTAGCACATTTATTAAAATAAAAAAACTGAAATACCTTATTTACATAAGTATTCAGACCCTTTGCTATGAGGCTCGAAATTGAGCTCAGGTGCATCCTGTTTCCATTGATCATCCTTGAGATGTTTCTACAACTTGATTGGAGTCCAGCTGTGGTAAATTCAATTGATTGGACATGACTTGGAAAGGCACACACCTGTCTATATAAGGTCCCACAGTTGACAGTGCATGTCAGAGCAAAAACCAAGCCACGAGGTCGAAGGAATTGTCCGTAGAGCTCCGAGACAGGATTGTGTCGAAGCACAGATCTGGGAAAAGTTACCAAAACATTTCTGCAGTTACCAAAATCATTCTTAAATGGAATTAGTTTGGAACCACCAAGACTCTTCCTAGAGCTGGCCAAACTGAGCAATCAGAACCCGATGGTCACTCTGACAGAGCTCCAGAGTTCTTCTGTGGAGAGGGGAGAACCTTCTAGAAGGACAACCATCTCTGCAGCACTTGCAGAGTTGCCAGACGGAAGCTACTCCTCAGTAAAAGTTACATGACAGCCCGCTTGGAGTTTGCCAAAAGGCACCTAAAGGACTCTCAGACCATGAGAAACAAGATTCTATAGTCTGATGAAACCAAGATTGAACTCTTTGGCCTGAATGCCAAATGTCACATCTGGAGGAAACCTGGCGCCATCTCTACGGTGAAGCATGGTGGTGGCAGCATCATGCTGTGGGGAAGTTATTCAGCGGCAGGTACTGGGAGACTAGTCAGGATCGAGAGAAAGATGAACAGAGCAAAGTACAGAGAGATTCTTGATGGAAATCTGCTCCAGAGCACTCAGGACCTCTGACTGAGGCGAAGGTTCACCTTCCAACAGGACAACGACCCTAGGCAAACAGCCAAGACAATACAGGAGTGGCTTCGGGACAAGTCTCTGAATGTCCTTGAGTGGCCCAGCCAGAGCCCGGACTTAAACCCGATCGAACATCTCTGGAGAGACCTGAAAATAGCTGTGCAGCGACACTCCCCATCCAACCTGACAGAGCTTGAGAGGATCTGCAGAGAAGAATGGGAGAAACTCCCCAAATACAGGTGTGCCAAGCTTGTAGCATCATACCCAAGAAGACTTGAGGCTGTAATCGCTGCCAAAGGTGCTTCAACAAAGTACTGAGTAAAGGGTCTGAATACTTACGTAAATGTGATATTATTATTTCTAAAAAACAGTTTTTGCTTTGTCATTATGGGGTGTTGTGTGTAGATTTATGAGGGGGAAAAAACAATTGAATAAATTTTAGAATAAGGCTGTAACGTAACAAATGTGTAAAAAGTAAAGGGGTCTGAATACTTTCCGAATGCAGTGTATATATTTGTGTTTGTGTGTGTGTGTGTGTGTGTGTGTGTGTGTGTGTACGGTACCTGTTAGATATTGGAGTTATCGTAGGATGTGTTTTTGTATGTTATTCCTGTAAGAGCGAGTTAGCTAGCATACTCTAATTGTAATGGTCACCTTAGATCCCTGCTAATTCACAGTTACAGTGCCTCTAGAAAGTATTCACACCCCTTGACATTTTACACATTTTATTATGTTACAAAGTGGGATTAAAAATAATGTAATTGTCCTTTTTTGTTAACGATCCACACACAATACTCTGTGATGTCTTAAATTGAAGAAATATTATACTATATACTATTAAACTTGATTAGATAAGTATTCAACCCCCTGAGTCAATACATGTTAGAATCACCTTTGGCAGAAATGACAGCTGTGAGTGTTTTTGGGTAAGTCTCTCTTGGGTAAGAGCTTTGCATACCTGGATTGTACAATATTTGATCATTATTGCAGAAATTGATTTCTGCAAATTTTCTCATTGATGAAACATTTGATTTCAATACAGTTTTCTGTTCTCAAAACTAGAATCTGTTATGAACAGAGTGGACTAAGTTTAGTAGACTTTACCCTTTGCAAAAGTGTTTTAAAATCCGCTTTTTTAGAAGGATGCCGAGGCGAATTGAGTTATTGCACAGTCGCACTTCACAGAGTAGGCGTTCCTTAACGGAAATATGCAGATGCATGCTAGAACACGCCAATAGGATCTTTCTAGCTCGTGCTTGGTTCTGCCCACCTCATTGCTTCTGCCCACTATGACTAATTTGTTCCCATTGGAAACGACAGGCTGTGATCTATCTGGGTTTAGTTGTAAAAGTCTTTGGCTGAAGCGTCTGTTTAGAACGTTTTCTCACCACCAAATATGGTAGTGAGAGGCAGTCCAGTCGCAGGTTATTTAGCTCAATAAACACATTTATGTTCCGAACACAGTGCACTAAGTTTGATAGACTTGACGCTTTGCCGGAAAAAAAAAAATTGTTGTTGTTTAGAAGGAGTGCAAGGTCTGAGTTTGTGCACACGCGCATTTTACAGAGGAGGCGTTCCCCTACGGAAATATGCAAATATATGTCACAACGCACCAATAGGATCTCGCTAGCTCATGCTTGGCTTTGCCCACCTCCTTGCTTGTTCTGCCCACTATGATTAATTTGCTCCCACTGTAAACGACACAGATTAACTATCTTGGGTTTGTTATAAATAGCTTTGGTTGTACTGCATATGTGTTATGGATAATGAATGTGTTATTAAAATCCCCTAAAAAAAAAGTGTTAAGAAACTTTCTTAGTTAATCAACAGCCAAGCGGGGCCAGGATCCCACCTCAGCCGGCGCGCGGGGTTTGTTCGGAGAAAACCCTCTGATTTGCGCGCGCGTTAGACTCCTTGGAACATCAAATGAGTTATTATACTAGTGGACCACTAGTCCAGTCAAAACCAACTTGTTTTTCTATTAGTAGTGGACTATCCCTTTTATGCTTGGACTCCCGAGTGGCGCAGCGGTCTAAGACACTGCATTTCACTACAGACCCCCTGGTTCGATTCCAGGCTGTATCGCAATCTGGCTGTGATTGGGAGTCCCATAGGGCGGCGCACAATTGGACCTGCTTCGTCCGGGTTTGGCCGTTGTAGGCCGTCATTGTAAATAGGAATTTGTTCTTAACTGACTTGCCTAGTTAAAAAAAATAAAAAATGCTGCATTTTTTGTGACTGATCTCTGATTGGCCATTGAAAGGGGGTGTGCATTGTTCGTCAGATCCGGACGGGACAAAGATGGCGGCACTTACTAGAGGCTCATTGACATTTATGAGACGCTTGGTATGTTTGTTTGAGTTTTTCCCAAATGTTAATCCCCAAGTGAAAGCTTTGCAAAATAGTTGATGATGCACAAGGATCATACATTTAGAAAAACTGCCAATGTACATCAATCTAGATACTTTACCCATGCAGCTGCTAGCCAGACTAGCAAACAAACTACGAAGCTGAATGGCTAACGTTAGTTAACTAACTAGCTAGCTAGTCTACATTACAGTGGGATTTAAATAAAAAAAATCGTGTTGTATTGACGAAAAATTGCTATCTGCTCGCTACTACTAGCCAAACTATCTAGCTAGCCAGCTAATTGACTCAAACTGTTGACGATGTGTATGACAGAATTGAACTTGAATGCCAATGTCAACCCTCGGTTACAATGTCTTTGCAACAAAAGTTTCCAGTTACCTATCTAGATAAACAATTTATCCATGAATGGCTACAACATTTTGGGATTGACGATTTCACTTTGTTGGATGTTAGATAATAGATAACTAAATTTGCTGTGTATCTAGTAAACTTTTGGTAGCTACCCAGCAATCATGCTATATAATAACTTCAGATGCTGTGTTTTGAATTAGCCAGCTAGTGCCCAGACCAAACACGACCCCATCAAATGAATGGTCATGGCATGGCTCTATTTATTGTCAGCGTTTATCATCGCAGATTTTGGAACATCGGCACAAGCGTTGCTGTTCCAGGGTCCAAACTGGCCGACCAGGCTACACCCTCCATCCCCACTCTGTCGTCATCCCGCAGCTGTGCAGCGCTAGGTTTTTTCACACCAGTTATGGTGAGTAGGCTTCTGCACAAACAGTATATTCCAACTAAGGCGTGTTCGTTTTGCATGGCCCGGTGCCGGTGGGTTTGTAATTTTTTGACCATTCCATTGTTCCCTAAGTTAAATCTCAACCCACCCGGGGCACCAGGCCATGCAAAACGAACTAGCCCAATGAGGAAGAACGCTGTTGACAGCGTACACATTTACATCAACGTAATTTAGCAGACGCTCTTATCCAGAGCGATGTACAAGAGCAATTAGGGCTAAGTGCCTTGCTCAAGGGCACATTTTTCACCTAGTTGGCTCGGGGATTAGAACCAGCGACCTTTCGGTTACTTTCACAACGCTCTTAACCACTAAGCTACCTGCCGCACAGGCTGTAAACAAACAATCTTAAAGGTTCAAATTATGTTACAAAATATTATCTTTTTCTTTGAAAGAATGTAGTTATATTACAACAGATGTCATATACCTAAGGCTATGTGGAAGTAATAGGCTAAAGAATGAATGTGTAGTTTTAATTATCATTTATTCTTCTTTACAGTCACACCAGGACTAATTCTGCCATTCAAACTATCAGATATTGGCGAGGGCATCATGGAGGTGACGGTGAAGGAATGGTATGTTTTGAAAATATGGTACACCGATGTGAGCACCGCTTTATGAATTAGGTTTTTATAAGCGTTGCCACTAGAGGGCACACAAGTTTAATGATTACAGAGCATTGCTGCTACGAGATACATATTTTGTTTAGGTTCAATGTCTCTTTCTGTTCCCATAGGTATGTAAAGGAGGGAGACAAGGTGTCCCAGTTTGACAGCATCTGTGAGGTACAGAGTGACAAGGCATCTGTCACCATCACAAGTCGCTATGATGGTGTCATTAAAAAGCTGTACTATGAGGTGGATGCTACAGCCTTAGTGGGCACACCGCTGGTGGATATCGAGACGGAGTCCGGTCCGGGTAGGTAGGCCGTCAAGGCACCAACACTAGAGTAATGGGAATGTCCCAACTTCTTATGTATGAAGTTGCTGACAGTGAACATTTTTAGAACAGTTGGAACTGGAAACCTTGAAGCTGTTTCCTTGACCGTTTATATTACCGTTCATCATAAAAAAAACATTTTGGAAGTCCAAAAACAACATTGACTCCAGTTGGAAGATGGTGATGGTGACTTCATGGTCGATCTTTCAGAGGTGGCCCATGAGGAGGATGTTGTGGAGACCCCGGCGATGTCACACGATGAGCACACACACCAGGAAATCAAGGGACACAAGACCCAGGCCACCCCTGCTGTCCGTCGTTTAGCTATGGAGAACAATGTGAGTTATTAAAAAACACACACAAACCGTTAACACAAGTATAGCAGCACACGGCCCCTTTAAACCAGTGGTGCCCACGCTCCTCCTAGAGAACTAATTGGTTTTGTGGATGTCCACTAGGGCTGGGAATTGCCAGGAACCTCACAATACGATATTCTCACGACACTTAGGTGCCGATACGATATGTATTGCGATTCGATATTGCGATTTGATGTTCCAAACATATTGCTCACTGTGTCTACTACAGAGAGACTAGAGAGCATGAGAAAATGAGTCGACAAAATAAGTGCTGAAAACATGGTGGCTCACTATTTAAAAAGAAGATGGAAAACAAGTTATAGGATGAAAAATACCGGTGTTGGGCGTTGCGTCCCGAGTGGCGCAGCGGTCTAAGGCACTGCATCGCAGTGCTAGAGGCGTCACTACAGACCCGGGTTCGATCCTGGGCTGTATCACAACCGGCCGTGATCGGGAGTCCCATAGGGCGGCGCACAATTGGCCCAGTGTCGTCCGGGTTTGGGGAGGGTTTGGCCGGGGGGGCTTTACTTGGCTCGTCGCGCTCTAGCCACTCCTTGTGGCGGGCCGGGCGCCTGCAGGCTGACCTCGGTCGTCAGTTGAACAGTGTTTCTTCTGACACATTGGTGCGGCTGGCTTCCGGGTTAAGCGGGCGGGTGTTCAGAAGCGCGGTTTGGTGGGTCATGTTTCGGAGGACGCATGACTCAACCTTCGCCTCCCGAGCCCGTTGGGGAGTTGCAGTGAAATTGGGGAGAGAAAGGGGGTAAAATACAAACAAAAACATATCCGGCGTTTTGGTGCAGGTACAGCTGACTAGCGCTAGCTAACGCTATCTACAGTAAAAAAAAATCTATATATCGTCCAAAATAACATTGCGATATGTAAATGTATTATTTCCCCCATCACTAATGTCTACCTGTCTGTCCTTTTACCTCATTGCCACTCCCCATTATTCCTTTACATCATGTCCACCTGTCTGTCTGTCCCCATTATTCCTTTACATCATGTCCACCTGTCTGTCTGTCCCCATTATTCCTTTACATCATGTCCACCTGTCTGTCTGTCCCCATTATTCCTTTACATCATGTCCACCTGTCTGTCTGTCCCCATTACTCCTTTTCAGATCAAGCTGAGTGAAGTGGTCGGAACCGGGAGAGACGGACGGATCCTCAAAGAGGACATCCTCAACTTCCTGGCAAAACAGACAGGGGCCATCTTACCCTTGACCCCATTCCACGAGATCCAGCCCCCCCCTCCCGCAGCATCCGCCCCCTCCCCGGCCGCCAAGCCCAAGGCAAAGCTCCCACCAAGTGTCCCGCTCCCTGCAATCTCCAGGCCCGTCTTCTCGGGCACGGACAGCACTGAGCCCCTGAAAGGTAGAGGCAGCGTTACAGAGATGGTTAATGCTTCCAATAAATGTATTTGCTTTCTGGGATACATCTCTGATTCAGAGAATAATCACTATGGGTGATGGGTTGCTCTTTCATTAAAACATATCCCTTTTATCCAATGTATTCCTCGGAACGACCAGGTTTCCACAAAGCGATGGTGAAGACCATGACTGCAGCCTTGAAAATCCCCCACTTTGGATACTGTGATGAGGTGAACCTGAGCAGGCTGGTACAGCTGCGCAAGGAGCTGAAGGGCCTGTCAGAGGCTCGTGGGGTCAAGCTCAGCTACATGCCCTTCTTCATCAAGGTGACCTTTGACTCCTGACATGATATAATGATGTTGTGAAGTGACATTTTGGGTGTCAAAGTGGCACGATTGTCAAAATGCACTGTAACACTTTATTTGACATGCTTGTTATGACATTGAAATGAGTGTTATAAGCTCATGTCCATTTGACCACTCATGCCAAATTACATTATAGTTATGACCAATTAAATGGCTTCTGTTATGACTAAAGTGATATAACATCCTGAAGAGCAACCTCACTACAACGGGTGTCATAAGTCTCATGACGTAGTGGGATGCATCATGTCATACCAAAAGGACTATGTTGGAGGATTTGGAGAAATAGTCTGCTTGCTGTGGTGATAATAATAATGATCTTCTCTGTTTGAGCAGGCTGCTTCTCTTGGCCTACTCCATTTCCCCGTCCTCAACGCCTCGGTGGATGAGGCTGTTCAGAACATCACCTACAAGGTAAGGCTGCCGGAAAGGGAGATGGTGTTGGGGGACAATAGTTTGTACATCTCCCGTGCCTAGGTCCCCCAGATCTAGATATTGCAGTGTTATTATAGACAATGATCTCCACCTGGCACAGCCAGAAGAGAACTGGCCACCCCTCAGAGCCTGGTTCCGCTCTAGGTTTCTTCCTAGGTTCCTGCCTTTCTAGGGAGTTTTTCCTAGCCACCGTGCTTCTACATCTGCATTGCTTGCTGTTTGGGGTTTTAGGCTGGGTTTCTGTATAGCACTTTGTAAAAAGGGCTTTATGAATAAATGCGATTGATTGATACATCAAAATATTCAAATAACTCGGGTGTTTGTGCTTGCTCATGGCAAGCAGAATTCTGGACGGTAGAAATATAATGAATCATTAACATGAACATGGAGAGAGTTGAAACTTCTCAGATCCTCTCGTCTAAATGATTGAGAACCCAAACTGGGTGTGACTTGTACTGCTTTGTCTCCGTCCCCACCAGGCGTCCCACAACATTGGCCTGGCCATGGACACGAGCCAGGGTCTGCTGGTACCCAATGTGAAGAATGTGCAGATGCTGAGTGTGTTTGAGATCGCCGTGGAGCTCAACCGTATGCAGAACCTGGGCGCCACGGGCCAGCTGGGCACGGCCGACCTCACAGGAGGCACCTTCACCCTCTCCAACATCGGCTCGGTGAGCTGGGGGTGGGGTTTGGGGGCCTTGGGAGAAACTAATGCTAAAGCTGGGAGGTTGAGCTTGATAAGTAATACTGATAAATTTAACATATTTTTTTTTCAAGCTTGTGTTACCGATAATGTATTGATGTTTTCATAATTAAAAGCCAGGTTGGCCTTTGGTAGCCATCTAGTAATGCTAACTTGAATAGTAATTGACAGCTAGCTACTGCATTATTAGTTTCCTATGCTTGCTTGGGCCGCTTGTTCAGTCTTTACATGTCATGTATTTGTGTATTCCCTTGAATCAGATTGGAGGCACGTATGCAAAGCCAGTGATTTTGCCTCCTGAGGTGGCGATTGGAGCTCTGGGAAAGATCCAGGTTTGTGAATCCTAAATGACTATCAGCTATGTTGTCCATGATAGCTATGGTGAGAAGCACAGGGGTACGGACCTCTGCTGATAATGGGAGCTGAGTGTTGGTGATGGTTCTTAGCTCTGTGGGCATGTGTCCGGCTGACTGGGAGGTGGCAACACGATACAGACGCCTGATTGAGCCTCATGAATCTCTCGGTACTTACATTATATCTATTTAGCGGTTATGGATGTCTTGATTGCTTTATCAATAATGGTCTCCTGACATGTTCATGCCGCTTCCAGGTCCTGCCGAGGTTTAACTCGAGGGATGAGGTGGTGAAAGCTCACATAATGAACGTCAGCTGGTCGGCAGACCACCGGATCATCGACGGGGCCACCATGGCGCGGTTCTCCAACCTGTGGAGGGACTACCTGGAGAACCCAGCATCAATGGTCCTGGACCTAAAATGAGCCTGCGGTACCCTGGACGGCCTACTCTGGATGCAAGCCCAGCAATGCAAAACCAGTCACCATGATTATGTGAAGATGGTCTACTGTACTCTGACTCTCTGGGTAGTCACATTGACTGGGTGTTACTGCTCCCGCCTCCTAGGCCTTCAAAAATCTTTCTTCCTCAGAATATGGATGGCTGCACATGCCACGGACACTACAAGTTACCTAGTACTCGACATTGTGAAACTAATATCTAGTTGCAGGCTGTTTTTATCTTTGTGTGTGGCCTTAGTTTTATTTCTGTTTTCTGGTTGCCTTACTGACAGGATGGTTATGAACAGTAGCGCTCTTTCCTGAAGAGCTGAATGTTGGAAAACAGACCTTTAGTAAACCTGCTGTATTTCTGAAATACTGTATGGCCCTGTAAAAAAAGGCCCTGCACCTTTTAAGGGTATTGGTGCCGAAACCAGGGAATAACCTTAAAGGTGCATGGCCTTTTTTTTTATAGCCCCACACATTCCCTCATCAACACTAGAAAGCTATTTTCAAAGAATGTGGGGTTTAGTGATTCCCCTTGAAAAGCATCATCGCACAACATGCACTTATGTGTGTACATATCAGCTATGATAATAATGGACAGACAGCTCCTACAATAGTTCCACAATTGTTAGTTTGATAAATGTATATGTTACACAGTTGCTGCTTTTCTAGAATGTTGTAACTGCTTTTCTTGCTGTCTGATAACTTTATACGTTCCTTTTTAAAACAATACATTATGGGTGGAAGTGAACACAGTGTAGGATTTCTGGGAATGTGTACTGTGGTCTCTCTACTTTAGGGATATTGTATTATTTGAAGGGACGGGAGAAATGCCAGACTGACTTGACAACCACTGTTCTTTCTGATAGTGTGGATCCTGAAAACAAGTTTAAAATTTGATTTGTTCTTGTGTTGTGCATTATATGTTCCCCAATAATTCTGAAGCTCACTATGTTGGCAAAATAAAGCCTTTCATTTATATCACGTGTCAAACTCATTCCACGGAGGGCCGAGGGTCTGCGGGTTTTCACTCCTCGCTTGTACTTGATTGATAAATTAAGGTCACTGATTAGTAAGGAACTCCCCCCACCTGTTTGTCTAGGGGATCTATTTAATCCATATTGTGGAAATTCAGCATTACAGCGTGATTGAAATTTAAAGACAGTGTTCCAGCGTCAGCAGAGACTGCATTCACAGTAAACGCTGCATACTATGCATTTGGAAAGTATTCAGACCCCTTTACTTTTTCCACATTTTGTTACAGCCTAATTCTAAAATGGATTAAATTGTTTTCCTAATCAATCTACAGCTATGTATGTCTGCTCAATTTGGAAATTACCTTAATATCTAGCGTGCAATCTGTAACGTTTCATCAATACAGATTGAATAGAGCCCTAGGTCTTAATTGAAAGGCCAGGGATCATCAACTATACTGAACAAAAATATAAACGCAACAATTTCAAAGATTTTACTGAGTTACAGTGCATATAAGGAAATCCGTCAATTGAAATAAATGCATTAGACCCTAATCTATGGATTTCACATGACTGGGCAAGGGCTCGGGCCTGGGAGGGCATAGGGGAGCCAGGCCCAGCCAATCAGAATGAGTTTATCCCAACAAAAGGGCTTTATTAGACAGAAATTCTCCTCAGCAGCACCCCCCCTCAGACGATCCCCCAGGTGAATCTCCCGAGTGGCGCAGTGGTCTAAGGCACTTAATCGCAGTGCTAACTGTGCCACTAGAGATCCTGGTTCGAATCCAGGCTCTGTCGTAGCCGGCCGCGACCGGGAGACCCATGGGGCGGCACACAATTGGCCCAGCGTCGTCCAGGGTAGGGGAGGGAATGGCCGGCAGGGATGTAGCTCAGTTGGTAGAGCATGGCGTTTGCAACGCCAGGGTTGTGGGTTCGATTCCCACGGGGGCCCAGTATGAAAAAAAATCAAAAAAAATAATGTATGCACTCACTAACTGTAAGTCGCTCTGGATAAGAGCGTCTGCTAAATGACTAAAATGTGAAGAAGCCGGATGTGGAGGTCCTGGGCTGGCATGGTTACACGTGGTCTGCGGTCGTGAGGCAGGTTGGACGTACTGCCAAATTCAATAAAATGACGTTGGAGGCGGCTTATGGTAGAGAAATGAAAATTCATTTCTCTGGCAACAGCTCTGGTGGACATTCCTGCAGTCAGTATGCAAATTGCACGCTTGAGACAACTGTGGCATTGTGTTGTGTGACAAATCTACACATTTTAGAGTGGCCTTTTATTGTCCCCAGCACAAGGTGCACCTACGTAATGATCATGCTGTTTAATCAACTTCTTGATATGCCACACCTGACAGGTGGATGGATTATCTTGGCAAAGGATAAATGCTCTCTAACAGGGATGTAAACAAATTTGTGCACAACATTTGAGAGAAATACACTTTTTGTGCGTATGGAACATTTCTGAAATTCAGCTCATGAAACCAACACTTTAAATGTTGCATTTATATTTTTGTTCAGTGTAGATTCAGCCGCAGTCTGATTTTTTTCTTGAACAGATGGATGGTCAGGGGGCCGGAACAGAATTGCAAATAATTTGTACACTGCAAATTGACCAGAAAAAGCCCAAACAGATACAATATTTGACTGAAACATAATAATTTCCAACCTTGCTTACATATGTATGTGATCACATATCTCTATTATGTGTGGGAATACTTAGGAACATATTTTCCAAATTAAAATCACAGATTTGCTGGCGTTTTTACAGTCTTTTATTTCCAACAATAAAAAACATATATTCTCGAATAAAATCACCAGCGGGCCTACATTAGGCCCTCCATGGAATGAGTTCGACTCCCCTGATCTATAGGAACTGAAAAGTTGTCACCATACCTGAAAGTAAAGCATGGGAGAGAAGTACGGGTTAATGCTGAAAATTCCCAGTAGTTTTTTATGGCTAATATAAGGTCTGTAGATCACATAGGCCTACAGTCTATTTAAATGTAACCATCTTTCCATTGCTCAATCTTTTAGTCTATCTTTTGGACTTTGAAATGAATTGAGCTGGTCTTAAATTATTCTTATTTCACACCCCACAGATTTCCAAAATTAAAATCACAGATTTGCTGGTGTTTTTACAGTCTTATGTCCAACAATAAATAAATAAAATCCATTTTTTTTGCGCAAAACTTGGGGGGGGGGGGGGGGGCGAGGGAGCAAATAAAATCACCAGCGGGCCAGAGTAGGATGAAGATTGAAGGTTTTCCACCACAAACTATTTCACTCTATTCTTCCTACCGTCTTCTGAAGGTATGTGTTGTCAGGGGAGACAGAAGTCCATGTGCCAAGTTTAGCATGTGACCACCACTATTTTTAGTGTTCTACCAGACTAAAATTAGACCTCCTCTAGGGTCACGTTTCATCAAGGAACACCACTGACAGACAAGGAACGAGGTCTATTGCTACTCTGTTACAAGATTTTCAAAGCAAAGAAGCTATTTCGTCAACACAATGGAATACATTGAAGAGATTTCTGAGGAATTTATCACATGGGTTTTCTTGATGCACATTATTCCAATCTAGAAGGTACTATTTATTTTGGCAGTGTTTGCCCGGCAACAGGACTACTACAGCTGTGCTCCAATAGGTTTTGAACTCACACATTAATTGTGTTAGTGCTTCCTCAAACGTTACAGTCTATTTGGGGTGACAGATGTATTTCATCCTTTTTGTCAATTTTATGTGAAAGAGTGCAGTTTGGCTTGATATGGAAGAATAATGAAGATCCAAATTAAAAATAGGCTACATAACCTTATGTTATCAATCATCATTATGAGTGAGTTTCCTTCTGCAGTGAAGAAATCTGAGCAGAGAATTTCCTGCATCTGTCCTTGTCTAGCCCTGTCCGTCTAATTAAGGTAAGCAGTGATCAACCAGACTCCAGTCCTGTTTTGAGTTGAGACTATTTTGGGAGCTGTGTTTGAACAGTTTGTGTAGGGTCACCATGACCGGGGTGGCAGTGTGCAGTGGCTCCGTCAGCTCTATCAAGTCCCTTTGGGAGACTAGAATTAAGAAAACGAAACAAGATCTTCAGAAGCAACAAGAACAAAGGGCCGGTGTAGGTAGGTGAGTGATATTTATCCTTGATCATTTTTTTGAATATTTAATACCCATGGGTAAGCCAATTGGCTTCATTGAAAATGAATGAGCCCAAACCTTGGACCTGTCTATTACTTATTGCTGTACTTCTCTGCCAAAGGGTGAGACATAACTGGGAAGATCGGATTATCTTGGCCAAACTGAAAGAGAAGGTGGTGACAGAGGAAGGACGTGTCATTTTAAGGATAGAGAAAGAGGAATGGAAGGTACCTTCCACTCTATGCCGTATGATTGTGTCAAAAAACACTTTCTGTTCTATTTTGATAACAAACTCCACTTTTGGGGATAATTAACAAGCATATCACCAGATAACCTTTTTTTTTATGTCTACTACTCTTTTTTGACAGACTTTGCCTCGAGCCTTGGTTCACTTTCCTCAGCTCATGGAGTGGCAGCTTCACAGGGTTGGACTACAAACAATCCCACGCTTCATTTCCAGCTTTGAGAATCTGCTTGTTCTTGACCTGTCCCGAAATGCCATCACAGAGATCCCAAAGGAGATTGGTCAGTAAACCAGTTACTTGTAACATCCCCTCAATTCATGTATCACAGGCACTGCCCACTGGGCACACACTGGTTGAATCAACGTTGTTTCCACGTCATTTCATTAAAAGTATGTTGAACCAACATGGAATAGACGTTGAATTGACGTCTGTGCCCAGTGGGTGATGACGTGTGCTTCATGTCAGAATGCATGGCCTATCGTGTAGCTCTCCCTCTCTAGGTAAACTGACCAGACTAAGGGAGCTGCTGGTGAGCTACAATAGAGTGCAAAGTGTTCCAGAGGAGCTGGGCTGTTGTGAGAACCTGGAGAAACTGGAGCTGGCGATGAACAGGGACCTTGATGAGCTGCCTTCAGAGGTACCCAACATGGCATGAGTGTTGGTTTAATGTTAAAGGGATACTAAACCATTTTTCAACTTCATATTCATCTTCATCATCTCCAGCACCACCCCACCATCAACATGTGTGAAAATTGCTTTTCTATGTTTTGTAGTAAAAAAATATAAATTATTCTAAGTATTTCCAATTACATCATTGTGCATCGTGTGATTTTGACCAATTGTGAGTAGGCATTGCCTACTAATTGGTTGATGATGTCATTGGAAACGCTTATCTTTCTCAATCTTTTTTTACTACAAAACATAAAAACACGCAATTTTCACATATGTTGACGTTGGGGTGGTGCTGGACATTTTCCTTTAACGGAACCTTCCAGGTACATGATGATTTATGTGCGTGTCCCTCACTGTGCTAATTTCCCGTTCTGTTGTCCTCAGATAAGCAACCTGAAGAAGCTTTGCCACTTGGATCTCTCCATGAACCAGTTCACAGAGATCCCAGAGAGTGTGGTGAGTCTGCCAGCCCTGGAATGGCTGGATATGGGTGGAAATCGGCTGCAGAGCTTACCCCATGACATTCACAGGTAGGCTGCAGAGCTTACCACATGACATTCACAGGTAGGCTGCAGCGTTTACCACGTGACATTCACAGGTAGGCTGCAGCGCTTACCCCATGACATTCACAGGTAGGCTGCAGCGCTTACCCCATGACATTCACAGGTAGGCTGCAGCGCTTACCCCATGACATTCACAGGTAGGCTGCAGCGCTTACCCCATGACATTCACAGGTAGGCTGCAGCGCTTACCCCATGACATTCACAGGTAGGCTGCAGCGCTTACCCCATGACATTCACAGGTAGGCTGCAGCGTTTACCACATGACATTCACAGGTAGGCTGCAGCGCTTAACACATGACATTCACAGGTAGGCTGCAGCGCTTACCCCATGACATTCACAGGTAGGCTGCAGCGCTTACCCCGTGACATTCACAGGTAGGCTGCAGCGCTTACCCCGTGACATTCACAGGTAGGCTGCAGCGCTTACCACGTGACATTCACAGGTAGGCTGCAGCGCTTACCACATGACATTCACAGGTAGGCTTACACACATCTACCATAACCATATATCCATCCACAGCATATTGATAGAAATACATGAGAAATAAAAAGACAAACTACATACATATGCGCTTGCTATGTCCAGAATGGAGAAGCTGCATACTATGTGGCTGCAGAGGAACGAACTGGAGTTCCTGCCTGACAACATCTGTTACATGCGAAGCCTGGACACGCTGGTGCTTAGCAACAATAAGCTACATGACATTCCCTCAATGATGGAGGACATGAACAATCTCAGGTGAGTGCCATGTCTAGAGGTGGGAGCTAGGGGTTGTTTTGGGGATGGGGTGGACTGTAGACTAACAAATGTATTGGCCCACATTGGCAACGATTAACCTAATAAAAGCGGGTAAACAAATACGTAAGCAATTAATCATAAATTGTATTTAAAAAAGGTTTATATTCAAACTAGCAAAAGATTCCCAACAATTTATTTTATATCGAAACAAATGTATCTTCATTCATCATGTTCGCTATACTTGCAGGTTTGTGAATTTCCGAGACAACCCTCTAACATATGAAGTGGAACTGCCTGCTGACCCAAAGAAATCTGAGGAGGACGAGGATGACAGAGAGATGTTTGGCCGAGATTTCATGCGCGTCTACTGCCAGGAGGCACGGAAAAGAGTTAACGCCATGCTAAATATGCATCGTGTAAATCGTATGTACCAACAAATATGTACTTGAACTGTATGGTGATCTGTTGACTAATAGCAGGGTAAGCTGACATCTTATTGAAAAGTTTATTCCAGTTTGATGCACGCAGAATAATAAAGTAGGCAAACAAGGTAATGTTACCACCCACAGTCCAAGAGGTGAGAGAAAAGTCCTCAACTCATCCAGCTAATGTTATGTACTGTATCAAAGCTAACGGTGCTATCTAGTGCTGTTTGACTCGCTAGCTAGCTTCCAAGACACATTGTCATTTGCTGACTACTATGAATATTTGAGGGGGATATTACTAATTGTTCCTGGAACAAATCGTGCCAAGAGGTTTTGGCATTTTTTTAGATGTTTTTTCTTCCCCTACTAGAGTTGCTCTTTAATGACACTGCCCTTTTGAAATGTCTTTCAGCACCTGAGTCATACTACACCTCAGAACTAAATGTGACCCTTGAAGCTGTGGCAGAGTCTGCACCGTCACTGTGACCTACATGTTGGCCTCTCTGTCGGTTCCTGTCCTCTGTCTGTTGTCGACAGCGTCTCATCCTCCGTGTGGTGATGGCCTAGTCTTGTCAAGCATGTCCTTTTGAGCATTTCTTTCTCTTTTTGGGAAATGTATCTTGTCCAACATTGGGGTCAAATCCACTTAATTTCCAGGATTTTTTCAAAATAATTTACAAAAATTAATAGACTTTAAATGGAATTGACTCCAACCATAGTCTTGTCTGCTATGTCCTGAGCCTTTTGCCTTGTGTTAAGTGTTTTCTTATGTTGCCAGTGTAATGTTTTCTGTAACTGCAAACAGGTTTCTTGCCTTTTGGGCTTAAAAAAGGAAAAGTATCAAGATAAATAGCACTGCTTAAAATAGAGAGGTGTGCTGTCCATGCACAGCACAGGTTGCACTGTCATTGGAATTTCTTTTCACCGTGAGGCGGGAAGTGCAGTTAGCAACACGTTTTCTAGAGAAACGTCTGTGCTGGTGTAGTAGAGTAAGCGGGAGTCAAATCCCTTCTGCTGCAGGAAGTGAACCCTGCCCTGGTCAATCAGCAGCTTGCACAGGCGTCCTATGTGTTCACGGTCCTCAGCATTCAACACTCTAATAGTACAGGAAAAAAAGATTAATCAATTAAGGTTTATGACGGACACAATAATGTGACGACAGGTCTTCACAGTCTATGTTACAGTGACTAAGCGACATGGATGCAATTTATGTCTCTAAAGGTCAACCCCAATACTCACCCTTTCAAGCTGTCTAGTTCAGCCTCTTCTGTCGCCTCGTGCTCCTCTTCCTCAAACGTTTGGTCAGTTTGACCTTGTGGTGGGGAGGTCTGTCTGGCTTGTCGCAAGCCACAGGTTGCCCAACTTGACATGCGCAGGAAGGCAGCGAACTCAGAGGCACCTAGTCCTCTCTCCTTGAAGAACTCCTTGCCTACATAATGCCTCCAGTCACAGCGGTGGTGGCAGCACAAGGCGATGGCCACCCCACCCACCCTCAGCTCCCTGCCGGCAGCAGTCTCCCCTGCTGCCCTGGGAATGGGCTCTAGCTCCGTTCCTGTAGACTCTCCAGGCTGCTGCTGGAGCTTTGAGCGCTTGCTGGGCGGCTGACCTTCGATCCCATGGGGCGCAGTCTCCGAGCTGCCCAGTAGGCATTGAAGAGCAAGGTCTATTTAGAGCGGTGGAGGTTAGTGAGCAAGGAGTGAATCAAAGATGCATTAATCAATTACTATTCTATTTGGAACCACTTCTATGCTGCCTTTCAAAATTCAACACCATTCAAGATTCAAGAACAAGATCTTTCCCCCCAGGTGAGCCCTAGTACTCAGAGATGTAGTGCCTGGTCTTACCAGTTGCTGCGCCACACAAGTGTTTGCCCACTCCAACCACTGGAAGTCCCTTTTCTTGGAGGAGAGGAACTTTACCTAAAATGCAAATAACAGGAAAAGGTTTCAGAAAAGCTCAACTCATCGTGCCTGCTAATGCTTTGTTCAATTCTTAAATCAACTCTGCACTTAGCTGTAAAAATCTTTCTAATCTTCATAATATATAAGTGTGCTTCCCAGGCTATTTGTCATTGCCCACTTATGTTTGAAGGGTGATCTCATTGCGTTGATTTTTAGAGGGCGTGACATCTCTTTCACTGTGTTGAAAAGTACAATCCACTTCACCTCCAGAAAACACTTACAGGGTATGGTGCCTATATGTGATGACATCTTATATGATAACTGATTGACTGTTTTATATGAATAAGTATTATTGAAATGAAATTTGGCATTTAATTTAGTTACTTACGCAAATCAAGGTGCTGAATATCCACTTGTAGTCTTTCAAATTTTGTATCAGCATTTTGGTGTTTGCCATCTACCTGAATTAGATAATGAATTGGGGGGACAATTACCTAACAGTGAAGATGTGTACACAGCCAAATAAATCACTTTATGTATAAATGGTTTGAAAGATAAAACATAGCCTAACAGGTGGTGTCATACTTTAAAACGAGTGCTTGATCTTTCCACAAGCAGGAAATGGATGTCGTCATAGGCTTTCAGAGCGACATGGATCCAGTGGGAAAGCTTGCCTTTCCCTGCACCAAACTCAACAAAACACCGGTTAGGTCCAAGCAAGTGCAAATCCTCCATGTTTCCTAAAAGGGACGCCTTTTAAAACAGGCAAATCATAAATTCATTTATATCAAAAGATAATGAATATAACTCAATTCAAATCATGCGAGTTCAAATTAAAGTACCTGTTGCTTCAGGTGTTTGAACGCAGAGTCCCCATTCTTTGGATCATTCAAAGCTTCATGAAGAGCAGGGTGAGATTGTATTCTTTCTTCATGTTTGCATTTGAACCCTGCAGAAGCATTGGGGGCTCATACATTAAAAACACCACGTTGGATTAATCATGTTAAGCATGTCAATGAATGCAATGAATGATGTTAGGTATTGCTTACCTTTGACGCCAGTCTTCAGTTTTTCTATGAGCAGGTCCAGCTCTGCTTTACTGCGATCCGATAAGGGTACCTTAATAAAAGTTAATCATGTAAGTATGGCCTTAATCATGGTGTGTCTATTGTAGGTAATGTCAGCATCTTTCTAAGGTTCTGCTCATTAGACATACACCCAGTTTCTAGTAAATCATGTTGCAGAGGGTCTTCCACTTTAGTGACTATGAATGGTGAAATCAGCTAAGCTTCCAACACTAGCAAAATGTTGAGAATTCACTTTCACGTCAATGTGTATGCGTCTGACATTACCTCATCGTTGGGGGTGTCCTCATCAATGGATGGTCCAGCATTAATATCTTGCACATAGAACACCTACATTTGCATAGGAGAAAGAAAGGTTAATAAATGTAGGCTGATAGTAGCAGGGACATATAGGCCTATGTATTTTGAGATACCTGGGTACATTGAGGGACAAAAGTATTTGATCCCCTGCTGATTTTGTACGTTTGCCCAATGACAAAGAAATGATCAGTCTATAATTTTAAATGGTAGGTTTATTTGAACAGTGAGAGACAGAATAACAACAAGAAAATCCAGAAAAACGCATGTCAAAAATGTTATAAATTGATTTGCATTTTAATGAGGGAAATAAATATTTGACCCCTCTGCAAAACATGACTTAGTACTTGGTGGCAAAACCCTTGTTGGCAATCACAGAGGTCAGATGTTTCTTGTAGTTGGCCCACCAGGTTTGCACACATCTCAAGAGGGATTTTGTTCCACTCCTCTTTGCAGATCTTCTCCAAGTCATTAAGGTTGAGGCTGATGTTTGTCAACTTTGCCATCCTGCCCTGCCTTTCAAAAGTTTTTGAAAGCCAAGTCAACAAACAGATCACCGACCATTTCGAATCCCACCGTACCTTCTCCGCTATGCAATCCGGTTTCCGAGCTGGTCATGGGTGCACTTCAGCCACGCTCAAGGTCCTAAATGATATTATAACCGCGATCGATAATAGACAGTACTGTGCAGCCGTTTTCATTGACCTGGCCAAGGCTTTCGACTCTGTCAACCACCGCATTCTTATTGGCAGACTAAATAGCCTTGGTTTCTCAAATGACTGCCTCGCCTGGTTCACCAACTACTTCTCAGATAGAGTTCAATGTGTCAAATCGGAGGGCCTGTTGTCTGGACCTATGGCAGTCTCTATGGGGGTGCCACAGGGTTCAATTCTTGGGCCAACTCTTTTCTCTGTGTATATCAATGACGTCGCTCTTGCTGCTGGTGACTCTCAGATCCACCTCTACGCAGACGACACCATTTTGTATACATCTGGCCCTTCATTGGACACTGTGTTAACAAACCTCCAAACGAGCTTCAATTCCATACAACACTCCTTCAGTAGCCTCCAACTGCTCCTAAACACTAGTAAAACTAAATGCATGCTCTTCAACCGAACGCTGCTTGCACCCGCCCACCCGACTAGAATCACTACTCTAGACGGGTCTGACCTAGAGTATGTGGACAACTACAAATATCTAGGTGTCTGGTTAGACTGTAAACTCTCCTTCCAGACTCACATTAAGAATCTCCAATCCAAAGTTAAATCTAGAATCGGTTTCCTATTTCGCAACAAAGCCTCCTTCACTCATGCTGCCAAACATGCCCTCGTAAAACTGACTATCCTACCGATCCTTGACTTCGGCGATGTCATTTACAAAATAGCCTCCAACACTCTACTCAGCAAATTGGATGTTGTCTATCACAGTGCCATCCGTTTTGTCTCCAAAGCCCCATATAATACCCACCACTGTGACCTGTACGCTCTTGTTGGCTGGTCCTCACTACATATTCGTCGCCAAACCCACTGGCTCCAGGCCATCTATAAATCACTGCTAGGCAAATCCCCGCCTTATCTTAGCTCATTGGTCACCATAGCAACACCCACCCGTAGTCTGCGCTCCAGCGGGTATATCTCACTGGTCATCCCCAAAGCCAACACCTCCTTTGGCCGCAATTCCTTCCAGTTCTCTGCTGCCAATGACTGGAACAAATTGCAAAAATCTCTGAAGCTGGAGACACTTATCTCCCTCACTAACTTTAAGCATCAGTTGTCAGAGTACCTTACCGATCACTGCACCTGTACACAGCCCATCTGAAATTAGCCCGCCCAACTACCTCATCCCTATATTGTTATTTATTTTGCTCATTTGTACCCCAGTATCTCTATTTGCACATCATCTCTTGCACATCATTCCAGTGTTAATACTAAATTGTAATTATTTTGCACTATAGCCTATTTTATTGCCTTACCTCCATAACTTGCTAAATTTGCACACTGTATATTATATGTATTTCTGTTGTATTTTTGACTTTGTTTTGTTTTACCCCATATGTAACTCTGTGTTGTTGTTTTTAATCGCACTGCTTTGCTTTATCTTGGCCAGGTCGCAGTTGTAAATGAGAACTTGTTCTCAACTGGTTTACCTGGTTAAATAAAGGTGAAATAGCCTTCAGCTCCCTCCACAGATTTTCTATGGGATTAAGGTCTGGAGACTGGCTAGGCCACTCCAGGACCTTAATGTGCTTCTTCTTGAGCCACTCCTTTGTTGCCTTGGCCGTGTGTTTTGGGTCGTCATGCTGTAATACCCATCCACGACCCATTTTCAATGCCCTGGCTGAGGGAAGGAGGATCTCACCCAAGATTTGAGGGTACATGGCCCCGTCCATCGTCCCTTTGATGCGGTGAAGTTGTCCTGTCCCCTTAGCAGAAAAACACCCCCAAAGCATAATGTTTCCACCTCCATGTTTGACGGTGGGGATGGTGTTCTTGGGGTCATAGGCAACATTCCTCCTCCTCCAAACACGGCGAGTTGAGTTGATGCCAAAGAGCTCAATTTTGGTCTCATCTGACCACAACACTTTCACCCAGTTCTCCTCTAACTTCAGACGGGCATGTATATGTGCTTTCTTGAGCAGGGGGACCCTTACAGGCGCTGCAGGATTTCAGTCCTTCACGGCGTAGTGTGTTACCAATTGTTTTCTTGGTGACTATGGTCCCAGCTGCCTTGAGATCATTGACAAGATCCTCCTGTGTAGTTATGGGCTGATTCCGCACCGTTCTCATGATCATTGCAACTCCACGAGGTGAGATCTTGCATGGAGCCCCAGGCAGAGGGAGATTGACAGTTCTTTTGTGTTTCTTCCATTTGCGAATAATCGCACCAACTGTTGTCACCTTCTCACCAAGCTGCTTGGCGATGGTCTTGTAGCCCATTCCAGCCTTGTGTAGGTATACAATCTTGTCCCTGACATCATTGGAGAGCTCTTTGGTCTTGGCCATGGTGGAGAGTTTGGAATCTGATTGATTGATTGCTTCTGTGGACAGGTGTCTTTTATACAGGTAACAAGCTGAGATTAGGAGCACTCCCTTTAAGAGTGTGCTCCTAATCTCAGCTCGTTACCTGTATAAAAGACACCTGGGAGCCAGAAATCTTTCTGATTGAGAGGGGGTCAAATACTTATTTCCCTCATTAAAATGCAAATCAATTTATAACATTTTTTACGTGCGTTTTTCTGGATATTTTTGTTGTTATTCTGTCTCTCACTGTTCAAATAAACATACCATTCAAATTATAGACTGATCATTTCTTTGTCAGTGGGCAAACGTATAAAATCAGCAGGGGATCAAATACTTTTTTCCCCTCACTGTATATATTCTCGTAATTACACTGAAGAAAAAATAAACGCAACATGCAATTTTTTTACTGAGTTACAGTTCATATAAGGGACTCAATCAATTGAAATAAATTAAATATGCCCTAATCTAGGGATTTCATATGACTGGGAATACAGATACGCATCTTTCGGTCACAGATACCTTAATAACAAAGGTAGGGCCGTGGATCAGAAAACCAGTCAGTATCTGGTGTGACCAACATTTGCCTCATGCAGCGCGACACATCTTCTTCGCATAGAGTTGATCAGGCTGTTGATTGTGGCCTGTGGAATGTTGTCCCACTCCTCTTCAATGGCTGTGTGAAGTTGCTGGATATTGGCAGGAACTGGAACACGCTGTCGTACACGTCGATCCAGAGCATCCCAAACATGCTCAATGGGTGACATGTCTGGTGAGTATGCAGGCCATGGAAGAACTGGGACATTTTCAGCTTCCAGGAATTGTGTACAGATTCTTGCGACATGGGGCCGTGCATTATCATGCTGAAACATGAGGTGATGGTGGCAGATGAATGGCACGACAATGAGCCTCAGGATCTTGTCACGGTATCTGTGCATTCAAATTGCCATCAATCAATTGCAATTGTGTTCGTTGTCCGTAGCTTATGTCTGCCCATACCATAATCCCACCGCCACCATGGGGCACTCTGTTTACAACATTGACATTAGCAAACTGCTCTCCCACATGACGCCATACACGCTGTCTGCCATCTGCCCGGTACAGTTGAAACCAAGATTCATCCATTAAGAACACTTCTCGAGCGTGCCAGTGGCCATCGAAGGTGAGCATTTGCCCACTGATGTCGGTTACGACGTCGAACTCGAGTCAGGTCAAGACCCTGGTGAGGACGACGAGCACGCAGATGAGCTTCCCTGAGACGGTTTCTGACAGTTTGTGCAGAAATTAATCTCAGACGATCCCGCAGGTGAAGAAGCCGGATGTGGAGGTCCTGGGCTGGTGTGGTTACACGTGGTCTATGGTTGTGAGGCCGGTTGGACATACTGCCAAATTCTCTAAAACAACGTTGGAGGCAGCTTATGGTAGAGAAATAAACAAATTATCTGGCAACAGCTCTGGAGGACATTCCTGCAGTCAGCATGCCAACTGCACTCTCCCTCAAAACATGAGACATCTGTGACATTGTGTTGTGTGACAAAACTAAACATTTTAGTGGCCTTTTGTCCACAGCACAAGGTGCACCTGTGTAATGATCATGCCGTTTAATCAGCTACTTCATATGCCACACCTGTCAGGTGGATGCATTATCTTGGCAAAGAAGAAATGTTCACTAACAGGGATGTAAACAAATTTGTGCACAAAATCTGAGAGAAATAAGCTTTTTGTGCGTTTGGAAAATCTCTGGGATCTTTTATTTCAGCTCATGAAACATGGGACCAACACTTTACATGTTGTGTCCATATTTTTGTGTATATACAACTTACAGGTTTGGGTTTCTCTCTGGAGTTGCACTTCTTCAGATGTTTTGCTAAAAGTTCTTCGAATACAGTGCTACAAAGACAGAAGAAATCATAGATTTAGAGGTTCTCCTCAAATTGTACCATTCACCTTATTAAAACTCTGTATTTTGTCTCTGCCAAGTGCAAACTCACTGTTTTGGATCCAGAGGACATGGTATTCTTTTTTTCTCACAGTCCTTTTCCTAAACAAAGCACACCCGAGAAGTTGCAATATGAAACTTAGTGAGGGTTATATAACTAGGTTTACATCCAAATGGCGACAGATTTTCATGTGAATATTCTAAAATCAGCATAAAACCATGAGATGTTTCCATTTCAGGCTCTGCGTGATGACGTAATGCACATAAAAACACATTTTGCGGTTAAATGTCCATGTACCGAATAATAAATACAAGTTAAATGGGTTTCCATCGCATTTTCAACTCTACTGATGGTTTTCTCACAAAAAAAATGTGTGTTATATAGCGAGTGTGCCCTCTCTGGTATTAGCATGTGCGCTCTAGCCAAAAGCGTGCAGATACAGTACAGCGCGCTGTTGGCTACAGCCCAGGTTTAGCCTACATGATGAGATTATGGACAAAATAGCAAGATTATTTTTATTTGTCAAACGGAAGCCAAGCATCGATGATTATGTCACCAGAATAAGACCCTCGATATTTATTGGAAAGGAGCATCAAGCTCATCACCTTTCACCCCTGTGAAGTTCATCATCATTTATTTCATCTGTAGCCTAATAAACTGCATGCTTTCCTGAGGAGTCGTAGTAGGAGGACCACACAACATGTCATCACGTGACTCCAAGTTTACTTCGATATGTTATTATATCAATATTTGCGAATAAAAGCGTTTCCTCCGACAATTCTCGCATAATTCATTTTACCAACACAAAAAGATCCCCCTTATTTAGCGTATTGTTTTGTCGACATTCGGAAAGTTTACTGAAAAATGTTATATTTCCATCAGGCCGGTCATATTTAATTTTTTTGCAGACATGTACTTTACTCGCATAAAAAGGTTGGATGGAAGCCTGGTTACTGTTCCCATCTCATGAGTTAGCTGCTCCTCGTATTGTAAACATCAACCTCCACAGTAGCTGACTAAACTCCACGGAGAATGAAGTGTCTGATCAACATCAAAGGAGTGGAGCAGAGCCCAGGCTTTATGGAATTCAGCTACGACTACATCGATTCGCCCAAGGTCAAAACTTAAAAAAACATGAAACGTTTAACTTGTACCTATGTTTGTCCTCTGTAGTTGCGTGCCTTTCTTTGTTTGCTGAAATACATACTTTTGTAATAAACGTTAATCAAATACAACCACAGACTGTTTGTTCATTGCCGTTTCTCTAAAACGGCAACTCAGCGCACATGCTCATGTGCCAATTGAATGTCAACAAGGAAACAGTCGTGGTAGTATTTGATTAACGTTTATTGAAAAGGTACGGATTTCTGAAAACAAAGAAAGCCAAGGAACCACAGAGGACAAACATAGGTACGAGGTAAGTGTTTCATTTTTTTTTGTATTGACCTTGGGCGAATCCAGGGGGGATTGACTGCTCCCTCGCATTGAGGATTTCACGTTCAAGGCCGACCGCGGTACTGCAGGCATTGTTTCCTCAAAACCGGATTCCCCAATTTTAGTGAATTGGGAAATGGCGATCTTCGTCAGCAATATTCGTGGATATATAAAATTAGAACACAATCATGTTACCAATAATTGCTTCTATTTCACCAGATGTATTTGAACCGATTACTTTAATCATATACAGACGATGTTAGCTTAGTGGGTAAGAGCGTTGTGCCAGTAACCGAAAGGTCGCTGGTTCTAATCCCCGAGCCGACTAGGTGAAAAATCTGTCGATGTGCCCTTGAGCAAGGCACTTAACCCTAATTGCTCCTGTAAGTCGCTCTGGATAAGAGCGTCTGCTAAATTACCAAAAAAACAAACAAACAAAAAAAATGTTAAGGATAATTTTGTTGCTAATGGCAGCCTGCAGTACCTTGGTCGGCCTTCAACTTGAGATACTCCATGAGAGGTGGCAGCACTAAGCTAGCCTGCAACATCATTTACATTACATTTACGTCATTTAGCAGACGCTCTTATCCAGAACGACTTACAGTTAGTGCATACATTATTTATTTTTTATACTGGCCCCCCGTGGGAATCGAACCATCACTTCCTAGAGTTGTTCAAACTGTACATGCAACGTTTCCAAAAACTCCTCCATGTTGTAAGACGGTGACATGCTGAAATGACACTTCCTGATCATCAAATGTGCCACTGAGCATTCTCATAGGAAACAATGGGGTGATGGCTTTATCCATTTTTTTTTTGTCTATTGCCTGGTTCACGTGAAAGTCTAAACTAGGAAACTCCTGATTTGCTAATTGTTTGTAGTTATACACGTGCTGCGTTCATTCAGTTAGCAAGTCGAACATTTGAGGTTCCGACTAGCACGTGAACGCGGCATATACTTCCTCCATATTTTGTTAGTTTATTGCCGAATCGATGTAGTCCAAGATTAATTCCACGAAGCCTGGTCTCTGCACCACTCCGTTGGTAGAGTTCATCTGAAACTCCATTCACTGTGGAGTTTAGTCAGCTATCTTCAGTTGCCATAACAGTAACTTAGCCTACAACAACCCTCCACGGTCAGGGGGAAGTTTATGGGGCTAGCCCTGGCTGGGAATGCTTTGGTAGTGTCCTGCTCTACTTACCGCGTTAGCATGTTCCCCACAATATGCTTTTCCACTTCCAACTATCATTTTGCAGTATCGGTTTTTCTTTTCCACGTAAAAGGCACATCTTCCAGGCAGAGGTGCAGATACGCCGTCCGCCGTGGGGAAGCTCCATGTTTCCAACTTCGTATCGTTACTGCGTCATCAAACTACACACCATAGAATGGGAGGCGTTCCAGGTGGCCTACATTTCACGAGGCAGCAACTCTAGGACTGAGTATGTTTTACACATTTATATCCAGTAGTTGCTGTGGCTTGTAGGTAATTTGGTGTTGTAGTAGTTTGACTGTAAGACCGACCAACAAGTGAAACAGCACTTTATGTTGCTCCATCACTCAATTGCAATCTAGACGGTCAGGAACGCGCACATTCTTTTTCGACGTTACTTCCGTCGCGCCTTTCTCAAGTGGACGCTTCCTCAACGGTCATTCGCGGGAGAGAAGCGCCAAACTCGAAATTGAAGTGCCTATTTTTTAACAAAAGCCATACAAATCTAACCTTGGTATTTGCAATTTAGACACTACATTTTTTGGAGTATGAAACAATCATGACAGAAACACTTTTCAACAAGCGATTGCAAGTGCACGTGAAATGCAAAGATTGCGAAGAAAGGTAAGTTCGATTGATAGCTAGCCAACTAGCCATCATTAATGTTAGCTAGCTACTGTAACTAACGTTAACTAGATATCAAACAATATCGACACTTGCGGTCTAAATAGATAGTTCATCAATTTGATATAGTCGGGTTTTGGCAGTAGCGATTAGCTAACTACAGACTACCCAGCAAGCTGTGTTACGACGCGTTACATAGCTAGCTAGCTAGCATGTTCAGGAACGTTAAGTTATATTTGACATGTCATCTTCGGCACTCCTCGCCAGATGGCGCTTGATGATAACAAATATCTCAATGGAGTTGTATGCTACGACTAAAATACATTGAATGCATCTTTCTTGCTAACTTTACATTACAGGAGAGGAAATATCAGAGTCAGCATTGAGCTTCAATTGACAACTAATCCAGTCCACAAAAGGGTAAGTTGCGCTCACAACCATGACTACTTGGTTGGTGTTTTGCAAGACTGGATTCTGTTCCCATCATCACCCTCCCTCCTTTCTATAGTGTGAATGAGCAATGTTTCAGAAACCAGTACATTGATCTCGAAATGCATTGCTTACTACCGTGGCCATGCATAAATACCCAACTTAAAGATATAATTATCAATACAATATCATCATACATAGCGGGGTGACTTCCTCTGTACAGAAATCAACAACAACAAAAGTTTCCTGTCACCATGGAGAAGCACCAGTCCTAATGAGCAATGAAGCTTTAAAGCCACATAGTGGGTGTTTAATGGGAGTGAAAGTTGCAAAAGGGTGGCTCTCTGGGGAGGCATGCATGGGTTAGGCTGTTCATGGACCTTAATGGTTTTCAAGGGCTTACCTGCAAACATTAGCGACTGGATTCTGCTTAATTGAAATTAGTTGACGATGTACTTCCCCTGTTGAAAGGATTCCCTATCAGGTCTGCTTTTCCCAAATGTCAGTCCTTCCCTCAAGGTAGTAGTTAGTAACATAGCCACTGTAGCTAACACAACTTTGTGCATTCTAGGATCTGCTGGTGAGACTGACAGATGACACCGATCCTTATTTTCTGTACAACCTTGCCATATCAGAGGAGGATTTTCAAAGGTATCTTACAATTCAAAGTCATTGTGCCCACTATAATGTGCATACACTAATCCTACGTCTTCTCTGTCAACAGTTTGAAAGTTCAACAGGGCCTGTTGGTAGACTTTGCGTCCTTTCCTCAGAAGTTTATAGACCTGCTAAACCAGTGTATCTCGGAGCAAGACAAAGAGAATCCAAGGTGAGGAGACCATTCTCTCTAAGCTCGTTGAACGTCTCCACTGACTGTGAGATCATGGACATGTGACGTCTCCTTTCCCTAGGTTTCTGCTCCAGTTATCTCCATCATCCCCAGTATTAGACCACAGCCCTGCCCACCTCAATGTTGTGGAGACCAATGCGTTCAAGCACCTCACTCACCTGTCTCTGAAGCTGCTACATGGGACTGACGTGGAGATCAAGAAGTACCTGGCGGTTTGTCTCTCCTGTGTGAAGGTCAGTGAATCTCCCGTAACTACCTCAGAAACACTAGGGGGGTGGTTTCCCGGACACAGATTTAGCCTAGTCCTGGATAAAAAAACAAAAACATTTTTGATGGAGTTTTTCCATTGAGGTTGGTTTTAGTCCAGGACTAGGATTCATCTGTGTCCAGGAAACCACCCCTAGTTGTCTTAGTGACCTCAGTCTTGGGAATGGTTGATAGCAGACCTATGAAGAACCGTGGGCGATTCCATAAGGCCAGACAGACTGCAGTATACTAAAGTCTGAGAAACTTCATTGTATTTTAAGTTATCCCCCCATTTTGATCTGTCAGGAGGAGAAGCAGCAGTTGGAACAGAGGCTGAAGAAGACTGAAGATGATCTCTCCAGGCAGCTCAGCTACACGCAACAGGTAAAGCAGTAGTTGATCTTGATTGATTCATCAATAAATGTAGGTGTGATAACCACTTGAAAAGTAACGTCTTAAGTGGGTCCCGATAAAACGGTCACCTTTCATATAAACGTGTCTTACAGACTCTGTCGGAGAAAAGCAGAGAGCTGGACAAGCTGCGGTCGGAGTGGACCAGCCAAACAAGCGCTCTGTCAAGTCGCCACTCTCAGGACCTCACTGCAGAGCGGGAGAACGCCTTGGAGGTATCAAATAACATCTCATATTATAAGTCTGATGTTTAGTTAACTGCCTCAAATAGTCTAAGTGCTATTCCAGTTATCAGAAGCCATAAAACCTTGATTGTTTTTTTTCTTCTCTATTTGATATATGACAGGGGTCTCTGATAGAGGAATTATGGTAAATGACTAAAATTGTTCCACCCCAATACAGATGATGACTGTGTTAGGGTTATCATTATAAACCTACTAACAGAGGAGGGGCTTAGACTGTGGAAATGTACAGGCCGCCTAAAGGTGGGCGGAGCAAAGTTCCTTTGTGTGAAGGGATATAAAAGGCTGTGTGTGTGTTTTGGGGCCAGAGCTCTCATGAATAAACATACAGATTATTCTTGCTGGTTGTGGACCTTGTTTAATTCATTATTAAAACCAGAGCATTACAACCTCTGGGAATTATTCAAGCTTGAGTTTAATTAAGAGATAGAAATTCTCGTGACAGTCTCCAACAGGTTGATCGCGAGCTACCAGTAGCTCGCAGCCGACCTGAGAAGCTCGCCAAACAATTCTGAAAGTACATGCAATTTTCACATGTTCCACAGCAAACTGTCATAAACAAATCTCACAAGTAGACACCGCAAGCTCCCAGCTACTATCTAATCAACGCAACATTGACATTATCCCCACCCCTGGTTAGCCACTATTCGCTTAAAAAGCCAAACCTAACACTATCTGCCAATTCATTTCCAGAAATATTTCCCCTGTCTTGTCTGTATGGTGCGTGTGTGTGTGTGTGTGTGTGTGTGGCCAGTTGATGTGATAACTGTCTTGCGGGTTGACAGAAACATTTTCCCAAAAACCTTCTCAATTAAATGTTAACTGCAAAATAGGTTTACCTGGCAGAAGTATATCATTTGCATCTATTATTTATTTGCTAACTTTGCCATGAAATGAGCAGCAGCGGTACAGAACCATTGCTAGACTGCACATTAGACAGCACATTCCTCACTCGCTAGAAGCACAATTAAAGGGCCAGATGCGCAATTAAAGGGGAATTACACCAAAAAATTAAAATGTGTTTTCTACTAGACCTAAAAGAAATGGTCTTCTGATATGATTTAAGCATTGACATGAACCCAGAACATCCGATTTCATTGTTTCTTTATGATATATGATTTCTCCCCCCCCCCCCCCCCAAATAAGTGTTTTTCTCTTTTGATGTTTCTCATCTGGCTCTGTGCAGACACAAACCAGGCTGCAGCAGCAGAACGAGCAGCTGCGCCGGGAGCTGGAGGGAGCCCACACGAAGAGTACCCAGCAGCTGCAGAGCAGGCTGGTCGAGCTGGAGGCCTCCAACAGGGACCTGACTGAGAAGAGATACAAGAGCGAGTCCACCATCCGCGACATCAAAGCCAAACTAATGGGACTGGAAGAGGTGGGGGTGGGGGAGCAAGGGGCCTTCCTTTAGTGGGGGAAATGTCACAAAAACTGCCACTTTTGTGAAGACATTTTAAACTTGTCTGAAACACTCCTAGGATAAGTATCTGTTGGTTCATATCATGCATGTTTTTTTGACATCCATATTGAATTCCTGATTTGATAGAGAAATGGAAATCTTGCCACCATGTTGACCACCAATGTTGTCTAAATAACCTGCTGACAAGTGTGTGTGTGAACAGGAGTCTCAGCGAGCGAAGCAGCAGGCCCTGTCTCTTCGGAGGGAGAACGGCACCCTGGACATGGAGTGTCACGAGAGGGAGCGTCAGGTGAACCAGCTGCAGACGCGGGTTGCAGTCCTGGAGCAGGAGATGAAAGACAAGGAGCAGCTCGTCCTCCGCACCAAGGAAGTGCTGGAAGCCACTCAGCAACAGAAGGTAAGCAGTCAGTCCCCTGGGCAAATGGAGAGCATACTATCAGAAAAGCCAGGATATTTGTTCAAATTAATATTGATGAATTATGTAAAAACAGTGACATTTTTGTGTGTAGAACTCAGTGGAAGGAAATGCCGAAAGCAAACAACTCCAAATAGGAAAACTGGAGGCTACAGTGAAATCCCTGTCTGAGGAACTCATAAAGGTTGGTTACTTACATTTCCAATCATGGCTTTTTGTTATGCATATCATGGTCTGAAAATACATGGCCACAGTCTCAATCCAGTCAAGTTAAAATCCACAAGTCCTTGTCTGCTCATGCACTTATTTTAGTCTAAATATTAATACCAATTTTGTCTTGATGCTGATCACATCCCCTTTGAGAAGAAATACATTCAGCGTGGGGGTGAAGTACCGTCTTGACACTACCTCGTGTTTACTTCCTAGGCCAACGGCATCATCAAGAAGTTGCAGGGAGAGCTGAGGGGCCTGGTGGGGAAGATCAAGGTGAAGAACACTGTGATGGTGTCTCAGGAGAAGGTGCTCCAGGAGACCCAGGAGAAGCTGCACAAAGCCCAGAGAGACCTGCAGGACACTCAGCAGCAGCTCAAGCATAGAGACGAGGAGGTGTGTGTTTCCTTTACAGGGTGTGTCCACTACCTTAAATACCAATCTGAGGACAACAAAAACGGGCAGAAATGGCTGCTGAAAGACCCAATGCATATCTATATATGTGTGTGTGTGCAAGTCAAGTACTGAGGAGTAGTGGGCGCTGACCTAATTCTTGGCATCAAGTTTGGATTTATCTTTTTTGTTGTAATTTCCTTTCCACTGTAGGTGTCGAAATTGAAGGAGCAGTTGGGGGAGACGGTTCAGAAACTAGACGAAAGCAGGGAGGTGCTGAAAACAAACGAGAATGGTATGGAAGGTCTTTTAAAGAAATGGTTCACAAAAAATACAACTTTACATGATTTTGCACTTATCCTTGGCTGTTGTCAGATTACCTAATATTTGTATTCCTTTAGTATTTTCCCTTTTTTTTTTCTCCCTGCAACAATGGATTTGTTTTATCCTTCAGTTATAATGTGGCTGAACAAACAGCTGAATGAGAACCAGTTATCCAGGAAGCCGGAGACCCTTGGAACGTTTGAGACTCCTTCAGCTCTCTCAGCCTCAGCTGGACAGAGGATGGGCAGTGCCTCTCACAACATGGTAAGCACTAAACATGTCATGGTACACGGTAAGATATTGGTTTGATATCTTTTAGTTGCAGTGGGTAGCATGTTTGTTTTTAAATTGCAGCTTTAAATACATGTGTCGATTTCAAAGTTAATTTGAGTTATATGCATGCTTCTTAAAGGCAGACTCCGCAATATGACATCATACACAGGCAGGGCAACTTCCTGCTTGTAGACTTCAACAAAAATCGAATCTGCTTAGACTATCTGCCGCTATTGGTATTTGGCAGATTTAAATTGGATTGTTTTCTGTTAGTAGGGACGCGTTACGCAGGCGTCAGGCGCAACGTTTTGGAACATTCAGATATACAGTACCAGTCCAAAGTTTGGACACACCTACTCATTCAAGGGGTTTTTCTTTATTTTGACAATTTTTTACATTGTAGAATAACAGTGAAGACATATAAACAATGAAATAACACATGGAATGATGTAGTAACCAAAAAAGTGTTAAACAAATCAAAATATATTTTATATTTTGAGATTCTTCAAATAGCCACCCTTTGCCTTGATGACAGCTTTGCACACTCTTGACATTCTCTCAACCAGCTTCATAAGTTAGTCACCTGGAATGCATTTCAATTAACAGGTGTGCCGCCTTAATAGTTAATTTGTGGAATTTCTTTCCTTCTTAATGCATTTGAGCCAATCAGTTGTGTTGTGACAAGGTAGGGGGGGTATACAGAAGATGGGCCTATTTGGTAAACGACCAAGTCCATATTATGCAAGAACAGCTCAAATAAGCAAAGAGAAACGACAGTCCATCATTACTTTAAGACATGAAGGTCAGTCAATACGGAAAATGTCAAGAACTTTGAACGTTTCTTAAAGTGAAGTCGCAATAACCATCAAGTGCAATGATGAAACGGCTCTCATGAGGACTGCCACAGGAATGGAAGACCCAGATTTACCTCTGCTGCAGAGGATACGTTAATTAGAGTTACCAGCCTCAGAAATTGCTGCCGAAATAATAAATGCTTCACAGTTCAAGTCACAGACACATCTCAACATCAACTGTTCAGAGGGGACTGTGTGAATCACGTCGAATTGCTGCAAAGAAACCACTACTAAAGGACACCAATAAGAAGAGACCTGCTTGGGCCAAGAAACACAAGCAATATACATTAGACTGGTGGAAATGTGTCCTTTCTCTTTGTGAGACACGGTGTGGGTGAACGGCTGATCTCCGCATGTAATTTAAGGCACACTTAACCAGCATGGCTACCATAGCATTCTGCAGCGATACGCCATCCCATCTGGTTTGGGCTTAGTGGGACTGTCATTTGTTTTTCAACAGGACAATGACCCAGCACACCTCTAGGCTGTAAAAAGGCTATTTGACCAATAAGGAGAGTGATGGAGTGCTGCATCAGATGACCTGGCCTCCACAATCGCCCCGACCCTTGTTACGCCAGGGTAGTGGGTTCGATCCCCGGGACCACCCATACGTAAAAAGTTATGCACACATGACTGTAAGTCTCTTTGGATAAAAGCGTCTGCTAAATGGCATAATTTTATTATTATTATTATTATTACCTCAACCCAATTGAGATGGTTTGGGATGAGTCAGACGACAGAGTGAAGGAAAAGCAGCCAACAAGTGCTCAGCATATGTGGGAACTCCTTCAAGACTGTTGGGAAAGCATTCCAGGTGAAGCTGGTTGAGAGAATGCCAAGTGTGCAGAGCTGTCATCAAGGCAAAGGGTGGCTATTTGAAATCTCAATATAAATATTTAGATTTTAACACTTTTTTGGTTACTACATGATTCCATATGTGTTATTTCATAGTTTTGATGTTTTCACTATTATTCTACAATGTAGAAAATAGTAAAAATAAAATAAAACCCTTGAATGAGTAGGTGTGTCCAAACTTTTCACTGGTACTGTAAACTTGCCTCAGACATGTATAAAAAGGAATTATGTAGTCTCTATTCATGGCATTTCTATCTGCAATGTTCGACAATGTCGTGAATGATGACATATTGTCAAGTCTACCTTTTTTAAAAGTTACGATTCGACCAGCAAAAGCGCACACAATCAGATCAGCTCAAATCATGTGTGCTTGATTTTGTTTTCAGTTGGACAGCCGAGTGTTTCCCTCCTCGGCCGGACAGGGCTACCCCATCACGTCTACGCTGAACTCCAAACTTTCCTCCCTCCCTCTGTCCAGCCGCTCCGTCTTCTCACTACACAACCAGGGCCCTGGACCCAAGGCAGGCTCATCTTTTCTCCTTTGTTACTCTGAATTCTAATTGAAATGTAATGTTATATTTAGAAATGTGTTGAAATAGGTGTGGTTTTGCAACGACACAGCCTTGAATTTGGGCCACAACATGAATAGCAATTTGGATGATTTACCTAAACACTAATAATTAACTATTTCCTTACGTTGACTGTAATTTCATCCTGGAAGAACCAATACAGTTCTATAAGGTGTGGGATTATAAGGCAGCTTGAACTCAATTGTATGTTGTGGTTCCTAAGTCGTTGCAACTGTATTCAGGAGTTTGCTTGAATTCTGACTTTATGTTGACCTGGGCTGAATTGCAGGTCCAGTTTAACCCCATGAGTACCAAGCCCGGCATGTCTCCTGTGGAAGTGAGGGACGGGAGCCCCACAGCACAGCATCCCCCTCAGCCCTCCAACAAAGAGAAGTGAGTCCAGCTCTCTGTCTGGGGCTTCCATGTGTGTTTCTAGTTTAGTTTGTATGCTTTCAGCATCAGAATTAACTTGTAAGTGTTCAGAAACGTTTTCTCTGCTCACTTTTACATTAAAATAGCTCCCGGATTATTGGATGGTGCATCACCATCGGCAAGAGCCCAAGACAATCTACTTTATTCTCTGGACCATTCATTCAGACACTGCCTTTTTTTTTTTTTACTTGTAGTGGCGAGCCTGCTGGATTGGAGTCCAAGTACTTTGAGAAGCGAGACGACAGCATTCCCCTCCGTGGTCTGTTGTCTGGCATGCACCTCAACAGAGGTAAGACCACATCCATGCCTGCTTTGTGGACACTGGGGGGGGGGTATTTGTTTCTGAGCTTATGAGGGGAAGTTCAAGTTCACTTTACATGCCTCTTAAGTCCCTTCTCAATGGGCACACCACGTCATTTCAACATGGAAATGTGGGTAATATTGGGTTGAGAAATTGATCAATGAGATTACAACCTTTATTCACCCTCTCAAAAAGACAGCAAGACATTTGTTGATTTCCCAATGTGTTATCACTATGCTTTTGACCATTTAAAAGCACAACAAAGTTCAAATGGGAATACAATGTCAGACGTTGTGTATTTATACAACAGAGTAATGTGTTATCACTGTGCTTCATCAAATAGCCAAATGACCTGGATTGTAGTTGAGATTACATTAAAAGTACACGGTGCAAGTGATCAATGCTGTTTGAGATTCTGCATTATAACAGCAATTGTGAAGATCTCCACAGACCTGCAACCTTAGCATGCTATCTTGAACATGCACGCTTTGGATGATTATATAACAAGACATTTATAGTTAGGCTACAGAAGGCTCATTTTAAGGTTGAATAAATACTGCTAGTCCTTAGTTTGTAAGATAGCCTTAACTTTAGGCTATTTACTATATTACATAAGTAATATTGAATTGTGTTTGGTTGACAACGCAACCAAATATCAACTTTAAAGGATATCTAATGCTTGGATAGTTTTAATCTGAGCCACTGGCTTAATCCTTTTCTTTTAACTTTTTTCTTTTTGGTTTAGTTGGAGACGTGAATCCAACATATCATTTGTTAACTTGTCGATAAGTTAATAGGCTATTTGCTGTATTGCAAAAGTGATATTGAGCTGTGTTTGGTTGTCAACGCAACCAAACATCAACATTTGAAGGAGATGTATATTTTCTGACACTGACTTAGTCTGGCTTTAATTCCAGTTTGTCAAAAAATGTATAATTGATATGTTGGATTCACGTCTCCATCTCAACCAAGAATAAAAGTTAAAGAAAAGCGCTAAATCAAATCCACATTTATTTAAAGTTCATTTAAAGTTTGATTTGATTTAGTCATATTCTTTAACTTAGATTTTTGGTTGAGATTGAGACGTGAATCCAACATATCAATTATACATTTTTTGACAAACTGGAATTAAAGCCAGACTAAGTCAGTGGCACAGGTAGACCTATCCAAGCAGAAGATGCACCTCCTTCAAATGTTGATATTTTGTTGCGTTGACAACCAAACACAATTCAATTTCCAGTTTGTCTACAGATGTTGGATTCACATCTCCATCTCAACCAAAAATCCAAGTTAAAGAATAGGACTTAATCTAATCAGATTTTAAATGCACTTTATTTAAAAGTTTGATTTGATTTATTCCTGTTCTTTAACTTAGATTTTTGGTTAAAATCAACCAAAGCTTGAAACCTTAGGCCTATATGTATTGTCTATTTTTTGTTTAACCCTGGGTTGAATTGAAACAATAGCTGTGGATGATTTTGAAAATGCTACAGTTGAAGTCGAAAGTTTATACACTAAGGTAGAGTCATTAAAACTTGTTTTTCAACCACTCCACACATTTCTTGTTAACAAACTATAGTTTTGGCAAGTCGGTTAGGACATCTACCTTGTGCATGACACATCATTTTTCCAACAATTTGTTTACAGACAGATTATTTCACTTATAATTCACTGTATCACAATTCCAGTGGGTCAGAAGTTTACATACACTAAATTGACTGTGCCTTTAAACAGCTTGGAATATTCCAGAAAATGATGTCATGGCTTTAGAAGCTTCTGATAGGCTAATTGACATAATTTGAGTCAATTGGAGGTGTACCTGTGGATGTATTTCAAGGCCTACCTTCAAACTCAGTGCCTCTTTGCTTGACATCATGGGAAAATCAAAATAAATCAGCCAAGACCTCAGAAAACAAATTGTAGACCTCCACAAGTCTGGTTCATCCTTGGGAGCAATTTCCAAATGCCTGAAGGCACCACGTTCATCTGTACAAACAATAGTACGCAAGTATAAACACCATGGGACCCCGCAGCCATCATACCACTCAGGAAGGAGACGCGTTCTGTCTCCTAGAGATTAACGTACTTTGGTGCGAAAAGTGCAAATCAATCCCAGAACAACAGCAAAGGACCTTGTGAAGATGCTGGAGGAAACAGGTACAAAAGTATCTATATCCACAGTAAAACGAGTCCTATATCAACATAACCTGAAAGGCCGCTCAGCAAGGAAGAAGCCACTGCTCCAAAACCGCCATAAAAAAGCCAGACTACGGTTTGCAACTGCACATGGGGACAAAGATCGTACTTTTTGGAGAAATGTGCTCTGGTCTGATGAAACAAAAATAGAACTGTTTGGCCACAATGACCATCGTTATGTTTGGAGGAAAAATGGGGGACGCTTCCAAGTCGAAGAACACCATCCCAACCGTGAAGCACAGGGGTGGGGGTGCTTTGCTGCAGGAGGGACTTCACAAAATAGAAGGCATCATGAGGAAGGAAATGTATGTGGATATATTGAAGCAACATCAAGACATCAGTCAGGTAGTTAAAGCTTGGTCGCAAATGTCTTCCAAATGGACAATGACCCCAAGCATGCTTCCAAAGTTGTGGCAAAATGTCTTAAGGACAACAAAGTCAAGGTATTGGAGTGGCCATCACAAAGCCCTGACCTCAATCCTATAGAAAATGTGTGGGCAGAACTGAAAAGGCGTGTGCAAGCAAGGAGGCCTACAAACCTGACTCAGTTACACCAGCTTTGTCAGGAGGAATTGGCCAAAATTTACTAAACTTTTTGTGGGAAGTTTGTGGAAGGCTACCCGACACGTTTGACCCAAGTTAACCAATTTCTAGGCAATGCTACCAAATACTAATTGAGTGTATGTAAACTTCTGACCCACTGGGAATGTGATGAAAGAAATAAAAGCTTAAATAAATCTCTCTACTATTATTCTGACATTTCACATTCTTAAAATAAAGTGGTGATCCTAACTGACCTAAGACGGTGCGCAGCAGAGGACTGTAGGCACTACCGGTAGACAAGATGGCGTATTGAATACACAGCGGTACGAATCACCTCAAGATAAAAACATAATATTCAATATGAGTAAGTTAGACTAAATATTAGCACTTCATATATTCGTGGGTAATAACATTCAATCTGGATAATAACACAAAACAAATCATAAGGCTAGAGAAATGTATCGACAAATATTACATCAACAAGCAACACTCAAACATGACGGAGGAGAAACGAGGAGAATCAATCTCCAAGAGAACGCGACTCCTCGACTGATGCAGATGATTTATGCTTTTCACCACTGGGACTGGTAAGTGTGGAAAGCGATCTGTTGAAGTCGATAAATGACAAACTAGGTGTACTAGAGTTGGTCAGTAATGATGTAAAAGAGTTGAAGGCTAGTCTTGAAATGAGTGATGGAAAAGCTGTGATAATGGAGAACGATACAAAACAACTAAAAGGGACAGTCACTAGGATGGAAACGGATGTTAAGGAACTTAAAAAGGAGAACAACTTTCTGAGAGAAGCCTTACTAGACCTTGTACTTACCTAGTACTTACTGGTATCCAAGAAAAAGGAGAGGTTACCGAAAAAATTGTGAAGGACTTCTTTCTTACAGCGCTTCAAATCCCACTCGAGGCTGTCAATAAAATCCAACTTGAACGTGTACACCGTTTCGGACAGAGATATATATATGAGCGTACAATCGTTGCCAATTTGCTTTTTTTAAGGATAAAGTAATGGTTAAAAGCCTAGGTAAAAGACTTGCTGGCACGAAAATAGGCATGAATGATCAGTTCCCGAGGGAGACTGCAGAACGGCGCAAAGTTCTGTACCCAATCTTCAAGGAAAATAGATTAAAAGGGAAGCGTGTTGCTCTCGTTGTCGATAAACTGTATTTTGACAACCAAATGTTCCGCGACACAAAGACTACTCCATGGCTATTCTGACAGTTCTAATAGAGGAGTCGAATAATGGAACACCCAATACTAGCCATGGTAGGGATTGTAATAATAAAGCACATCTATAGTATTTATAGTATTTTATAAAGGGATAAGACGGTATTACAAGAAAAGATAACAAGCAAAATAATACATCTTCAAATACAACTAATTAGAACACAAGTACTCAATCAACATAGTGGAGATAAAAACATAGCAAATAGAAGACACAGTATGTGTGGATGTATTGTGGTGTGCATTTTTTGTGTTTGAAAAAGTGTGGCGATAAGTGAGTGATAAAGGAAATGGTTCCATATCCCAGAACCAACATGTCTGTGAGCAGGGGTTGTGAGAGAGAGCTTTCAATTTTGTGCAGATGAGGGATATACATTTTAGAATAAAGTATACATCTAATCTATTATTTTATTGTCCTATCATGATGGAACGATCCCCAACCCTATTTCCTAGACACCCACCCGAGCAACCCATACACCAAAGAGAAGTCCCCATCTGTTTTATGGCCCTGCTGTGAGTTGCCTATATGCAGCCAAAACAGAACAATAAATGCGGTCAGAGACCTACTTGTGCAGCACCGCCCCCTCAAGATTCGGAGTCTGCCTGGCAGGGTTGGTCCTACAAAGCCAGAGTCCCCGTGATGGGAGAGCATAATATACAAGGAAATTCTCAAAGCTGCTAATGAGAACCTTGACGACCTTGTACCTAGCCGGTGGGGATTCCGGTCGGATACCCCCACCCAGGTAGTGGCGGTGCTGGCAACACTGGCTGCAGTAACCCATGGGGAGGGGGTCACACTCGGACATTCAGAGAGGGGGAATATTATTGTGGCCCTCGTGGCACAAAATAATCAAAGGTCTGACTGCACAGAGATGCTTGGGGGAAATGGTTACAACGGGGGACCAGAGTGTTTGTGTCTCAGGGGAAGAGGGTGGATCTGATCTCCATCACCTAGGACTTGACATAGATTAATCAAATCTCACATTGTTGTCCATTTTTGCTGAATCTTGCATGCTTTCTCAAACAGCTGTAACTTTATATGCATTCGTAAATCAGGTCCTTTCTTGAGTTGGGCTCTGGGATGTAACAACCGTTGAGCATCTGATCTTATGGTTGATTGTGGAGGAAAGGGGTGGAGTGTGTTTGTTATCCCACATCTGTTGCAAGGGGGTAAGGATGTTAGGGAGAATATAGGATGAACCATAATTGTTTGCTAAAATAATAATTGCTTGACAAAAATGTAATGTAATATAATGGCAATCCGGGTTATAGGTAACAATCCTATGCATGAACTGCCGACATTATTACGCATATTAATTGATAATGATGGAAATTAAGATATGCAAGATATTTGAATAGATATACAGTGGGCAGAACAAGTATTTGATACACTGCTGATTTTGCAGGTTTTCCTACTTACAAAGCATGTAGAGGTCTGTAATTTTTATCATAGGTACACTTCAACTGTGAGAGACAGAATCTAAAACAAAAATCCAGAAAATCACATTGTATGATTTTTAAGTAATTCATTTGCATTTTATTGCATGACATAAGTATTTGATACATCAGAAAAGCAGAACTTAATATTTGGTACAGAAACATTTGTTTGCAATTACAGAGACCATACGTTTCCTGTAGGTCTTGACCAGGTTTGCACACACTGCAGCAGGGATTTTGGCTAACTCCTCCATACAGACCTTCGCTAGATCCTTCAGGTTTCAGGGCTGTCGCTGGGCAATACGGACTTTCAGCTCCCTCCAAAGATGTTCTATTGGGTTCAGGTCTGGAGACTGACTAAGCCACTCCAGGACCTTGAGATGCTTCTTACGGAGCCACTCCTTAGTTGCCCTGGCTGTGTGTTTTGGGTCGTTGTCATGCTGGAAGACCCAGCCACGACCCATCTTCAATGCTCTTACTAAGGGAAGGAGGTTGTTGGCCAAGATCTCGCGATACATGGCCCCATCCATCCTCCCCTCAATACGGTGCAGTCGTCCTGTCCCCTTTGCAGAAAAGCATCCCCAAAGAATGATGTTTCCACCTCCATGCTTCACGGTTGGGATGGTGTTCTTGGGGTTGTTCTCATCCTTCTTCTTCCTCCAAACACGGCAAGTGGAGTTTAGACCAAAAAGCTATATTTTTGTCTCATCAGACCACATGACCTTCTCCCATTCCTCCTCTGGATCATCCAGATGGTCATTGGCAAACTTCAGACGGGCCTGGACATGCGCTGGCTTGAGCAGGGGGACATTGCGTGCGCTGCAGGATTTTAATCCATGACGGCGTAGTGTGTTACTAATGGTTTTCTTTGAGACTGTGGTCCCAGCTCTCTTCAGGTCATTGACCAGGTCCTGCCGTGTAGTTCTGGGCTGATCCCTCACCTTCCTCATGATCATTGATGCCCCACAAGGTGAGATCTTGCATGGAGCCCCAGACCAAGGGTGATTGACCATCATCTTGAACTTCTTCCATTTTCTAATAATTGCGCCAACAGTTGTTGCCTTCTCACCAAGCTGCTTGCCTATTGTCCTGTAGCCCATTCCAGCCTTGTGCAGGTCTACAATTTTATCCCTGATGTCCTTACACATCTCTCTGGTATTGGCCATTGTGGTGAGGTTGGAGTCTGTTTGAGTGTGAGGACAGGTGTCTTTTTATACAGGTAACGAGTTCAAACAGGTGCAGTTAATACAGGTAATGAGTGGAGAACAGTGGGGCTTCTTACAGAAAAACGAACAGGTCTGTGAGAGCTGGAATTCTTACTGGTTGGTAGGTGATCAAATACTTATGTCATGCAATAAAATGCAAATGAATTACTTAAAAATCACACAGTGATTTTCTGGATTTTTGTTTTAGATTCCGTCTGTCACAGTTGAAGTGTACCTATGATAAAAATTACAGACCTCTACATGCTTTGTAAGTAGGAAAACCTGCAAAATCGGCAGTGTATCAAATGCTTGTTCTCCCCACTGTACATACACACACACACACACACGTGTGTGTGTGTGTGTATATATATATATATATATATACACACACTGCTAAAAAAAATAAAGGGAACACTTAAACAACACAATGTAACTCCAAGTCAATCACACTTCTGTGAAATCAAACTTAGGAAGCAACACTGATTGACAATAAATGTCACATGCTGTTGTGCAAATGGAATAGACAACAGGTGGAAATTATAGGCAATTAGCAAGACACCCCCAATAAAGAATTGGTTCTGCAGGTGGTGACCACAGACCACTTCTCAGTTCCTATGCTTCCTGGCTGATGTGTTGGTCACTTTTGAATGCTGGCGGTGCTTTCACTCTAGTGGTAGCATGAGACTGAGTCTACAACCCACACAAGTGGCTCAGGTAGTGCAGCTCATCCAGGATGGCACATCAATGCGAGCTGTGGCAAGAAGGTTTGCTGTGTCTGTCAGCGTAGTGTCCAGAGCATGGAGGCGCTACCAGGAGACAGGCCAGTACATCAGGAGACGTGGAGGAGGCCGTAGGAGGGCAACAACCCAGCAGCAGGACTGCTACCTCCGCCTTTGTGCAAGGAGGAGCAGGAGGAGCACTGCCAGAGCAGCCCTGCAAAATGACCTCCAGCAGGCCACCAATGTGCATGTGTCTGCTCAAACGGTCAGAAACAGACTCCATGAGGGTGGTATGAGGGCCCGACGTCCACAGGTGGGGGTTGTGCTTACAGCCCAACACCGTGCAGGACGTTTGGCATTTGCCAGAGAACACCAAGATTGGCAAATTCGCCACTGGCGCCCTGTGCTCTTCACAGATGAAAGCAGGTTCACACTGAGCACATGTGACAGACGTGACAGAGTCTGGAGACGCCGTGGAGAACATTCTGCTGCCTGCAACATCCTCCAGCATGACCGGTTTGGCGGTGGGTCAGTCATGGTGTGGGGTGGCATTTCTTTGGGGGGCCGCACAGCCCTCCATGTGCTCGCCAGAGGTAGCCTGACTGCCATTAGGTACCGAGATGAGATCCTCAGACCCCTTGTGAGACCATATGCTGGTGCGGTTGGCCCTGGGTTCCTCCTAATGCAAGACAATGCTAGACCTCATGTGGCTGGAGTGTGTCAGCAGTTCCTGCAAGAGGAAGGCATTGATGCTATGGACTGGCCCGCCCGTTCCCCAGACCTGAATCCAATTGAGCACATCTGGGACATCATGTCTCGCTCCATCCACCAACGCCACGTTGCACCACAGACTGTCCAGGAGTTGGCGGATGCTTTAGTCCAGGTCTGGGAGGAGATCCCTCAGGAGACCATCCGCCACCTCATCAGGAGCATGCCCGGGCGTTGTAGGGAGGTCATACAGGCACGTGGAGGCCACACACACTACTGAGCCTCATTTTGACTTGTTTTAAGGACATTACATCAAAGTTGGATCAGCCTGTAGTGTGGTTTTCCACTTTAATTTTGAGGGTGACTCCAAATCCAGACCTCCATGGGTTGATACATTTGATTTCCATTGATAATTTTTGTGTGATTTTGTTGTCAGCACATTCAACTATGTAAAGAAAAAAGTATTTAATAAGATTATTTCATTCATCAGATCTAGGATGTGTTATTTTAGTGTTCCCTTTATTTTTTTGAGCAGTGTTTTTTTTGTTTATATTTAAGAGAAAAACATATGGGGGATTGGAAGTAATGCAGACAATTACATTGATGGAAGTTGCAATCTATCTGCAATATTAAAGCTGATCTACCCCCTAAAAAAATACATTTAAAAAATGGAATTTTTACTAGGATTAAATGTCAGGAATTGTGAAAAACTGAGTTTAAATGTATTTGGCTGAGGTGTATGTAAACTTCCGACTTCAACTGTATATAGGCCTAAATAGTATCATTGACTATATATGACTTCTAAAGTATGGTTACATTTCATTTGCTCTGTTAAACCTACCCTTTGGACTTCGACACATACACAATCCATAGCTCAATTGTCTCAAGGCTAAAAAATCCTTCTTTAACCTATCTCCTCCCCTTCATCTACACTGATTTGAAGTGGATTTAACAAGTGACCATAGCTTTCACCTGGTCAGTCTGTCATGGAAAGAGCAGGTATTCTTAATGTTTTGTACACTCTGTGTATAATATTGAAGATCTGTTGTTTCAAAGGTACAAATTCAACATTTTATACAAGGTTTGTCTGTAGAAAATTGGTTACAATTTTGACTTAATCCTGTGGTTGAAATTTCACCCTCAAAACAAGTGAACTTTAGATTTTAAAAAAAATCCTATGTATTTTACACACAGATTCCACGTCATACGTTGACAAATTACATTGAAACAGCGTTGATTCAACCAGTTTGTGCCCAGTGGGTTTGTTCTGCTTTTCTTTCTTTAGCTGTTGAGTTTAAATCCTACACAGTCTTGTGCATTGTCAGTAACGTGCTGAATTAAAATTCAGATTTTATGTCTGTCATAACTTCCTTTTTTCCCCCTGTTGTCTCTAGATGTTCCAAGGCCACCACCAGCCAAGCCTGGCCTGCAGTCTCTGTCCTCCGCTTACTTCCCTGGCTGAGAAGGAATGGAGCCAAGAACTACTGAAATGTCCACAACACACCACTGAATACAACAGTGACTAAGGAGGGTGACCTGTTAGACCAACCACAGATTATCACAGTACCTCCACCTATGTTCATGTTTTTAACCTGTGCTGTGTTTCCAAGTATTTATTAAAAATGATTTTTAAGATAACCAATCAATCGTAATTAAGCCACTTGATCCGTTTGCCAAATATTACGTTTGTCGGTTGGTTTAAAAAAAAATCACTGTCATCACGTCTTACTCGTAATTAGCATTGACATAACCAATGCTGTCATCATGTTGCTCTGGGTGTTTTCACTTTTAACCCTGTTACATTTCAATTATAACTTTTAACACTCAATAGTACTCAAGTCCTGGATCGAATGACACTTGAGCCAGTGTGAAAATGTTCAAGTGTTCCCCAAGAAAAGCTGCCGTCTGTTTACATGGTGCAACAATGATAAAAGATACCTTTTCAATGGTTAACATGTACATGCTAATCGCAAGTCATCACCAGCTTATTGATGAACAGATGCTCAACCAACCATCACTATGGTTATTCCACCACAGATTGATTGCTACTGAAGTGTTTGCTGTGTAAAAACTGTACATATGGGTGTATGAAATTAATAATTAATGTGTATATCTGTAGATTAAAAAGTTTTGTTTTCAGAATCTCAAAGTAGTCAAGTCTCTGATCAACTAACTACTGTCGTGGAAATTCTTACACAGGGACTCTCGAAGTCAATCTTAAATGAATCATTGTTTATTGTCAGCGAGCTGGCGAGGTTCCAACAAACGTAATGCACCATAGTGAACGTCTGTCAGGAGCTCTAACGGGGCAGTCCCGTTAGTTCTCTTATATACTGCAGACAAGTCACATTTGCATGATTTGGCTTATTCATAATTCATCATTAACGTTTGCTTCATTCATGTGACCAACCAATACTGGATCATGCATGTGACAGACCAATACCTCACGAGGCTTCTTCTCTAAGCTGAGACCTTGAAACTGAGATATCAAAACAAGGGTCTGGGCGTACTGCCAATATCAGTATTGCAGGGACTGATAGTGAGGGTTTGTTCAGTCAGTCACTTGCATGAACACAGAAAACGGTTATTAGAAAAGCACAAATGTATAAAATAGGAAAGCACCAACAAAAAATATAAACGCAACATGTAAAATGTTGGTCCCATGTTTCATGAGCTGAAATAAACAATCTCTGAAATTTTCCATACGCACAAAAAGCTTATTTCTCTCAAATGCTGTGCACAAATGTGTTTACATCCCTGTTAGTGAGCATTTCTCCTTTGACAAGATAATCCATCCACCTGACAGGTGTGGCATATCAATAAACTGACATTAGTTGCACTCAAACGGTGCCCACATAAAGCTGTCCCAACAGCAGAGCTTTCTTTTCAGCACCATGGAGTGAATCCCTACCACTGCTACACCTGGCTAATCAGCAGAGCCTTGTCTGGCAGCGAAACAGTTCATTCAGACTCATTTACTGCCTTTAAAAAAATAAAAACGCTGATATGGCTGACTTGCTTAAACAAATGTGGTTTCTACTGACAATTGAGATGTACAAACTATGGCATAAGGGAACGACGAGCGGATAAGAGGCAATCTGTAATTTCGATTAAGACATTCATGAGCGCGCTAGGACGGACGTAGTCAATATAACTATTTGTTCAGCACTTTTGAAATGTACAGCGACAGAATTCAGAACATGGGCCGTTCTTACAGTGTTCTCCCTGTACACCAAGTCAGAACCGTAGGATAAATAAAGGGGGCATATAAGCAGACAATGAAAGCTCGTACAATATTCGATGATTACGTTTCTCTAAAACAGCCAATAGGCTACATGTGCACCACCAAGTCAGAACAGTAGGTTAAGTTATGAGGGGGAAAGGGACCAAATTATTAGGGTTAGGCACAAGGGCTACTAACAGCTTACTACACAACATACATTTAGTATTACTTTCTAAACTACCGTATACAGTGAGGGAAAAAAGTATTTGATCCCCTGCTGATTTTGTACGTTTGCCCACTGACAAAGACATGATCAGTCTATAATTTTAATGGTAGGTTTATTTGAACAGTGAGAGACAGAATAACAACAAAAAAATCCAGAAAAACGCATGTCAAAAATGTTATAAATTGATTTGCATTTTAATGAGGGAAATAAGTATTTGACCCCTCTGCAAAACATGACTTAGTACTTAGTGGCAAAACCCTTGTTGGCAATCACAGAGGTCAGATCTTTCTTGTAGTTGGCCACCAGGTTTGCACACATCTCAGGAGGGATTTTGTCCCATTCCTCTTTGCAGATCTTCTCCAAGTCATTAAGGTTTTGAGCCTGACGTTTGGCAACTCGAACCTTCAGCTCCCTCCACAGATTTTCTATGGGATTAAGGTCTGGAGACTGGCTAGGCCGCTCCAGGACCTTAATGTGCTTCTTCTTGAGCCACTCCTTTGTTGCCTTGGCCGTGTGTTTTGGGTCATTGTCATGCTGGAATACCCATCCATGACCCATTTTCAATGCCCTGGCTGAGGGAAGGAGGTTCTCACCCAAGATTTGACGGTACATGGCGCCGTCCATCGTCCCTTTGATGCGGTGAAGTTGTCCTGTCCCCTTAGCAGAAAATAACCCCCAAAGCATAATATATCCACCTCCATGTTTGACAGTGGGGATGGTGTTCTCGGGGTCATAGGCAGCATTCCTCCTCCTCCAAACACGGCGAGTTGAGTTAATGCCAAAGAGCTGGATTTTGGTCTCATCTGACCACAACACTTTCACCCAGTTCTCCTCTGAATCATTCAGATGTTAATTGGCAAACTTCAGACGGGCCTGTATATGTGCTTTCTTGAGCAGGGGGACCTTGCGGGCGCTGCAGGATTTCAGTCCTTTACGGCGTAGTGTGTTACCAATTGTTTTCTTGGTGACTATGGTCCCAGCTGCCTTGAGATCATTGACAAGACCCTCCCGTGTAGTTCTGGGCTGATTCCTCACCGTTCTCATGATCATTGCAACTCCACGAGGTGAGATCTTGCATGGAGCCCCAGGCTGAGCGAGATTGACAGTTCTTTTGTGTTTCTTCCATTTGCGAATAATCGCACCAACTGTTGTAACCTTCTCACCAAGCTGCTTGGCGATGGTCTTGTAGCCCATTCCAGCCTTGTGTAGGTCTACAATCTTGTCCCTGACATCCTTGGAGAGCTCTTTGATCTTGGCCATGGTGGAGAGTTTGGAATCTGATTGATTGATTGCTTCTGTGGACAGGTGTCTTTTATACAGGTAACAAACTGAGATTAGGAGCACTCCCTTTAAGAGTGTGCTCCTAATCTCAGCTCGATTACCTGTATAAAAGACACCTGGGAGCCAGAAATCTTTCTGATTGAGAGGGGGTCAAATACTTATTTCCCTCATTAAAATGCAAATCAATTTATAACATTTTTGACATGCGTTTTTCTGGATTATTTTGTTGTTATTCTGTCTCTCACTGTTCAAATAAACCTACCATTAAAATTATAGACTGATCATTTCTTTGTCAAAGGGCAAACGTACAAAATCAGCAGGGGATCAAATACTTTTTTCCCTCACTGTACATAGCTCCCTGGCATATTACATAATTTATGCAGCAGCATACAATACATTTTTGGGCTCACCTTGTGCTGTGCTCAATTAAACAGGAATGTGGCGCGGCGGTCCTTCTTGTGGGCAAATTTTGTCATCAAAGTCTGGCATTCTCTGGATTTATGGTGCTTTCAAGACAACTGGGAACACTTTTTTTTAAAACAAGGTCGAATCATGACGTCAGTGATCTTCAGGTCAGAGCGCTAGAAAGAGGCCCGGATTCCCAACTTGGAATTCCGAGTTGGATGACCGTTCAAAACTTATTTTCCCTGTCCCCCCCCCAAGTTCCCAGTTGTCTTCAACTCTCTGAAGTCGGAGATGCTGGATGTATTCAACCTTTTATAGCCCATGGTGTTGAATATTTATCCTTTAAGCTTGGAAAAGAGACCCTTAAACCCAGACTTAGACCACACACCCACTACACTGAATAGCAGGCTAGTGATTGCTTTGCAACGCTTGCAGTTAGCCACTGATTCTTTCCAAACCACTCACTGTTGAATTTGCGATTTCCAATTTGTTGTGTAAAGTTTGTCCAATGGCCAATGAGCACCAATATGTTTTATCTATCATTTCTCTTCATATGACAAGGATTGAAAAGGATTTGCCAGTATATTGTCGACTTGATTCATGATGATGACTGCTTGTTTAGCTTGCTAGCTAAGATTGAAAGTATGATGTTGACATGATCAGTCCAATCAAAGCTACAGTACATATAACGTGATTTGACGTAATTTTATCTGTGGCCAATGACCTTGAGCCTTCTTGGGATGGGCACTTCTAATGTAACTCTATGGCAGCACCCAAGAGGCTTGAATTTTCAAGCTCCCACCATAGATTTTGCGGTGACATAGTGTCCCCGTGAGTGACAGAACACTGAGCCAATCACGGTACCAACCCCTACGCGCCGTATTTTCCGCTGGCTGCCCCACCACCACAGAAAGCACTGAGCTCTGCCCCACCTGCCCTGAATGATGGGTCGCCACTGGGCCTGCATACTCACCAGACATGTCACCCATTTGGGATGCTCTGGATCGACAGCGTGTTCCAGTTCCCGCCAATGACCAGCAACTTCGCACAGCCATTGAAGAGGAGTGGGATAACATTGTGTCGCATGAGGCAAATGGTCACACCAGATACTGACTGGTTTTTCGGATCCACGCCCTTACCTTTTTTTTAAGGTATCTGTGACCAACAGATGCATACAGTGCATTCGGAAAGTATTCACACCCCTTCACACATTGTTACGTTACAGCCTTATTCTAAAACTGATTAAATTGTTTTTTCCCCCCTCATTAATCTACATACAATACCCCATAATGACAAAGCAAAAACTGGTTTTTATAAATTTTTGCAAATGTATAAAGAAATAAAAACTGAAATATCACATTTACATAAGTATTCAGACCCTTCACTCAGTACTTTGTTGAAGCACCTTTGGCAGCGATTACAGCCTCGAGTCTTCTTGGGTACAAGCTTGGCATCCCTGTATTTGCAGAGTTTCTCCCATTCTTCTCTGCAGATCCTCTCAAGCTCTGGATGGGGAGCGTCGCTGCACAGCTATTTTCAGGTCTCTCCAGAGATCTTCGATCGGGTTCAAGTCTGGGCTCTGGCTGGACCACTCAAGGACATTCAGAGACTTGTCCCAAAGCCACTCCTGCGTTGTCTTGGCTGTGTGCTTAGGGTCGTTGTCCTGTTGGAAGGTGAACCTTCGCCCCAGTCTGAGGTCCTGAGTGCTCTGGAGCAGGTTTTCATCAAGGACCTCTCTGTACTTTGCTCCGTTCAGCTTTCCCTCGATCCCGATAGCTCCCCGTCCCGCCCCTGAAAAAAAACAATCCCAACACATATTGGAAAGGGTTGTTTTTTCCCCCAAATTTTACCAGACTTTCCCCCCGGCCATTGAAAAAAAAAATTTTTTTAAATTTTTGCAAAGGAAAAGGTAAAACCAATATAACGGTTTTTTAAACCCCCCCCCTTTTTTTAAGGGAAAAAACCTTGGGGCCAAAAATGCATCCGTCATTTCGGGAAACCCCCCCCTTCACTCCTTTTTTACTTTTCCCATTTTTCAAAAAACTGTTTTGGGGGTTTTCCCCCCCCCAAATTATTTCATCTCCCCATAATTTCAAAAAAGGGGGTTTTTAAAATTTTTGCTTGTAAAAAAGGGCTTTCAAAATTTGGAAAATCCTGACCAAATTTTCCCCCCCTTTGTTTTGTTTTGCGCCCCTTTTGGACGTTCCGCCCCCGGGGGGCTTCTTGGGGTAGCCCGTTTTTGGGGAAACCCGGGTTTGGGGGTTTCCCCCCCTTCGCCTTCGGATCCTAATCCGGGGGGGAGCGGGGTTTCACCACGGCCCCCCCGGGAATTTTTTTCCCCGGTTCAGTTTCCCCTCTGGCTGGAAACCCACCTCGGCCATTCAAAAAAACGGGGGTCCCAAAACCCCCCTTCCCGTTTGGCCCTTCTGGGCTTGGGCGGCCCGGGGGGCCCGCCCCATCGGGTCCTTGCCCGGCCCTTTTTACAAAACCCTTTTTCCCTTTTTGGCTCTCTTGGGGGGGTTCCCCCCCCTTGCCCATCCCCGGGGTTCCCCCCCTTTGGCCCACCCCCGGCGGCCACCCCCATGCTTCACCCGTAGGGGGGGTATTGGCCAGGTTAAAGCGGTCCCCGGGTTTCCTCCCAGCGTGCGTTTTTGGATTCATCCCCAAAGAGTTCAATATTGGTTTCATCAGACCAGATAATCTTGTTTCTTATGGTCAGAGTCCTTTAGGTGCCTTTTGGCAAACTCCAAGCGGGCTGTCATGTGCCTTTTACTGAGGAGTGGCTTCCGTCTGGCCACTCTACCATAAAGGCCTGATTAGTGGAGTGCTGCAGAGGTGGTTGTCCTTTTGGATGGTTCTCCCATCTCCACGGAGGAACTCTGGAGCTCTGTCAGAGTGACCACCGGGTTCTTGGTCACCTCCTTGACTAAGGCCCTTCTCCCCCGATTGCTCAGTTTGGCCAGGTGGCCAAGGGTCTTGGTGGTTCCAAACTTCTTCCATTTAAGAATGACGGAGGCCACTGTGTTCTTGGGGACCTTCAATGCTGCAGAATTGTTTTGGGTACCCTTCCCCATCCTGTATCGGAGCACTACGGACAATTCCTTCGACCTCATGGCTTGGTTTTTGCTCTGACCTGCACTGTCAACTGTGGGACCTTATATAGACAGGTGTGTGCCTTTCCAAATCATGTCCAATCAATTGAATTTACCACAGGTGGACTCCAATGAAGTTGTAGAAACATCTCAAGGATGATCAATGGAAACAGGATCCACCTTAGCTCAATTTCGAGTCTCATAGCAAAGGGTCTAAAAACCTGTTTTCACTTTGTCATTATGGGGTATTGTGTGTAGATTGATTAGGATTTTTTTTAAATTATTGAATACATTTTAGAATAAGGCTGTAATGTAACAAAATGTGGAAAAAGTGAAGGGGTGTGAATACTTTCCAAAGGCACTGTATGTCTGTTCCCAGTCATTTAAAATTCATAGATTAGGGCCAAATGTATTTATTTCAATTTACTGATTTCCTTTATATGAATTGTAACTCAGTAAAATCTTTTAAACTGTTGCATTTATATTTTTGTTCAGCTGGTTTGTCATCTTCAAACTGAGAAGTTGATATGCATCTTGTGGATTTCCTGAAAGTTCACAAAAAAAACATTTGAAAGATAAGAAATATAGCTTGAGGTTAAATGTTTTCTTGGTAAAATAACTGCCTGCAATGTGTCCATCTCACCCGTCGTCAAATAGTCTGCTGCCCAACACAGTATCACTTGAAAACAAACATACAAAAATAGTGTGTATCCCATCTGATATAGTGTACAACTCAAGGTTATGGGCAGAACCCTAAAATGCATTGACTACCAGATTCTTTAACTACAGTACAGACTTGTCATATTGGTTTGGATTTGGTCAATGTTCCATTCCCCTAAAACAGCACAAGTTTCCCAGTCATAAATCCACCATACATCAAAATATTCCACTTTATTGAAATGCATGGTTCTATACTTCATGTATATTTACAAGGTCAGTCAACAATTGAATGTTTAAAAGGTTGAAATTATAAAGCAGCAAAACAATATTACAACAATACAAGGAAAAGAAAACAGCATACAGTATTTCAAGAAATTGCAATGTTTTACAGAACACCAACTATAAATAACTAGAGCACACAACTAATATTTCACAACTTTCATGATTCAATATGTACTTTCTTTTGGTATTTGGTCAATTAGCAAGTTAAAACAAGAGAGTATGTTTTTACAAGTGAAATGGTTTATAGAAGGCCACTGGAGATGGATCTACAGATTCCGTAACTATGCAATGTGTTGGCTGAAGACAAGATATTTTAAAAGGCAAACCCTTCTTGTATGATAATTTTCTGTAACTGTACGATCCATACATGTCAGGGACTTGGCCGTGTACATGTACAAATGAGAATAAAATACTAAAAATACCAAGCCAATCTGTCACACATTCCGTGATGTCAGAGAGAGCGATCAGGGGGAGATTCAAGATCTCATTGTGGTCCCGTCAAAAAGTAACACACCCCTACCCCCCCCAAACAGCATTTTCAAAGCCAAGGGAAGGCACCAGTCAGTCTGAAGAAGTGGTAGTAGGAATTCATATAGGCAGCAGTTTGATATGAGCGTCAAAATAAAGGTGCTTTAAAAATTCAGCTGTACCATTCCAAGTCCATTGCGTTTTCACATTCCATGGTTATCATGTGGATTAAGGCTTTTTATGCTGAGATCTGGGGAAATGCCAACTGGATTTCCGACTCGGCCCCGCAGTGTCATTTTCTCACACAGTTCCGTAAAGCTGAAGGCCCAATTCTAGAGGACTAACCAGTCTTTGTGATGCTCTTTTATCTTTCTAGGTTGTTTTTGTTGTGCAGACGCCCTCTTCTGATTGTGGAACACGCTGTGTTCAGAAACAGCCCTGTCCTACCAGGTGAATGTCCCTGAGTGAGCTATGCCCCTGTTCAATATCATCAAAACGGTTGAGGGAAGAAAAAAAATGGTACAAGTTCAAGGAAAAACAAAACATAATTAAAATGAATAAATATAAGCCATTGGAAATAGTGCCTTTGGATAGAACTTTCTCTCAAAAACATATACTCCTATGTATACATATATGTGGTTAAATCTTAATATTTTTAGATTGGGTGTTGTTATAAACCTATATTAAGGAGCCCCCTCTGTCCTTTTTGAAGATGGGGGCGTCCGGGCCCAAATTGGGCCCGTGGGCCGTTTGATCCCGCCCCCAGGGGCCTTTGGGCCCCCCCAGGCGGGCCCCGGGCTTTTTGGGGGGTCCGTGGGGGGAGCTGTGCTTCTTCCGCTGCCCGGGGCCCGGGGGGCCCCGGGGGGGTTTTCTCTGGGATGAAGAGTGCCACCAAAAGGGGGCTAGTAGCCGGGGCCTGGGTCCGAGGGAAAGGGGGGGCCAGGAAGGATTTTGAACTCGGGGGAAAGGAGGAGGAAATAAAAGTTACAAATATTTTTTTTCCCTACCCAAATTTAAAAAAATTGGGAAAATTTTTAAAAAATGAGGGTTACCCTTGTACAAGCGGATTCATAACCTCCTTTTAAAACTTTATAACTATTAAAAATTTAAAAGAGGGTTTTTTGGGGGGCTAAAGGGGGTGCATAGTTTCTAAATACATAGTAACTTAAGACGGGAAAAGAAACCCCTTTTTAAAAGGGCTGATATTTTTTAGGAGGGCCCCCCTGGGTGTGAAAAAAAACCTTCAAAATCTAAAACCTAACTAAATTTAACTATTTCTGCTGGGGTTTTCCCGGGTTTTTTAATTTTGAGGTTTTATTGGGCCTAAAATTTAAAGCCCCTCGGGGGTTTGGGCAAAGACTAAACCCAAAAAGGGGGGAGGACAGAAAGGTTGGGGGTTGGGGGGGTGGCCCCTGGGGGCCCAACCTGGGGGGGAGCAGAAAGGTTGGGGTTGGGGGTGTGGCGCTGGGGGCTAACCTGGGGGAGGAGCAGAAAGGTTGGGGTTTTTGGGCGGGTGGGGGTTAACCTTGGGGGGGAGCTGAAAAAGGGTTTGGGTGGGGGTTTGGCCCTGGGGCTAAACCCGGGGAAAAGCTTAAAAAGGGGGGGGTTTGGGGGGGGTGGCCCTGGGGGCTAAACCCGGGGGAAAAACTTTAAAAAGGGTTGGGGTTGGGGGGGTGGCCCTGGGGGGTTTACCTGGGGGGGGGAGCTGAAAAAAAGGTTTGGGGGTTTTGGCCCTGGGGGCTACCCCGGGGGGGGGAGCTGAAAATTTTGGGGGGGTGGCCCCGGGGCTAACCTTTGGGGGGGCGCGGGAAAAGGGTTTGGGGGGGTTTGGGGCTGGGGGCTAACCTTTGGGGGAACGGCCCGAAAGGTTTTGGGGGGGTGGTTTCCCGGGGGGGTAACCCTGGGGGAGGAAACCTTGAAATTTTTGGGGGCTGGGGGCTTTAAACCCGTGGGAAAACTGAAAATTGGGGAGCCCGGTGGCTAACCTGTGGTAAAAAAGCTTAAAAAGGGTTTTGGGTTGGGGGCTGGGGGGGTAAACCCGTGGGAAGGGGGGGGTGAAAAGGGGTTTTGGGTTTTTAGCTTTGGGGGTAACCTGTGGGAAGAGCGAAAAGGTTTTTGGGGTTGGGGGCTTGGGGGAAAAACCCCGTGGGAAGAGCTTAAAGGTTGGTGTTGGGGGCTGGGGGAAAAACCTGTGGGAAACCCGAAAAGGTTTGGGGTTGGGGGGCTGGGGGCTAACCTTTGGGGGAAAGCTGAAAAAGGGTTTGGGGTTTGGGGGCTGGGGGCTAACCTGTGGGAAAGGGGGGAAAAATTGGGGGTTTGGGGGGCTGGGGGGGGAACCCGTGGGAAAAAGCCTAAAAAGGGTTTGGGGGGGGCTTGGGGGGTAAACCCTTTGGGGGGGAAACTTTAAAAAAAGGGTTTGGGGGGGGGGAGCTGGGGGGGGGTACCTGTGGGAAGAGCTGAAAATTTTGGGTTGGGGAGCTGGGGGGCAACCTTGGGAAAGCTTTAAAAGGTTGGGGAGCGGGGGGTAACCTGTGGGAGGAGAAAAAAAGGTTTTTGGGGGGTTTGGGGCCCGGTGCAACCCCGGGGAAAGGGGCTGAAAAATTGGGGGGGTGGGCCCCGGAGGGTAAAAACCCGGGGGAAAAACTTAAAAGGGTTTGGGGTTGGGGGGGTGTGGGGCCCCGGGGGTAAACCCGGGGGAGGATCCCGAAAAGGTTTGGGGGGGGGCACTGGGGGCTTCCGGGGGGGGGAGCGGAAAAAGGGTTTGGGGGGCTGGGGGGTAACCTGTGGGAAAAGCTGAAAAATTTTGGGGGCTGGGGGGCTAACCTGTGGGGAAAGCTTAAAAGGTTGGGGTTTTGGGGGGGGTGGGGACAACCTGTGGGAAGAGCTGAAAATTTGGGGAGCTTGGGGGGTAACCTGTGGGAAGAGCTTAAAAAGGTTTTGGGGGTTTGGGGGGGGTTTGGGGGCTAACCTGTGGGGAAAGCTAAAAAGGGTTTGGGGGCTGGGGGGCCCAAACCCGTGGGAAAGCTGAAAAAGGGTTGGGGGGCTGGGGGCTCCTGTGGGAAACTGGGAAAAAGGGTTGGGGGGCTGGGGGCCCAACCTTGGGGGAAACTGAAAAGGGTTTGGGGTTTTGGGGGCTGGGGGGGTAAACCCGGGGGGAGCTTAAAAAGGGTTTGGGGGTTTTTGGCACTGGGGGCTAACCTTGGGGGGGGAGCTGAAATTTGGGGGGGCTGGGGCCAAACCTGTGGGGAAAGCTTAAAAAATTTTGGGGGGCTGGGGGCTTTAAACCTTTGGGAAAGCCCTTAAAGGTTGGGGGGTTTTTGGGGCTGGGGACTTAACCTGTGGGAAAACCCAAAAAAATTGGGGGGCTGGGGCTAACCGTGGGAAAGCTTAAAAAGGGTTGGGGGTTGGGGGGCTGGTGGCTAAACCCGTGGGAAGAGGCTGAAAAGGTTTGGGGGGGCTGGGGGGCCCAAACCTGGGGAAGAGGGTGAAAGGTTTTGGGGGCTTTGGGGCTAACCTTTGGGAAAAAGCTTTAAAAGGTTTGGGGGGCTGGGGGGCCTAAACCCGTGGGGGACTGAAAAAAGGGGGGGTTGGGGACGGGGGGGGTAACCTGTGGGGAAAAGTGAAAAGGTTTGGGAAAGCTTTGGGGGGTAACCTGTGGGAAGAGCGGGAAAAAGGGTTTGGGGGGCTGGGGGCTAAACCCGTGGGAAGAGCTTAAAGGGTTGGGGGGCTGGGGGCTAACCCCGTGGGAGGGGCTGAAAATTGGGTTGGGGGTTTTGGGGGGCTGGGGGCTAACCCCGGGGGGAAAGCTGAAAAGGTTGGGGTGGGGAGCTGGGGGGGAACCTGTGGGATGAGCTGAAAAAGGGTTTGGGGGTTTGGGGGCTGGGGGGGTAACCTTTTGGGGTGAACTGAAAAGGTTGGGAGCTGGGGGGCCCAACCTTTTGGGGAAAACTTAAAAGGTTTGGGGGTTTTGGGGGGAAGGGGGCCAACCCGTGGGAAGGCTGAAAAAATTGGGGTTGGGGGGGCGGGGGGTAAACCCTTTTGGGAAAAGCGGGGGCTAAAACCCGGGGGGATGGCTTTAAAAGGTTGGGGGGCCGGGGGCTAACCTGTGGGAAAGCTGAAAAGGTTTTGGGGTTTGGGGAGTGGGGGGTTTAACCCCTTTGGGAAAAGCTGAAAAGGTTGGGGGGGGGAGCTGGGGGCTAACCCCGTGGGAAGAGCTAAAAGGTTTGGGTTGGGGGGCTGGGGGGTAAACCCGTGGGAAAAAAGCTTAAAAGGTTGGGGGTTTTGGGGACCCGGGGGCCCAACCTGTGGAAGAGCTGAAAAAGGGTTTGGGGTTTTTTTGGGGCTGGGGGTAACCTGTGGGAAGAGCTGAAAGGGTTTGGGGTTGGGGGGCTTTGGGGGGTTTCCTGTGGGGGGAGTGAAAAGGTTGGGGTTGGGGAACTGGGGGGGGTAACCTGTGGGAATAGGGTTAAAAGGTTGGGGGAGCGGGTGCTACCCCATGGGAAAAAGCTTAAACGGTTTTTTGGGGCTGGGGGCTAACCCCGTGGGAGGGAAACGAATATGTTGGGGGGGTTTGGGGGGCTGGGGGCTAACCCCTTGGTTTTTTTGTAAGAGCTAAAAAAGGTTTGGGTTTTGGGGGTGGGGGCTAATTTGGGAAAAGCTGAAAAAGTTTTGGTTGGGGGGGCTGTGGGGTAACCTTTTGGGGAAAGGGTGAAAAATTTTGGGGTTTGGGGGGCTGTGGGCTACCCCTTTTGGGAAAAAACTGAAAAAGGGTTTTGGGGGGGGATGCGGGGGCTAAACCCCGGGGGGAGGAGCTTAAAAGGTTGGGGGGGTGGCCTGGGGGGCTAACCCTGGGGGGGAGCCCCGAAAAGGTTGGGGGTGTGGGGCCCCGGGGCTAACCCCGGGGGGAAAAACTTAAAAAATTTGGTTTTGGGGGTGTGGGCCCCGGGGGCTAACCTGGGGGGAAAAAATTTTAAAAAGGTTTTGGTTTGGGGGGTGGCCCTGGGGGCTAACCCCGGGGGGGGGCTTTTTAAAAAAAAGGGTTTGGGGGGGTGGCACTGGGGGTAAACCGGGGGATGGCTGAAAAGGGTTTGGGGGGCTGGGGGCAAACCCGTGGGAAAAAGGGCCCGAAAAAATTGGGGAGGGTGGGGGCTAAAATGTGGGAAAAACTTTAAAATTTGGTTTGGGGTTTTTGGGGGCCCTGGGAGCTAACCTTGGGGGAAAAGGGTTTAAAAAAAAAGGGTTTGGGGTTTGGGGGGGTTTGGGCCCCGGGGCTAACCTGGGGGAGGGGCTGAAAAGGTTTTGGGGGGGTTTTTCACTGGGGGGGTAACCCCGGGGGATGACTGGGAAAAAGGGTTGGGGGGGCTGGGGCTAACCTTTTGGGGAAGGGGTGAAAAAGTTGGGGGGCTTGGGGGGTAACCCGTGGGAAGAAACTTAAAAGGGTTTGGGGGTTGGGGGGGGCTGGGGACTAACCTGTGGGAAGAGCTGGGTAACCTGTGGGAAATTTGCTTTAAAAGGGTTTGGGGAGCTGGGGGCTAACCTGTGGGAAGAGCGGGAAAAAGGGTTGGGGGGCTGGGGGCTAACCCCGTGGGGGAAAACTAAAAAGTTGGGAGCTGGGGGGTAACCTTTGGGGAAAAGCTTAAAAGGTTGGGGGGGGGGAGGCTGGGGGCTAACCTTTTGGGGAAAAGCTGAAAAGGTTTTGGGGTTTGGGGAGCTGGGGGGTAAAACCCGTGGGTTTGGGTGAAAAAGGGTTTGGGGGGCTGGGGACTAACCTGTGGGAAGAGCTGAAAAGGTTGGGGTTGGGGAGCTGGGGACTAACCTGTGGGAAGAGCTGGGGGCTATCCTGTGGGATGAGCTGAAAAGGTTGGGGAGCTGGGGGCTAACCTGTGGGAAGAGCTGAAAAGGTTTGGGTTGGGGAGCTGGGGGCTAACCTGTGGGAAGAGCTGAAAAGGTTTGGGTTGGGGAGCTGGGGGCTAACCTGTGGGAAGAGCTGAAAAGGTTTGGGGTTGGGGAGCTGGGGGCTAACCTGTGGGAAGAGCTGAAAGGTTGGGGTTGGGGAGCTGGGGGCTAACCTGTGGGAGGAGCTGAAAAGGTTGGGGTTGGGGAGCTGGGGGCTAACCTGTGGGAAGAGCTGAAAAGGTTGGGGAGCTGGGGGCTAACCTGTGGGAAGAGCTGAAAAGGTTGGGGAGCTGGGGGCTAACCTGTGGGAAGAGCTGAAAAGGTTGGGGAGCTGGGGGCTAACCTGTGGGAGGAGCTGAAGGTGGGCTTGAGTATGGACCAGAGTGTCCCCGTTGCCGTCTGGGGGTGCATCCAGCTCCACGTGGAAGATGTAGAAGATGAAGCCGTAGAGCGCCGGGCCCAGGCCATTACACAGCCCCCGGATCCCCGTCACCATCCCCTGGCCCACCCCTGTGAGATGACAGCCAACAAGTATTTTATTTAAATTGGATTGCATTCAACCTTCACTTCACCTGGCAAGTTCAGCAAAATTACATATGTATCTCCTTTCCTTGAAGGAAACCAAAATATAAACGTCATTTCGCTGGGCTTCCCCTTCAACTGAGAACAATTTCTCATTTGCAATTACGACCAGGCCAATAGACGAATCAAAGAATGTGCAAAATCAAATAAAAATGTATTTGTCACATGCGTTGAATACTACAGGTGTAGATCTTACCGTGAAATGCTTACTTACGAGCCCTTAACCAACAATGCAGAGTTTTTTAAAAGTAGGAAAGAAAACATTTGCTAAATAAACTAAATGAAAAATAGTAATACAAAATAACTACAGTATAAAGAGGCTATATACAGTGGGGGAAAAAAGTATTTAGTCAGCCACCAATTGTGCAAGTTCTCCCACTTAAAAAGATGAGAGAGGCCTGTAATTTTCATCATAGGTACACGTCAACTATGACAGGCAAAATGAGAAAGAAAAATCCAGAATATCACATTGTAGGATTTTTTTTGAATTTATTTGCAAATTATGGTGGAAAATAAGTATTTGGTCACCTACAAACAAGCAAGATTTCTGGCTCTCACAGACCTGTAACTTCTTCTTTAAGAGGTTCCTCTGTCCTCCACTCGTTACCTGTATTAATGGCACCTGTTTGAACTTGTTATCAGTATAAAAGACACCTGTCCACAACCTCAAACAGTCACACTCCAAACTCCACTATGGCCAAGACCAAAGAGCTGTCAAAGGACACCAGAAACAAAATTGTAGACCTGCACCAGGCTGGGAAGACTGAATCTGCAATAGGTAAGCAGCTTGGTTTGAAGAAATCAACTGTGGGAGCAATTATTAGGAAATGGAAGACATACAAGACCACTGATAATCTCCCTCGTTCTGGGGCTCCACGCAAGATCTCACCCCGTGGGGTCAAAATGATCACAAGAACGGTGAGCAAAAATCCCAGAACCACACGGGGGGACCTAGTGAATGACCTGCAGAGAGCTGGGACCAAAGTAACAAAGCCTACCATCAGTAACACACTACGCAGCCAGGGACTCAAATCCTGCAGTACGAGACGTGTCCCCCTGCTTAAGCCAGTGCATGTCCCGGCCCGTCTGAAGTTTGCTAGAGTGCATTTGGATGATCCAGAAGAGGATTGGGAGAATGTCATATGGTCAGATGAAACCAAAATATAACTTTTTGGTAAAAACTCAACTCGTCGTGTTTGGAGGACAAAGAATGCTGAGTTGCATCCAAAGAACACCATACCTACTGTGAAGCATGAGGGTGGAAACATCATGCTTTGGGGCTATTTTTCTGCAAAGGGACCAGGACGACTGATCCTTGTAGAGGAAAGAATGAATGGGGCCATGTATCGTGAGATTTTGAGTGAAAACCTCCTTCCATCAGCAAGGGCATTGAAGATTAAACGTGGCTGGGTCTTTCAGCATGACAATGATCCCAAACACACCGCCCGGGCAACGAAGGAGTGGCTTTGTAAGAAGCATTTCAAGGTCCTGGAGTGGCCTAGCCAGTCTCCAGATCTCAACCCCATAGAAAATCTTTAGAGGGAGTTGAAAGTCCGTGTTGCCCAGCGACAGCCCCAAAACATCACTGCTCTAGAGGAGATCTGCATGGAGGAATGGGCCAAAATACCAGCAACAGTGTGTGAAAACCTTGTGAAGACTTACAGAAAACGTTTGACCTGTGTCATTGCCAACAAAGGGTATATAACAAAGTATTGAGAAACTTTTGTTATTGACCAAATACTTATTTTCCACCATAATTTGCAAATAAATTCATAAAAAATCCTACAATGTGATTTTCTGGAATTTTTTTCCTCATTTTGTCTGTCATGTTTGACGTGTACCTATGATGAAAATTACAGGCCTCTCTCATCTTTTTAAGTGGGAGAACTTGCACAATTGGTGGCTGACTAAATACTTTTTTTCCCCACTGTACAAGGGGTACCGGTACAGAGTCAATGTGCTGGGGTACTTGTTAGTCGAGGTAATATGTATACGTAGGTAGGGGTAAAGTGACTATGCATAGATGCAAAATAAAACTATAACAAAGTACAAACCTTGTTGGTCTGGTTCTGCCGTGCGGGAAACCAAAGCACTAATCGCTGGGAAAGTGATGCTTGACATGGCTGCTAGAGCACCTGCCGCCCACATCATCCTGTAGAGAGATGAGAGAGAACAGGTTAAGTAACTTGAAAGTGTACAGTGGGGAAAAAATTTATTTAGTCAGCCACCAATTGTGCAAGTTCTCCACTTAAAAAGATAAGAGAGGCCTGTAATTTTCATCATAGGTACACGTCAACTATGACAGACAAAATGAGAAAAAAAATATCCAGAAAATCACATTGTAGGATTTTTAATGAATTTATTTGCAAATGATGGTGGAAAATAAGTATTTGGTCAATAACAAAAGTTTCTCAATACTTTGTTATATACCCTTTGTTGGCAATGACACAGGTCAAACGTTTTCTGTAAGTCTTCACAAGGTTCACACACTGTTGCTGGTATTTTGGCCCATTCCTCCATGCAGATCTCCTCTAGAGCAGTGATGTTTTGGGGCTGTCGCTGGGCAACACGGACTTTCAACTCCCTCCAAAGATTTTCTATGGGGTTGAGATCTGGAGACTGGCTAGGCCACTCCAGGACCTTGAAATGCTTCTTACGAAGCCACTCCTTCGTTGCCCGGGCGGTGTGTTTGGGATCATTGTCATGCTGAAAGACCCAGCCACGTTTCATCTTCAATGCCCTTGCTGATGGAAGGAGGTTTTCACTCAAAATCTCACGATACATGGCCCCATTCATTCTTTCCTTTACACGGATCAGTCGTCCTGGTCCCTTTGCAGAAAAACAGCCCCAAAGCATGATGTTTCCACCCCCATTCTTCACAGTAGGTATGGTGTTCTTTGGATGCAACTCAGCATTCTTTGTCCTCCAAACACGACAAGTTGAGTTTTTACCAAAAAGTTATATTTTGGTTTCATCTGACCATATGACATTCTCCCAATCCTCTTCTGGATCATCCAAATGCACTCTAGCAAACTTCAGACGGGCCTGGACATGTACTGGCTTAAGCAGGGGGACACGTCTGGCACTGCAGGATTTGAGTCCCTGGTGGCGTAGTGTGTTACTGATGGTAGGCTTTGTTACTTTGGTCCCAGCTCTCTGCAGGTCATTCACTAGGTCCCCCCGTGTGGTTCTGGGATTTTTGCTCACCGTTCTTGTGATCATTTTGACCCCACGGGGTGAGATCTTGCGTGGAGCCCCAGATCGAGGGAGATTATCAGTGGTCTTGTATGTCTTCCATTTCCTAATAATTGCTCCCACAGTTGATTTCTTCAAACCAAGCTGCTTACCTATTGCAGATTCAGTCTTCCCAGCCTGGTGCAGGTCTACAATTTTGTTTCTGGTGTCCTTTGACAGCTCTTTGGTCTTGGCCATAGTGGAGTTTGGAGTGTGCCTGTTTGAGGTTGTGGACAGGTGTCTTTTATACTGATAACAAGTTCAAACAGGTGCCATTAATACAGGTAACGAGTGGAGGACAGAGGACCCTCTTAAAGAATAAGTTACAGGTCTGTGAGAGCCAGAAATCTTGCTTATTTGTAGGTGACCAAATACTTATTTTCCACCATAATTTGCAAATAAATTCATTAAAAAATCCTACAATGTGATTTTCTGGATTTTTTTTCTCAATTTGTCTGTCATAGTTGACGTGTACCTATGATGAAAATTACAGGCCTCTCTCATCTTTTTAAGTGGAGAACTTGCACAATTGGTGGCTGACTAAATACTTTTTTTCCCCACTGTATCTCTTCATTGAACTGAATCATCAGATGTGGTCATGGTTTGAGTGATCTTAAAAAGGCTTACCATGGCTCGGAGCCAAACCCATACCAGGCGAGCTGTAGTATCTGGAACCCAAGGCCGAGCAAGATGGTGTTCTTGTTCCCGATGGAACGCATGAGTAAACTTAATACTACTGTCTGACAAAGGAAAGAAAGAAAAATAATATAATATAATTGGAAACCATTTATTTTGAATGTTAATATTGCCTATAATGAATGTTCTCATTAATGCCCAAACCAGGTTAACATAACATGGCAGAGATTGGGATTATAGTGCCTTCAGAAAGTATTCATACCCCTTGACTTGTTCCACATTTTGTTGTGTTACAGACTGAATTCAAAATGGATTAAATAGATTTTTTCCTCAAACATTTACACACAATACCCCATGATGACTAAGTAAAAACATGTTTTTAGAAATGTTTGCAAATTAATTTCAAATGAAATACTGAAATCTCATTTACATACATTTATAATAATAATAATAATAATAATAATAATATAATATGCCATTTAGCAGACGCTTTTATCCAAAGCGACTTACAGTCGTGCGTGCATACATTTTTGTGTATGGGTGGTCCCGGGGATCGAACCCACTACCTTGGCGTTACAAGCGCCGTGCTCTACCAGCTGAGCTACAGAGTCAATACTTTGTAGAAGCAACTTTCAGTCATCTTGGGTATGTCTGTATCACCTTTGCTTATATTTATAAATCTGGATTTGGGGATTTTTTTACCCATTCTTCCTTGCGTATTTTCTCAAACTCCATTAAGTTAGATGGGGAGCGGCGGTGAACAGCAATCTTCAAGTCTTTCCACAGATTTTCAATGGGATTCAAGTCTGGGCTTTGGCTGGGCCACTCAAGGAGTTTCACATTCTTGTTCTGAACTCTCTCCAGCGTTGCTTTGGCTGTATACTTGGGGTCATTGTCCTGTTGGAACGTAAATCTTCACCCCAGTCTAAGGTCGTTTGCACTCTGAAGCAGGTTCTCATCAAGGATTTGCCTGTTTTTCATTGTTTCCTCGAGCCTTACCAGTCTCACAGTCCCTGCCGCTGAAAAGCATCCCCATAGCATGATGCTGCCACCACCCATGCGGTAGGGATGGTTTTAGATGGTGATTAGCTTTGCATAGCGCTTTGCAAATCAGACCACAGAGTTACATTTCTGTCTCATCAGAACACAGAATATTTTGCCTTAATGCTCTGTGTCTTTCACATGCCTTTTTGCAAACTCCATATTTTTTTCTGTTTCCCAATGATGGAGACCACTGTGCTCTTGGAAACTTTCAACACTGTAGAAATCGTTTTATACCCTTCCCCAGATATATGCCTCATCACAATTCTATCTCAGAGCTCTACGGACAGTTCCTTAGACTTCATGGTATAGTTTCTGCTCTGACATGCACTGTCAACTGTGTGACCTTATATAGACAGGTGTGTTTCTTTCTAAATCATGTCCAAACAATTGAATTGACAACAGGTGGAGTCCAATCAAGTTGTAGTGACATCCAAGGATGATCAATGGAAATTGGATGCAACTTAGCTCAATTTGGAGTGTCATAGCAAAGGGGTGTGAATGGTTATGTAAATAATATTTCTGTATTTAATTTTTAATACAATTGCAAAAAGATTATCAAAACATGTTTCACTGTCATTATGGGGCATTGTGTGTAGATGGGTGAGAAACAAATCAATTTCATCAATTTTGAATTCAGGCTTTAACAACAAAATGTGGAATAAGTCAAGGGGTATGAATACTTTCTGAAGGCACTGTACATGTTCATTAAATGACAACTAACCTGTGCAACGATTGAAAGCAGTCCTAGAACAGCTATGAAAGCTGCAACACTTTCAGGTGAAAATCCCATAATCTGGAGAAAAAAATAAAATAAAGAACATTCATGTGATTGTACTGCCAGTGAGACCAAAGTAACTACACCCATCATCAAGCAAATAATGATTTAGCTAAATATACACTACATGGCCAAAGGTATGTAGACACCCCTTCAAATTAGTGGATTTGGCTATTTCACCTGTTGCTGACAGGTGTATAAAATCGAGCACATAGCCATGCAATCTCCATAGACAAACATTGGCAGTAGAATTGCCCATACTGAAGAGCTCCGTGACTTTCAACGTGGCACCGTCATAGGATGCCACCTTTCCAACAAGTCAGTTCGTGAAATTTCTGCCCTGCTAGAGTTGCCCTGGTCAACTGTAAGTGCTGTTATTTTCAAGTGGAAACGTCTAGGAGCAACAACGGCTCAGCCGCGAAGTGGTGGCCACACAAGCTCACAGAATGGGACTGGCGAGTGCTGAAGCGCGTAAAAATAGTCTGTCCTTAGTTGAAACACTCACTACCGAGTTCCAAACTGCCTCTGGAAGCAACGTCAGCACAATAACTGTTCATCGGGAGCTTCCAAGAAATGGGTTTCCATGGCCGAGCAGCCTCACACAAGCCTAAGATCACCATGCGCAATGCCAAGCGTCGGCTGGAGTGGTGTAAGCTCGCCGCCATTGGACACTGGAGCAGTGGAAACGCGTTCTCTGGAGAGATGAATTAAGCTTCACCAGCTGGCAGCCCAACGGAATAATCTGGGTTTGGAGGATGCCAGGAGAACGCTACCTGCCCCAATGCATAGTGCCAAATGTAAAGTTTGTTGGAGGAGGTCTGGGGCTGTTTTTCATGGTCCGGGCACAAAGTGAGGTCCATACAGAAATGGTTTGTCGAGAGCGGTGTGGAAGAACTTGTCTGGCCTGCAGAGCCCTGACCTCAACCCCATCGAACACCTTTGGGATGAATTGGAACGCCAACTGCGAGCCAGGCCTAATCGCCCAACATCAGTGCCCGACCTCACTAATGCTCTTGTGGCTAAATGGAAGCAAGTCCCTGCAGCAATGTTCCAACATCTAGAGGAAAGCCTTCCCAGAAGAGTGCAGGCTGTTAGCAAAGGGGGGGACCAACTCCATATTAATGCCCATGATTTTGGAACGAGATATTCGACGAACAGGTGGTGTAGCTGCAAGCAGCAAAGAACAGCAATGAACGGAGTAACGGACCATTTGTGGAATTACTTTGCAGTATACTTCAAATTAACTATAGTCAAACCCCCTCGACAAGTCTGCCAAATACTTTGACTATGAAGGAGACTTGACCTCAGTGGCATTGATCAAGGCAATAACAACTCAAAGGGAAGTTTGTCTTATGTACAGGATTCACATGGTATACACCGTCCAATTAAATGCTTACTTGCAGGTTCCTTCTCGACAATGCAAAAACAATAAGAAATAATAGAATATAAGAATACATAAAGTAAATGGCAGTAGAATGTAATATTTTAATACAGGAAGGAGGTGGACACATCTCTTTTGACAGAATACAGTGTAGACAGACCTGTCGTAAGTAGAGAAAGAAGCTGGAGTACTGGCCAGCCTCGGGGAGGTAGGACAGGAACACTGTTATACAGATGAGCAGCACAGTGGAATCCTGGCCCACTTTCCTTAGAGACTGGAGACAGAAAGAAAGGGGTTAGGTTGGTGATACAATATGATGTACAATGAACACCCATCCACTCCTTCACACGTCTCATGGCGGAAAGGAGGCCTTCTATGAGAACTGGGTCACAGACAGACAGAGGAGAGGAGAGATTTCTCTGACTCAAAAAAATAATCATTTAGCCTCATTTTTGTAGGTCAATCCAGGGCTCTAGACTAGCTTTTTCCACTAACCTTTCAGTTGATGGCACCAGCACATGACTTGGTCGCACCCATTTTTAATGACCTGACTAATAATGACAAGCCATCTTTTAAATTAGCATGCCCTTCTGTTCTTACATTGATTTGGATCGATTTACTCAGGGTTCAACGCTAACTTTTTTTCTCACTGGCAGTTTGTGTGTATTGGGGCGCATGCTCTCTCTATATTCAGCTAGTGATAGGCTACATTTGGTTATTAATTAATGATGTATTAAAAAGCTGTATGATATCATTTTACAATACAAGACATTACTCTATTTGTTAGAATTGCATTGCATTAATTGCATAAATGTTTGTTTCTAAAGTAGGCCTGTAATTTATTTATTTATTTTTTAGATCTCAAAATAGGACGTTGCCCCTTTACGACTTTTGAAAAGAGATATTGATACTGTATGTCTACAGTAGGCTAGCCAAGACCAATCCTATGAGTATTTTTGTAGTTTTCTTTTGATAGACTATCAACAGTAGCCAGTAGACCATTTTTTACATTTACATTTACATTTTAGTCATTTAGCAGACGCTCTTATCCAGAGCGACTTACAATATTTTGTTTGTTTGTTTGTTTGTTTATACTGGCCCCCCGTGGGAATCAAACCCACAACCCTGGCGTTGCAAACGCCATGCTCTACCAACTGAGCTACATCCCTGCCGGCCATTCCCTCCCCTACCCTGGACAACGCTGGGCCAATTGTGCGCCGCCCCATGGGTCTCCCGGTCGCGGCCAGCTACGACAGAGCCTGGATTTGAACCAGGATCTCTAGTGGCACAGCTAGCACTGCGATGCAGTGCCTTAGACCACTGCGCCACTCGGGAGACTATTTTATCAGTGACAAGACAACTGAGATGGTAGCCTATGATTAAAAAAGTAAGCCATTTCATCTAACATATCCATCCTTGTTTAAATCTCCAGTTTGAGAACCTTTTGACTTCCCAGTAGATTACAATGGCGATGGACAGACAGTTATCAGCACTATGTAGCCACTGCTCAACCAGAATAGCCTATGCAGCTCCCAACACCTCAAACATACTGACACATTTACGCCCAAGTATTCTTACCACCGGAGCAAGACGGAAATGCAAAAAATAAAATAAAAAATAATCTCCCCTCTGCATTCAAGCAGCCCTTCGCAGCTGATTCTGACAAGGCCAAATAAATTACAATAGCGATAGGTATGTTTAGCCTATAGCCGCGGATATGCTCCCATTCTCAGTGGTTGAGAAATGGGGATTTCAACACCTTGAGAAAGTGCTCGAGCAAAGTTACGAACTTCGCCCTCTCACACCCATTTCAGCAAACAGCTAGTACCCGCTCTAAGCAAGCTACATCTGAAGTCGTCAATGACTTGGCCAACCTGTTGTGCTTACTACAAAGGGATGGAACTCCAGGGCTACAAAGAGCTACTTAAGCCATGTTCACATTGGAAGTTTGAAGTGACTCAAATCCTATTTATTTGCATATCTGATTCTAATCTGTTCTTTTTCCTGCAGTCTGAATAGACAAAAAGCACATGGAATCTGATATTTCAAGCCACAGTTAATTGTTTACAAACAAATTAGTGAATGTGCTAGAACGCGAAACAGCTAGCTAGTGGACTGCTGTGGCTAGCCAAAAAGGACTCATTTTGAAAGTTGGATCATCTTATCCTTTGAGGCTTTAAATGTGTTCTTACACTATGATTTTGAACATTCAAAGCAACTGGGAAACATCCATGGCAGGAATGGTTGTCACCTTAGCTTGATATTATTTATAACTTCTGAGTGACAGGAAGCACCACCAATCAGCCTACACCACCGCACACACACCTGTCGTTACTATGACAACTAGCATAGCCTTGTCAGCAAATAACTGCTGTCTGAACACACACAAATCTGATTTGGTCACTTGTAACTTGCTGTTTTGACAGTCAGTAGTCCAAAACTGATTTGAAAAACAAAACTGATTTGAGTATTAAGGCCTGCAGTGTGAACAAGGCTTTAGTGATGGCCCATCGCATTGCCTCAGAGTGGGAGATGAGAAGTACTGTGATACAGACATGCCCCCTTTATGAGAGTCACAATTGTGCATATTTCTTGCTTAGTAAGAAAACCTTATAGTATATGCCTATCCAATGTCTGAACCATGTTTACATATTGATTTCACACGCATATTGCACTTTATTTTAGTGTCGTTTTAATTTAAGAAACGTGTTGTTATTCCTGATGGTGCTCTCATCAGGCATTATATGAATCATGATCATATATGGAATCAGGAATACCAACACTTTGCATTTATTGATTTATTTATGTTTATTTTAAAAAAATGTGGATCTTGTCTCATCGCTGCAACTCCCCAACGGGCTCGGGAGGTGAAGGTTGAGTCATGCGTCCTCCAACACATGACCCGCCTAACCGCGCTTCTTAACACCCACCCGCTTAACCCGGAAGCCAGCCGCACCAACGTGTCGGAGGAAACACAGTTCAACTGATGACTGAGGTCAGCCTGCAGGCACCCGGCCCACCACAAGGAGTCGCTAGAGCACGATGAGGCAAGTAAAGCCCCCCCGGCCAAACCCTCCCCTACCTGGACGACGCTGGGCCAATTGTGCGCCGCCCTATGGGACTCCCGATCAGGGCCGGTTGTGATACAGCCCAGGATCGAACCCAGGTCTGTAGTGACGCCTCTAGCACTGCGATGCAGTGCCTTAGACCGCTGCGCCACTCGGGAGGCCCCTGTATTTTCTTAAATAAATAAAAATGAACTACAGTAACTGTTGGCATTTCATTTTCCCGCTGTACTAAATAGTTAACTACCGAAATAACTAGCCAGGCTACACGATGTGTGTTGAATTGGCTATCTAGTTAGGCTGTCATTTTTTATGGGCTAGGCCTACCTGCTGTAATGTCTAACTCTCTCCTCTGGCACACATGCAGCTGATGCACACACCAATACTTTTCTAAGAATTTCATGACCGTACGAAGCCTGTTTGCTGACCAATTATGTGCTATAACTGTGCAAATAACTCACTAATTAGCAAGAAATACCAACAAATGTGCACACACGGCTACAAGTGGGTCTCAGTGTTGCCCCTATATTCACTTAGAAGCAGCGGACCGCTCCATAAAATCTCTCTCTCTCTATATATATATATATATATATATTAAATCATTTTCGAGATGGTAAAACGTTTTCAGTGTAAACTTAAATGACTAAAACCAGATATAATGTATGTAGAAAAAGATAAAGGCACTATATATTTTTAAATAAGATCTTTGAGAACTAACAACCACCGAAATAATAAAAAATTGACGGTCAGGAAGAATATAAAATTCCAAAAATGCTATGGCATTGATTTTGTTATGTTTGAGTCACTCAGCATACGAACACGGCATAAGCCATGGCATAATGTGTAGAATTTCAGGAAATTAGCTTTAAAAATAGCATTTTTTCCTCTCTCAGCCCCATGACAGTGTGTAGAATTGCAGGAAATTAGTTTTTAAACTGCAAAATGTCTCAGCAAAATGTACCCCCCCCCCCCCCCCAATTCTGATCAGAGTAATTGTTTAATATGATTTTAGATTTGTTTTACTTGTCCATTTGGTCAACTCAAATCTATATTCTTCTTGTCCGACTATTTTCTTTTCTTATTCCAGACAAGCATTAATGTCGAGCCCTGTGTGATGTTGATTAATTTTATCAACACAGCCTTCCCGCTCAACATTGCCAGAGGAAGACCTGTTTAGTTGTGCCATGCGTAGCTGCTGTACATTGTGTAATTTATCTTCAAACATTTAGTGGTGCAGCCCCTAGGGGATTTGGAGTATTATGAAATGTGCTTTTCAGCCGCCTCTCTTCGTATATAGTAAGTTATGACCGTCAAACAACCCACTTTAGGAGTGTTCAGGTTTGCCTGACGTAGACCACACCCTGGTCTAAACGCTTCCTGAATGTTTGTTCCTTATGCTGGGTAAATCCCATTGTGTTTTTCAAAAATTGTGTTTGTGTGCACACTGCACTGCACTGTTAACCTGTTTTGGGCACTGTTGGTTTCTATGCCCAATTAGAAAGACATTGTTCAGAACTAAAAGCTGAGGTACACTAAAATGGCCTGTACCCAACAATTCAGTCCAAATACATGAACAAGACCAACTGAGATGTCGTATGCATTTGTGAAGAGAACCTGACCAATTGTAATGTGGTTAGTTGTAAGGGTGTAACCTCTTGCAACTAACCACATTACAATTTATCAGTTTCTCTTCCCAAATGCATTCGACATCTCAGTTGGTCTTGTTCTTTTATGAAATCTAGTGAAAATAGTAAGTGATGGAGCTATTGTGGAGGCAAATGGTAAGACTGAAGAGGACCACTTGTAACATGAGTAGCTAGTTGAAAGTGTCAACACACAAACAGATGCTATAATGCTTCCCTAAGGGAAACCATGGCTGTCAGTCAAGAGGACGAGGTCTTGCAGCACAGCCATTCTCAACACATTCTATTGCTGAGCCCGCTTTTTTACCAGGAACAATACCTACCTCCACCGCTGCCACCAATTACGTTGATACCATTGTCCCTTCAAGCTTTTGGAAACGGACCCCCCCTCCCCTCTAAAAGCACACTAATGGGGTACATAAACATACAAATTGGGTGATTAATGGGGTACACAAACTGACTGAGCCGTTAGAAGTGGACCATGTACTCACAGCAAAGGGGTCGGCCTGTTCCCAGGAGATGGGAGCCCCCCAGGATGCTGGCCTCATCTTCTCAGGCAGAGACTCGGGCACAGCCACCAGGATGAAGCAGATGTCCAGCATAGCGATGGCCGAGGCCAGCACCACCACCAGGCCGTCACCATACACACGGCCCAGGTAGGCTCCGATGGCAGGGCTTGTCACCAGGCTAGCAGCAAAGGTGGCCGACACCTAACGGACAAGAGTAGAGGAGGTTTACTGACTAACTTTTCAACTACCAGTCTTTAAATAAAATAGTAGTTTCACTTTTTTGAGTGTGTGCAACATTTCTGCTTTGTCAAGTGGGACCAAATTGCAAATAGGTTCTAAAGGATATAACTATTTTAGCCACAAATGGACCACAAATCACTGAATCAAAAAGGTGACATGGTAAACTTGAAAGTTGAAGATTAAAATAAAATAGTGTAGGTAATGTCTGATACACACCAGTCCATAGGCCATGCTGCGCTCATGCTCCTGTGTGATGTCAGCCACATAGGCAAAGACCACGGAGAAGGTTACAGCAAACACACCGGACACTGAGATAACTGCAAAATACCACCTGAAACAGAGGCAGGACATGGCACTCAGTTATTATTTGACTTGACTCTCAGTTCCATCTCAACACGTCACAAGGGCACATTATATTAGCTAATGCATCTTGTATAAAATATAGAATAGTGTAGAGTAGAACAGTATGAAGTTCAGATCTTCCTAATTCGTTTAACCACGATAGATTCCATAGAACTATGATTCATTTGAATGGTGACCTCAGTAACTATGGACTCTCTGGTTGGGTGCCATCGTACCAGGGGCTTATCTTCATCAGTGGAATGGGAGCGCAGGTGAAGAAAACGGTAAGCAGGAGAAAAGACTTCCGACCCCACACATCAGACAGGGCACCAATCAGCGGAGCACTCAGGAAAGACAGCAGGCCCTGAAACACAATAAGACGACACATCCAATGAATGGAAACAGAATTGAAGTGTAACTAGTAACACCTGTTCAAACACTTTACCTTTACCCCCTGGATCAAGCCATTCATTAGAAACGTATGCTTCGGGAACGTCTCATGTAGGACCTGGATAACAAGGGGATAAGGACAGATAGTGGAGACTTAATTGTGATTATAAACTTGGTGGTTCGAGGCCTGAATGCTGATTGGCTGACAGCCATGGTATATTTAAGCAATAAGGCCCAAGGAGTTGTGGTATATGGCCAATATACCACGGCTAAGGGCTGTTCTTATGCATGACGCAATGTGGAGTGCCTGGATACAACCCTTAGCCATGGTATATCGGCCATATAACAAACCCCTGAGGAGCCTTATTGCTATTATAAACTGGTTACAAATGTAATTAGAAGGGTAAAAATAAATGTTTTGTCATACCCGTGGTATACGGTCTCATATACAACAGCTTTCAGCCAATCAGTATTCAGGGCTCGAACCACCCAGTTTATAAGACCGTATAAAAATAAATTGTAAAGTGGTTGTCCCACTGGCTATCATAAGGTGAATGCACCAATTTGTAAGTCGCTCTGGATAAGAGCGTCTGCTAAATGACGTAAATGTAAATGTATACCACGGATATGACAAAACATTTATTTTTACTGCTCTAATTACGTTGGTAACTAGTTTATAATAGCAATAAGGCACCTCTGGGGTTTGTGATATATGGCCAATATACCACGGCTAAGGGCTGTGTCAAGGCACTCCGCGTTGCGTCGTACATACGAACAGCCCTTAGCCGTGGTATATTGGCTATATACCACACCCCCTCTGGCCTTTTTGCTTAAACATAGTTTAATCAGCAGCCAACAAATCATACTGTATGAAATAATAGGTAATAAAGACGACAACCTACCACCAAAGTGGGTGCTGTAAGCAGGCCCCAGGCAAAAAATTCCAAAAAGATGACAATTACAGCATGGTACACGCTGGGAGCTCCAAAACCTTGTGCCTGGTGAACAGAGTGGAACCGCTATGTAAGTATGTCAACAAGCAATACTCAACTGTCTTACTTTCAAATAAGATATATTAAAAAAGGTAAACTCAGCAATAGGACATCATCATACACAGTGTGGCAACTTCCTGCTTACAGTCATCAACAACAGAATTCATATCTGCCACCACTGACTCTTCTAAAGTTACATTTCCCACATTGGAAGAGCCAGCAGTGGCAGTCTTGCCAAATTTGACTTTTATTGACTTCTGTTTGCAGGAATATGGTCCCCTGTGTATGATTATACACTACATGGCCAAAAGGTATGTGGATACCCCTTCAAATTAGTGGATTCTACTATTTCAGCCACACCCGTTGCTGACAGGTGTATAACAATTTCTATGGAGATTGCATTGCTGTGTGCTCAAACACTGGTAGTAGAATGGCCCATACTTAAGAGCTCAGTGACTTTCAACCTGGCACTGTCATAAGATGCCACCTTTCCAACAAGTCAGTTCGTCAAATTTCTGCCCTGCTAGAGCTGCCCCTGTCAACTGTAAGTGCTGTTATTATGAAGTGGAAACATCTATTAGTAACAACGGCTTAGCCACGAAGTGGTAGGCCACACAAGCTCAAAGAACGGGACCGCCGAGTGCAGAAGCGCGTACAAATAGTCTGTCCTCAGCTGCAACACTCACTACCGAGTTCCAAACTGCCCCTGGAAGCAACGTCAGCACAACAACTTTTCGTCGGGAGCTTCATGAAATGGGTTTCCATGGTCGAGTAGCCGCACACAAGCCTAAGATCACCATGCGCAATGCCACGTGTTGGCTGGAGTGGTGTAAAGCTTGCCGCCATTGGACTCTGGAGCAGTGGAAACGCGTACTTTGGAGTGAGGAATCATGCTTCACCATCTGGTAGTCCGACAGACTAATCTGGGTTTGGCAGATGCCAGAAGAACGCTACCTGCCAGAATGCATAGTGGCAACTGTAAAGTTTAGTGGAGGAATAATGGTCTGGGGCTGTTCTTCATGGTTCGAGCTAGACCCCTTAGTTCCAGTGAAGGGAAATCTTAACACTACAGCATACAATAACATTCTAGACGATTCTGTGCTTCCAACTTTGTGGCAACAGTTTGGGGAAGGCACTTTCCTGTTTCAGCATGACAATGCCACTGTGCACAAAGCGAGGTCCATACAGAAATGGTTTGTCGGGATCAGTGGAAGAACTTGACTGGCCTGCACAGAGCTCTGACCTCAACCCCATCAAACACCTTTCGGATTAATTGGAACGTCGACTGTGAGCTAGGCCTAATCGCCCAACATCAGTGCCCGACCTCACTAATGCTCTTGTGGCTGAATGGAAGCAAGTCCCTGCAGCAATGTTCCAACATCTAGTGGAAAGCCTTCCCAGAAGAGTGAAGGCTGTTATAGCAGCAAAGGTGGGACCAACTCCATATTAATGCCCATGATTTTGGAATGAGATGTTCGACGAGCAGGTGTCCACATACTTTTGTTCATGTAATGTAGCTACCATATTGCTGTCGTTTCCAATGGGAACAAATGAGCCATAGTGGGCAGAACAAGCAAGGAGGCGGGCAGAGCCAAGCACGAGCTAGCGGGATCCTATTGGCGCGTTCTAGCATCATCTACATATTTCCGTTAGGGAACGCCTACTGTGAAGTGCACGTTTGCAATAACTAAATTCGCCTTTGCACTCCTTCTAAACAACAGGATTTTTAAATGTTTTTGCAAAGGGTAAAGTCTACAAACCTTAGTCCACTCTGTGCATAATAGATTCTAGTTTTGGGAACAGAAAACTGTATTGCCCGCCAGTGGGCTTCCTCTCACTACCATATTTGGTAGTAAGTGGAAACGCCAAGCGGATGCTTCACATTTAAAACATCCCGTGAAATATCTGTCTCATTGTTCTATCTGTGGTTATACCTTTACTAGAGGCTAGCTAACGTTACACAGAACTAAACAAACAGCTAGCAAGCTTGCCTGTACTAGAGCCACCTTTTTAACAATAATGTTTAACGTTACCTTACTAGTCAGCTAGCTTGCGAATACTAAGTTACTGTCAAAGAGACTGATATTTTAGTTAGCGCCACACATCTGGTATCCAGTTAGGTAGCTAATGTTAGCACCAGCAGATACGTTAGCTAGCTAACATAGCTAGCAATGTTGTTTTTGAGAGGACTAGGAAGAGGCATCGGAACTTCCCCAGGGCGCTAGCAAGCAGAACGAGCTAGCGCGTTAAATGTCACACATTGTAGACAGACATACCACATGCTGAAAACTAATCTCAAGAAATACGATGCCAAATACTGTCATTTTGGTGTAAACTCACCGTTCCTCCATCCTTGATAATAATTTTTTTCGCCAGCAGAAGACTGCGATTCGCCCGTTTCTTCTTTTTACTCTGTGTCATATTACCATTCTAGTTCTTTGTTTAATAGGAATATATTTGTTAAGAAATTTTATAAACTATTTAAATCAGATTATGTTGGAAAAGAAAAGGAATAAATCCAATTTTCGAACTAAAAGGGCTGTTTCGTCCATTCACTCAACCACCGCCATCTTTGCAAAAACATCGTTAAAACGTAATGACGTCTCATCATACGATTTTCTAACGTCCGTGTACCCGCTATCAAAGATTATGCCGCGTTCAAAAACACTGGGAACGGTGAATTTGGAAATCTCAGACTTCCGATTTATGCATTCAAAAGAACTGGGAACTCGGAAAAAAAATCGAGTTCCGACTGGGAAAAATCGATTTGAAAGGTCATCCAACTCGGAATTCCAACTCGGGACTCTTTCGAGAGCTCAGACTTTCCGACCTGAAAATCACTGATGTCATGATTTGACCTCGTATTGCCGCGTTCAAAACAACTGGGAACTCGGATAAATACGAGGTCAAATCATGACGTCAGTGATCTTCAGGTCGGAAACACTGGCTGTTGTTTACAAGCATCTTCAGTTCATATACATATTATTAGGCTAATATTTAACTCAGTGATTGAAATGATGACCCGATCCTCAGTAGCCTATTCCAGCAGGCTATAGGGAAACAAGCACTTCTTACCTCGATATTAGTCTGTTAATTTGAACTAAGCAAGCTGCTAAATCGTTCAGTTTACATCTTGACTACATCTTAAATTAGATGTAGACCTATCAGGGGCTATAGGCTACCTGCCTTTATCTAAGCAAATCATGGCAAAGTTGAATTACAATCATAAACCCCGATTTGAATCTGTAGCCTATGCCTATTGAAATGACAAGTCAATCTCGCAAATGGGCCAATTATAATGGTTTGTAGTCTTAACATCTGGCACATAATAACAGCACAATTGCCAGAAAATAGCCTAACATTTTTTAAATGTTCTTCCAAGTGTTTCTTGCTCAGAGATTTCATGATCCTCTGTCCAACTTTCATCATTCAAACTCTCCTGTCGGATTTATCTATAGTTATGCACATGCGCAAAAGGGGATTTATTTACAATTATAAACCTTGTTAGAGCCCTGAATGCTGAATGGCTGAAAGCCGTGGTATATCAGAACATATACCACAGGTATTTTACTGTTCTATGTAGCTCAATTGGTAGAGCATGGCGCTTGTAACGCCAGGGTAGTGGGTTCGATCCCCGGGACCACCCATAGGTAAAAATGTATGCACACATGACTGGAAGTCGCTTTGGATAAAAGCGTCTGCTAAAGGGCATATTATATTATATTTTTAATTATGTTGGTAACCAGTTTATAATACCATTAAGGAACCCGGGGGGTTTGTGGTATATGGCCAATATACCACAGCTAATGGCTGTATCCAGGCACTCAGCGTTGCATCACGCTTAAGAACAGCCCTTAGCCGTGGTATATTGGTCATATACCATACCCCCTTGTGCCTTATTGCTTAAATCATAGCGGTCAAACAAGTTAAATTTACATCCATTTCTCTTGCTACACATTCAAATTCCTTTATTACATTATTGTCATAGCTGACAAATATTTATATTTTGAGGAAAAACACATTTGACCCCCTCTCAATCAGAAAGATTTCTGGCTCCCAGGTGTCTTTTATACAGGTAATCGAGCTGAGATTAGGAGCACAATCTTAAAGGGAGTGCTCCTAATCTCAGCTTGTTACCTGTCCACAGAAGCAATCAATCAATCAGATTCCAAACTCTCCACCATGGCCAAGACCAAAGAGCTCTCCAAGGATGTCAGGGACAAGATTGTAGACCTACACAAGGCTGGAATGGGCTACAAGACCATCGCCAAGCAGCTTGATGAGAAGATGACAACAATTGGTGCGATTATTCGCAAATGGAAGAAACACAAAATAACTGTCAATCTCCCTCGGCCTGGGGCTCCATGCAAGACCTCACCTCGTGGAGTTGCAATGATCATGAGAATGGTGAGGAATCAGCCCAGAACTACATGGGAGGATCTTGTCAATGATCTCAAGGCAACTGGGACCATAGTCACCAAGAAAACAATTGGTAACACACTACGCCGTGAAGGACTGAAATCCTGCAGCGCCCGCAAGGTCCCCCTGCTCAAGAAAGCACATATACAGGGCCGTCTGAAGTTTACCAATGAACATCTGAATGATTCAGAGGAGAACTGGGTGAAAGTGTTGTGGTCAGATGAGACCAAAATCCAGCTCTTTGGCATCAACTCAACTCGCCGTGTTTGGAGGAGGAGGAATGCTGCCTATGACCCCAAGAACACCATCCCCACCGTCAAACATGGAGGTGGAAACATTATGCTTTGGGGGTGTTTTTCTGCTAAGGGGACAGGACAACTTCACTGCATCAAAGGGACTATGGACGGGGCCATGTACCGTCAAATCTTGGGTGAGAACCTCCCTCAGCCAGGGCATTGAAAATGGGTCGTGGATGGGTATTCCAGAATGACAATGACCCAAAACACACGGCCAAGGCAACAAAGGAGTGGCTCAAGAAGAAGCACATTAATGTCCTGGAGTGGCCTAGCCAGTCTCCAGACCTTAATCCCATAGAAAATCTGTGGAGGGAGCTGAAGGTTCGAGTTGCCAAACGTCAGCCTCAAAACCTTAATGACTTGGAGAAGATCTGCAAAGAGGAATGGGACAAAATCCCTCCTGAGATGTGTGCAAACCTGGTGGCCAACTACAAGAAATGTCTGACCTCTGTGATTGCCAACAAGGGTTTTGCCACCAAGTACTAAGTCATGTTTTGCAGAGGGGTCAAATACTTATTTCCCTCATTAAAATGCAAATCAATTTATAACATTTTTGACATGCATTTTTCTGGATTCTTTTGTTGTTATTCTGTCTCTCACTGTTCAAATAAACCTACCATTAAAATTATAGACTGATCATGTCTTTGTCAACGGGCAAACGTACAAAATCAGCAGGGGATCAAATACTTTTTTCCCCTCACTGCACGTATTCAGACCCTTTGCTATGAGACTCGAAATTGAGCTCAGGTGCAGCCTGTTTCAATTGATCATTCTTGAGATGTTTCTACAACTTGATTGTAGTCCACCTGTGGTAAATTCAATTTATTGGACATGATTTGGAAAGGCACACACCTGTCTATATAAAGGTCCCACAGTTGGCAGTGCACGTCAGAGCAAAAACCAAGCCGTGAGGTCGAAGGAATTGTCAGTAGAGCGCCGAGACAGGATTGTGTCAAGGCCCAGATCTGGGGAAGGGTACCAAAAAAATTCAGCAGCATTGAAGGTCCAAGAATACAGCGGCCTCCATCATTCTTAAATGGAAGAAGTTTAGAACCACCAAGACTCTTCCTAGAGCTGGCCACCCGGCCAAACTGAGCAATTGGGGAAAAGGGCCTTGGTCAGGGAGGTGACCAAGAACCCAATGGTCACTCTGACAGAGCTCCAGAGTTCCTCTGTGGAGATGGGATAACTTCCCAGAAGGACAACCATCTCTGCAGCACTCCACCAATCCGGCATTTATGGTAGAGTCAGACGGAAGCCACTCCTCAGTAAAAAAGGCGCATGACAGCCCGCTTGTAGTTTGCCAAAAGGCACCTAAAGGACTCTCAGACCATGAGAAACAATATTCTCTGGTCTGATGTAACCAAGATTGAACTCTTTGGCATGAATGCCAAGCGTCACGTCTGGAGGAAACCTGGCACAATCCCTACGGTGAAGCATGGTTGTGGCTGCATCATGCTGTGGGGATGTTTTTCAGCGGCAGGGACTGGGAGACTAGTCAGGATCGAGGCAAAGATGAACAGAGCAAAGTACAGAGATCCTTGATGAAAACCTGCTCCTGAGCGCTCAGGACCTCAGACTAGGGCGAAGGTTCACCTTCCAACCAGACAACAACCCTAAGCACACAGCCAACACAACGCAGGAGTGGCTTGGGGCCAAGTCTCTGAATGTCCTTGAGTGGCCCAGCCAGAGCCCGGACTTGAACCCAATCGAAGAACTCTGGAGAGACCTGAAAATAGCTGTGCAGCAACGCTCCCCATCAAACCTGACAGCGCTTGAGAGGATCTGCAGAGAAGAATGGGAGAAACTCCCCAAATACAAGTGACAGCTTGTAGTGTCATACCCAAGAAGACTCAAGGAACGTGCCAAAGGTGCTTCAACAAAGTACTGAGTAAAGGGTCTGAATACTTATGTAAATGTTATTTCCGTTTTTAATTTTTAATACATTTACAAACATTTCTAAAAACCTGTTTTTCCTTAGTCATTATGGGGTATTGTATGTAGCTTGATGAGGGAAAAAAACAATTTAATACATTTTAGTATAAGGCTGTAACGTAATTTTTTTTGGGAAAAAAGTGAAGGGGTCTGAATACTTTCCGAATGCACTGTAAAACCGTGTTATAATCTCCCACCATAATAATAGGATCGTTTGTTGCTTGTGAGCTCAATAGATTGTTATAAATATCTTCGAAAAAGTGTGGATCATCATATAGATTAATGATCCAAATCTGTTTGATTGTATTTTCTTATCTGCTAAGTCATTTCAATTATAACTAGCTATACTTATTTCACCTCTTACCATAATGAGATGGACGCTTCAAGTATACTTGTCATAAATCATGCCTGTAACATTATTACCAAAAAGCACCAAGATGATCAAGCTGCTAGACATAGCTGAGGTGTTCAGTGTTCCTTAGTGGTCCAGTCTCAGTCCTGACTTAAATTTGCTTGAAAATCAGAGACAACGTTTGAATATTGCTGTCCATCAATGATTACCAACCAAATGTAATGAGTAGTGCAAAGTCCGTAGAATAGTCTTCCAAATGATTCACAGCTGTGATGGCTGCCAAAGGTTCTTCCACCAAGTATTAACTCTGGGGTGTGAAGACATACACAATCAAGACATGTTCGTTTTTATTTTATTTGTATTCGTTTAGAAAATCTTCTATAACTTTCTTTCACTTTGAAGATGTAGAGTAGGTTGTGTAGATCTGTTAATTTTTATTTATTTTATTCCCTTTAATTTTAAAGTAGCAAAATGTGAAGACTGTGCAAGGGGTGTGTAGACTTTCACTAGGCACTGAATATAGTTTGATAACTGTTGAACTTCAAAATGTGTACCTAATAAATGTATACATTTACAATTT